CTCTGTATACTGGGATAAGCCTAGTGGCAAAGAACAGGAAACGAAGAAACGAAGTCTTGTCCATAGTCGACAGGATGCTAGAAACTCTAAAGTCTCGACCCAATGCTGACAGTGACGAAAGTTTGTCGTTGTCGTCAACAACCCAGGCCACTGCTCAGACTGCTCAAATGAGTTGCTCATCATTAACCACGTACTTCTAAGCAAGAAGCAAGCAAACACTACAAACATACATCTAGTATAATATCATGACGTAGCATGGCACAACATAAAAACATTTTTCGGAACCATGACAAAGTCTAGTAGTGAATATAAATAGTGGTAGGCAGCAACATTGTTGATGCGAATGCTTTGATAGTTTCGGGGAACCTTCGTTCTTTCAGCGTTCGCTTTGCTCGTAAAAGATATATTGGTTGATTTTTTGCAACCCGAACCTCCATGCCACCGAAAATAATTTGAAAGGACCAAGATTGCCCACACAAAACCACACAATCGCAGTGTTGTTGTACCGTACCCAACAACCACACATACACACAACATAACTACATTCAGTTCCCTATATATTCATCACATTCATCATCATCACCAACATGAACTTTGAATCCAAGGAGGATATTGCAACCCTCGTGGCCGAGCTCAAACTTTTGCACAAGGATATCAACCCTCCCGTCCCGAACCCTGCACCCTTGGGCCTCTTTGCCTTTGGTTTCACGACCTGCCTTTTGCAAATCAAACACTCTGGTATTTGCGGTGATGATACCGCTGGTGTCACTACCCTCGTCTTGGGGTTTGCGACCTTTTTTGGTGGTCTCCTTCAAATCATTGCTGGTTTGAGCGAAATTCGCCGGAATAACATTTTTGGATACACGGCCTTTCTCATGTATGGTGCCCTATGGATGTCCTTGGGATTGATTGACATGATCCAATTGTTAGCCCCCCGAGAAATGGCCAAACCCAACCCCGAAGCCGCCCAAGCCATGTTCTTTCTGACTGCCATCTACTCGTTTGTCTTGTGGATCTGCACCTTCAAGATGAATAAGACGATCAACTTTTTGTTCTTTTTGCTCTTTATCACTTTGCTGTTATTGGGCTTTGGTGTTGTCAATGAGACAGCCGATCGTGTGGGAGGCGTCTTTGGAATGGTCACGTCATTTGTTGCCTACTGGTTGGCTGCCGCCGAGTTGATCAATGACATTCATGGCGAAGGCAAACGGGAAATCATTCCGTTGGGACAATTTAAGTCCAATGACTTTGGTCGACATGGATCCTTCCATGCGCCTGGACTGATCCACCCCCCTCGCCTCCACCGAAGAAAGAATCGCGTGAAGAACAACAAACAAGGCGGCGAAGAACAGGCACCTGGCCCAAGTGATTTGCCTGAAAATGGTGCGGAGCCCATGGTGGGCTTTGACGAAGAAGCACTCGACTCGGTGTGAGGACCGGGGGCATCTTGTTGACAGTATCTTGTAGCTACTATCTAGGAAGCAGCCAGTCGTCATGCTGATGGCATAGAGGATTGAAGATACAGCTGACGGCCCAATCACTTCTAGAACTGGGAACAAGAACAGGCTAATCTACATATCATCCTAAATCAAATAATACCAAATATAGATATTCCAACTGATAGCATCTCTGTCCCCTTTCTGTTTTTCAGCATCATATTCTGGCAGCAAGTATTGGAATGAATGAACATGAAATCCGAAATTTCTTCCATGAGGATGACTCTTGGCCTGGATTGTTTGTCGAAACAATTAACGAAACGACTTGTCTACGACACTGTGAATGAAGCACAATTAACGATTTTGAGTCTTTTCCAATTTTTGCCGGAATGCCCAAACGTTTCGAAAACTGCATGGAGTGTAAAAGTGACAAAGTCCAATATCCGGGGGCAAGACTGCTGTACTGCAGATGTTACAACGCCGTTCTTAAAGTTGCACCATCCAAAAAGCTTTTTTCTTGGATACCCACCGGGTACATCCACACAAAAGAGTGATAAAATAGACCACCATGGACTTCAATGCCAGTACCGGAGATTTCAACGCCAGCGCAGTGTTTTTTGACAGCGATGGAGAAGATGAGAAGGAAGACATTTATTTCGATGCGTCACCATCTGCTAACCCAAAGGTGAAGTCGCTGCGACCAGATATGGGAAAGAGGACTGATAGCTCTGGCGCCTTGGAGCAACTCATGTCGGAACAGCCTGTCCCAAAGTCCCCAGGAAAGAATGGTGCCGGTACGAGAAGGTCACGAGAGAGGAGGCTTCAGGACAACGCTTCTTCTTGGGACAAACTGAAGAAGCGGATGAAGAGCCCGGGACGTCTTGGCAGTCCTCGACGAGTCAGCAGTCCTACTAGAATGCAAAACTTGGATACCGGAGAGAGCTTGGTGTCGAGCAGTGATCATGCACTTTATGCTGGCAGTAGACGACGTTCAGGGGGCAGCCTGTCCACTAGTATGGCAGGGGGAATCAGATCAAGAGCGTCTAGAGCTGCGTCATCACATGGGGGTGGTCGACAAAGCACCACACTAGATGAAATCGCTTCCGAATCTCCCAGACAACGAAGCGCTGCTTCACCACATGGTGCTGGTACCGGTAGCGGTAGCGGTAGCCCACCATTGGATAACATTGCATCCGAATCACCCATAACACGACGCCGGGCACGCAAAAAGAAAGAGTCTATGGAATCTGATGACAGCAGTGTGATCAGCAGCCGCAGTACGTTGTCGACCAAGAGCGCCGGCGCTTTATCCAAAAGCCCTCGCACTCGCAGCAAAAAGGTCAAGAACGCAGTGGTCGAGGACTCTCCTTCCGTGTCGAGCGAAAAAACACCGCGGAACCGGCTCCGTCGAAAAGGGGCCCGCAAAAATGAATTCTATACACCCAATCCACGTTCCAAACCCATGGTAGAGCTCAACGATTTGGCACGCCTCACCGATGTCTATCACGACGCTGTGGTGAATACCAAAAGTAAGACCAAAAATACACGACAGTCGAGTGCCGATTCTTCCACAGACATCAAGCTGAGTGACGGCGAGGTGTCACTGACACCCTCCATCCCGGCACTGCCGTTTGATGACGATGACGATGACGACGATGGGGCCACGATAACGTCGGCCAAAACTTCAATGAGTGGCAAGAGTAGTGGTGACAAGAAGAAGAAAAAAAAGCGAGCCTCCGGCGACAGGGTTTCTTCCAAATCTCCAGGCCGTTTGAAACGGTCGGCCAAGGTGGATGTCTCGGGGTTTGAAAACGATATTGCCGTCTTGCAAGAGGAAGTCTTGCGGTTGAAAGAGTCCAAAATTACGGCAGACTCGGAAACATCCAAGCACATGCAAGAGTTGCGGCGCAAGGCCTTTGATGCTCGATTGGAATTGCAAAAAAGTCAATTGGAAAATCGACAGGTGCGGTCCGATTTGAGGGATCAGACGACAGCACTGAATGAAGCCGAATTGGATATCGAGGCTTTGGAAAAGAGATTAAACGAAAGGGAAAACGAAATTGAACAATTACGGAGAAAATTGAAGGAACAATCCATGAATGGTGACGGGAATGGCTCTAGTCGTAGCGGCGACACCGATATCACGCCTCCTCCTCCCCCACCACAGCCAGCAACTCCAAAAACTCCGAGTTCATCGGCTAAATCACAGCAGGCGATCATTGATAGGTACGAGGCAATCATTAATCGAAAGGATTCCAAGGTCGCCAATTTGGAACGGGAATTGAGAAGGCTGCGAAAGAGTGGTGGAGGGGTTTTGCAGTCGGAACAAAATGAAATGCAAGAGACCATTGCCGACTTGCAGCGGGCACTCAAAGAAAGTCAAGCCAAAACTATTGCCATTTCGAACAAATTCAGTGGACAAAAGGACCAATATGCTGCCCTTGAAGAAGAAGTTCACCATTGGAAGTCTCAAGCCTTTGGCATGGAAGATGAAGTTGCTGAAGTACGAACCCAGCTCAAGTACTGGATGGCCAAGTACGAAGATATTGTTGGCGCCAGTGACACTGCCAAGGCCCAACTTGCCAGCTCGGATAAAAATGCCAGGGATGGAAACAAAAAGATGCTGAACGCCTCCTATCATACTCAGGATAGCGGGGACTCGGACATTGATGACAATGCACCCGAAGATCGCAGCTTGTGGTCCAAGATAATGACTCCAGGCCGGGAAAAACCCAAACTCAAGCTCGACACCTCCCAATTTCGCTAGGCATTTTCCTCACATATATACCATTGATATTATAGCACTACTGCTGTAATTCCTAGCTTGGGCATAAGCATAGTAACAACAATAATGTACTAGGATACTACATTCATACGATGCACTATAAAAATAATTTTGTACGGTTCTTGAATTGATTTACGTAACACGCCTTCGTTTTTTCTCCCTTCGTTTTCTATCACCTTCTTCTGATTCGGAATCTTCTTCGTCATCCTCGTCATCGTCCTCTACACTTTCGGATGCATCATCATTTTCGGACGCTTCTTCTTCCTCCTCTTCTTCTTCGGAGTCATCCTCCTCACTCTGTGAATCTTCTTCTTCTTCGTCTTTCGATCCATCATCGTTCTCATCTTCTGACGCACTTGCGTTCTCAAAATCCTTCAGATGCTTCTGTCGAATAGCTTCTTCATCATCCGAGTCGATGTAGTCTTCCACCACATCGTCTAGGTCGATGTCTTGATCGCTGTCCATGGTATGATCTTCTGGCTCGCCAAGTTCCCAGGTGTCTTGGCTTCCAAACAATACACAGTTCAAGCGTTGTTTCAGGTATATACAATCCAGCTGCTTTCGAGATTTGGTATCGTATACTCGTAGCATTCGATCAAGGCCAACGACCGCCATGCGAGGAAGAGTGGGGTGCTTCTTGAGTTGTCGGACGGATCCTGCTGGGCCGACGAAACGTCCCACGTTGTTGTTATCTTTTCGTTTGAGGTTTCTATCCATGGTCCTCATATCCAAATCATATATCTCCCCGGCGGAATCTGCCGCTACCAGACGGTGCTCGTCAACTTGACAGAGGGAAGTTATTCGGTATTCCAGCAGTCCTTCGGGTGTACAAGCCGTCGGTCGGCGTATGCGGGAATCTTCACGGACGTCATACAATCGCACTTGCTTGTAGGCAGTCCCGACCGCCATGATATTCGAATCTTGCAAAAACAAGATGGATGAGGGCCATACTGGTTGCTGCAACAGAGTTTGTGGATCTGGTGGCAAATTCTTAGCCTTGAACACAATTCCACCAGTCGCCAAATCCAAGAGCACAGTTTCCCGTTCTCGACCGCCTATAGCCACACGGCCATTGATTGTATCACATGCCATAGCAGTTGCTAGTTGCGTGTTCAAGTTATTTCCAGGAGTATAAGAGATAGTCGTGCGTCCTTTGCTATTGGTATAGCAATTGTATTCCTTCACAACATTACCCTTCTTGGCATTAATGATGGCAATATTTCCAAGCATATCCCCAGCACAGACACGAGTACTCTTTTCAAAGACTCCCACTCCCAAGGGGCGCACTTTCCCATCGTATTCAATGTTTGTGAATGCATTCTGTACTGTAGAGTCCAGGCTGTACTTCCCATAGTCTCGCTTTGACTTTACATCAGCATTCCAGAATTCAATCGACCCATTGCTCCTCAATGCTGCAACCGAAATTTTTTCATCATCCATTTCAATAGGCACCATATCAATGACTCCCCGAGTGCGGGATTGCTGTTCCTTTGGGTCAATTCGACGCACACCATCCTTCCTCACATCTGTCATCGTTGTGAATGGTTTGACTATTGCGTTAGGATCCTCTTCTTTCCGAGATAGTTCGGGGATGCACTCCTTCAACAGGCCGCATTCATCTCCTGTAATGAGTCTCATCACTTCGTTATGTTGGCAAGTTCTAAGTAAATGGGAGTGATAGGTATATGATAGGTGTCGGAACGATGATCGAACAAAAAAAATGTGCTTGGTTGTGGGTTTAGTCGAATGTGTCGTCGTTGTCATGGACAGAAAACAGACGAAAATGCACATGAAACAATACAGATGACAGAGAACAGTATACTCACTGCTGTACCAGTAATGCTGTAGCTATTCTCCATTGAACATAGTTGATCTAATCATTTCAGATGTCTGGAATTTGGATCAATTGCTGAAATTGATAAATAAACAAATAGATTCTCTATTGAACATGGTTGTTCTAGTCATCGCACATGTCTGGAATTTGAATCAATTGCTGAAATTGTTTGGCAAAAGACCGACAGGCTGCCACATCATGCGACTGAAAGGTCATGGAGACATCCAAATGTTTCGTGGTGTGAGCACCATAAGCCTGTCGTTTCAAGTAGCTTGATATGACAATCGATAGTGGTGTATCTGGGGCATGCCAATCGACCTGCACCAATGGATGGTTGTGCTGCTGGTGGTCCGGCGAGACCCATAAACGACAAGAGGGTCCCAGCAAATGTGATTCCACAAAGTTTGGCTCGACTTCTGCCGTTGGGTCGCTGAGATATCCCGTAATACTGTGGACAGAGTGCTGTTGTTCTGCAGGAACCCACATTGGATCCGATGGGGAGAGAGCACCCTCGTCGTGAAGCACAACTGACGGATTGTATACCAATGGAAAACTGGGAAAAACCCGCCGAGCGACAGACTGCGGATTATGCTCCATCGCCAAAGCTAATGCTCGAATCACCACATGGGACAGTTCCGTTCCGTGAGCTCCGTTTTCTTTGGCTTCGTTCTTCTCCTTCAGATATCGTTCCATGTTTCGAAGATTGAAGGTGAAATGACACTGTGTCTTGCCATTCCTTCCGCCTAGTCGAAAAACATCGAGATCGGAGGATAGTTGAATGGAGGAGTGTAGTAAATGTTCCACCATGACCCAACGGATGGCAAAGACTATCGAAGCCAGAGTGATGATCAAGGAACTCACTTGGGAATGCAAGGAGATCAGTCGTAGGAGTATCGAGGTCCTAGCCCAAGAGTTTTTCAGGAAATGGTGTACCATCACAGGAAGAAGTAGGACCACACCTTCCACTAATAAGTTAGGAGGCGCACTCCGTGATCGGAACTCTGTTTCCGTATTAGGCGACGTGTCAAATATCGAACCGGAATCCGAATTTACTTGGGATAGGACTTCAGCAGACCTGTCGTCCTCCGCCTTGGTGCCAGTGATACTACTGGCACTACTATTGCTTCGTTTCGCCTTGGGTTTCCTATTATCCTTGTTTCGTTGCTTTAGTACCTCGTAGAGCGATTCGTATGTCATTTCTGGCACTTGGCTAATGGAATTGCCTCGATTCTTGACCTTTTGCAAATGGGCATCCATAATACGAGGTAAGTCAGCTTGCTGGGTCATGACAGTTTGCATGATCGCTTTGGGGATTTGTCCCTTCAGATCGTAGCTTAGAATTCGAGTATGTGTGCATCCATTCGGCATCTGTTCCCATACATGAAGTGAGACAGTCAAATCTGAAGAAAATGAATAACAAAATAGATAGAATGGTATCAGAGTCGGCAAGAGTACTTGAAACCAACCAAGTAAAGTCAGCACTTACGGCCACGAACATGTCTTGGTGCCACACTTGGCCTCATAGCTTCGGCCTCGGGGCACGAAAAGGCCAGTAGACACAGAGCCAAGTTGTCGGTTTCGGTGTTCTTTAAAAGACGCCAATGAGCTGCCGAACAAAACTCTCGAGGTCCTGTTGGCCAAACAGCCTGATAAGCCTTATACACCAGACTAGTATTAGGATTGTACTGGTGTAGTGGCTCTTGCTTGGTAACATTGGATTCCATTTCCAAATCCTTTTTAAAGACCCACAATACTTGCAAGTAGTCCGATGGTTTGTGCGCTTCGACCTCGCGAATGGACCGAATCAATTGTTCTTTCTTGTGTACAGAACAATGTACTCCCTTGTTGTCATATTTGAATTGCAAGTCAGGATGGTCCACGTCATCAACATAGGGCAAGTAGCGTTGGAGCAGTCGGTCCATGGATTGTTCCATGCTTGACGGGGTATTGTCATGAAGTGAATCTCCAAGGACAGTACTCCAGTTCGTGTTGGGTATTCGAGGGGAAACAGATAGGAGTGGACTTTTGATAGGACTCTTTAGCCTGGTTTGTCTTAGGAGTTCTTCCAAGGATTCCAACTCGCCATCCGACAATATAACGTCGACCCGTTCCTTGGCATCGATCAGCTTTTCTTTCCATGAGGACGATCCATTCCAATCGAGCACCTTCAGCACTTGCTCCATTTTTTCAAAAGTGGTGTGTGATATGGCGTGTGCTTCCGACATCCACATTCCAGTCGGTGTGAGGGAGGATGGCAAATAATTCAAGACTAAACGTTCCAAAGTCCGATCAAAATCACTCTGAATTACTGTGACAACTGCTGCAGAAGCTGCTTTTCTATTTCTTGACGGCGTAGTGTAGATGCGATTCGGTGTCGTAAAGGGCGTGGGTGTTGTTGTTGTGGTGGGTGTCAGAGGCTGTTGCCGCCGTGGTCGTCCTGGCGGGGTGGAATTCAGGCCGTTGCGCAGATTTTCACTGGTGACAACGCTATTATTGTTCGAAACGCTGACGTCACCCCCCGTCATCGCATCAGCATTGCAAGCCACCGTGATTTGCTGCATCCATTCGTTACGGACTTCGATAGATCTGGCCGCCAAGTGGACAAAGGTCGCGTGTTCATGATCGGTAATTGTAAAGACATACAGATTCTCGGAGGGTTTGCTCAACAATGGATTGGCCTCAACGGAGCTGCCAAGTAAATAGATGGATCCTCTAGGAACCACATCATAGTCCACAGTATTTTGTGAAGCTTCAGAAGCCGTCCGACTTCGATTGCCCAATTCTCTGGTCGATGTCCCCTGGGATGCCTGTGACTGTGTTTCCTGACTTTGAGAATTCCTCCTATTCCTCTTCTTGTCATCATTGGCCAGTAGATAGTACGTCAAGAGATGTTGTTCATTGTGGAGGACAAACCATCGAGGCCGCCAATGATACTTGAATAAATCACGGCGTTTCCATAGAACTCCTTGCATTCGTTGGCGACTGGACATGCTTGTGGGAGGTGAGGCTCGAAAGCTCAGATAGTCCAGTACCGAACGCTGATCTTCTTGTCCTGCTTGAGAAAAGTTTTCGTCCATTACCTTCTAGGCTAGTTGCCGGAAGAGAGGAAGGAATATGGTTGCAATCCAGGGGGGAGGTTTGGGTCGTATCGAGGACTTGCTCTGATGAGATTGAAGCTGAACACTACAGTATTAAATGTTTTCATTTAGTATCACTGACAATGATGTCTGACTCATTCGACTTCTGGACTGATTGGAGAATGAATCGAAGATTTTGGAGAAGCAGCGAAGTGGTAAATGACATGGAATAGGCCTTTCATTCACTCCTAAGAACGGAGAGGCTTCCGAATGACGTAGAACTCTACTCAGTCATGCCTCCCCCAATGGCACGTCTTGCATCGGAATTTTGTCTGTGTCTCAAATCATCACACAAATCAATCGACAACAGCATAAACAAACATAAACAAACATAAACAAAGCACAAACAAAATGGTTCGCATGATCAGTGATATGGATGAGTGGAATGCTCTTATGGAGATTTCCAAGAGCAAGGCAGTCATTGTTGACTTTACTGCCACTTGGTGTGTAAGTTTTAGAAATATCTTATCTGAGATAATTCGTATTACTTCCACATCAGTTTGTGGTTTCATTGCACACTTGCCAATTTAACTTCTGACTCTTTGCGTCCTTCACTCCTTCTCTTTTTTCATCCGCTCTCACAATGTTTCAATGGATCATGCTTGTTGATGATTGCGTTTCCAAATCTACCGATGCGATCACCTCTTGTCACATACTGCAAACTTTGCTCATGATTACGCTTTCTGGCTCTTGCAATCCATCTTCGTGTTTCACCCCAACAACAACAACAACAACAACAACAACAACAGCCACCATGTAAGATGATCGCCCCAATTTTCGCCAAAATGGCCGAAGAAAATCCTGAAGTTGAATTCGTCAAGGTTGATGTCGACGAGGCCAACGATGTTGCTGGTATGTGTGGAATTTCTGCCATGCCTACCTTCCAAGTCTACAAGGGAGGAGCCAAGGTGGAGGAATTGCGAGGTGCTGATCCAAAGGGACTCAGTGCTATGGTTGCCAAGAACAAGTAAACACTATACCATATAACAGACGACAAATAGTATTTGCATGTCTTTTTTATTTTAAAAAAAGGCCAGACTTGAAAAAGACCAGACAGGGTGCTTTGGACCCTTTTCTATTGAGGCTTTGCATTAGAACGAGCTCCGCGTTTCTAAACGCATCAATGGTTTGATGTGATATTTAGTATCTAGTCTAACTCTAGAAGTGGTTGTATTATTATACCGGTAGAGTGACGATGAAACGAGACATGATAATTTTGGACTAGTTCGAGTCAAACACAAGCCTGCCGACCGAACAATCGATTTTCAAATTATTTTCTTCGAACTGCCACACAACCTGAACTTCATCGCATCTACCGTACCTCATTGCGTCGGAACTATTTTTGAGACTTTCCAACTACATCCCTCCCAGCTTATGAGCTCCACTGAACAGACGGACAATGTCCTTGAGATTGGGACGAGAATAACGTGCTATTGGCCTGACGATGATCAGTGGTATAAAGGAACTGTTGCAAATGAATTGGACAATGATCGATTCTGGATATCGTACGATGATGGCGATGAAGGGGAAATCAATATCAAGGAAGATAAATGGCGACGATCCTTGCATCCTGATAAGTTCATCAAAGAGAATACACTAGCGGATGAGCAAAAGCAAGCAATTGTTGAAAAACTTGAGTTGGGATCAAGAATCGCAGTCTACTTTCCCCATGAAAAGGAATATTATCCTGGCACCCTAACAAAGAAAAAGGATGCATCCTATCTCATCAAATACGATGATGGAGACAAAGAATGGGCAGATCTTCTTTTTCGCAAATTCAAACGAATTACAAAGAAGTCTGATCAGCTTGAGGTTGGATCGCGTGTGGCCGTGTATAATGAGAAGCGAAATAAGAATTATCATGGAACTGTAGTCAAGATTAAGCCCGAAAGCGCAAAGCCGCATAAAGTCAAGTATGATAAGGAAAGCAGGGGGGAAGAGTGGCTGAACTTACACGTTCATCCGTTCTTGGACATGGTGATAGAATGGGATGGAAAGAAACGGAAAGAAGAGTTTCTGGATGCAGATCGTCCTATCAAACGCAGACGACATAATATCCAAGTGCAACAGGAAGCACAGGAAAATCAAACGGAACAAGAGTCTGCTCTTGTAAGCGAGGAGCCTTGTGCACATTGTGAGACTCGCGCTGATGCACCCTATGCAATTGCTTGTCATCACATTTTGTGTGAGCAATGTGTTGATGAGTATAGACACAATGATTCGTGTAAAGCCTGTCCCTTGTGTAAGACTCTCATCAGGTCTGCACCCATAAACTTTTCGCCGGATCATGATTCCTTTAAGGCTGTTGAAGCGCTATCGAAAACGACAGCTGAAGTCAAAATGGAATTCTCATCGGCTTCATCTGCTTCAATGAAAGTACCTGCTTTGAATGCTGCTCGTATTATCAAAGCTTGTCAATCAAAACGAAGAGACGATCGTGAGCACAAGGGGTACTACTGGCGATTCAAAGGATCTAAAGACCGCATCTTACGTGTTGGAGAAGGGATCAAAGATGGAATTCAAATCGAGCAAGTCGACCTTGAGAGTGGTGAAATCATCAAGACTTTTTCTTCTGGCAGAAAAGCGCATGAAGCAACGGGTGTCGGTCGGATTGTTATAAGACGAGTTTTGGAGAGACGGGGTAAGGCAAATGGTGGTGGCTTTTTTTGGAGATACCAAGGAGAGACACACGGGCCATGGCCGGATCCAGAACCAAAACATTTGAAGCCGTTGGAACAGCTTGATTGGGAGACTGGGGAGATGTTGGCTTCTTTCCAATCACTGGCTGATGCAAAACGAGCAATGGGTAAGCCTCCGAATAGTTCGTGCATTCGAGAAGTTTGTGATGGCGACGGGAGAGGAACAGCCCATGGATTCTTTTGGCGATGGAAAGGCTCCGACTCTATTCCGAACCACTTGATTGGTGCAACCAAGGTTATGGAAATTAGGAAAAAAAGGAATGGCAAGGTTTTGAAGGTTTTCAAGAATTCGAAGGGTAAGTTTGGAATTCTCGCCTTCCAGCCATCATGATTCGCCTCATTCATGTATCTATTCTTTTAAAATCTAACCGAAAAGAAGCCCAAGCCTTCTTTGGGCACCAGTGCTGCTGGAGTTCCATTTGCCGATACTGCCGCGAAGAGAGTTTTTACTTGGGGTATTATTGGCGATATCGTGTACTGAGACGTCCAGTGAACTCGAACGAAGCAGTGGTCGGAAAGCGACTTCGAATCAAGCGAGGGGGTGGTGGGGATTGGCTTGAAGGCAAAATCAAAAGTTTCCATTCCGATTCTGGTGAATACGAAATTGTATTTGATTGTGGGAAAACGGAACGACGTCGCCTTGAGAATCTTGAATATGAATGGAAAAATGACCAAGGGCAGAAACCCATAGAGCAGCTCGATTTGCAAACAGGACAGATTCTGAACACTTTTGACTCTATTGCAGATGCAAAACGCGGTATCCAAGATGCAAATGGATCTCATATAACGTCCGTCTGCAAAGGCCGCTACCATTCAGCGCATGGATACTTCTGGCGATATAAAGGGTCGACAGAAATTCCAAGAAAGAAAAAAGGTCGACGCAAGATTGATCAGCTCTGTTTGAAGACTGGGCGGGTGATTGCTTCATTTGATACTATTACGGCTGCTGGCAAAGCGGTAGGGATTACGACTCCGGGAATCAGTTACTGCTGTAATGGTCGAAACAGTAGTAAGTCTGCAGGTGGTTTTGGTTGGAGATTCTCAACAAAAGATGAAGAGGAGTAGAAAAAAGAGGTACACGTACTGTTGTAGTTCCTTGAGTCACGTTTGGCATCTGATCGTGATTGTCTGAGTTTCGTGACTGAAGATGATTCCCCGAGAGAGGCTTTTTCGATGAGAATCCCCAAATCAGTTGCTTCCATGGAAGTCGTGCAAATACCGTTGATCACATCCACAACACTGCATAAAACAGCAAATACAGCAAACACAACCACTACACAAAACAACGACAACACACACAATAAAAATGGTTCGCATGATCAAGAATATGGCAGAATGGAATGCTCTTATGGAGACTTCCAAGTCCAAGACTGTTGTCGTCGACTTCACAGCATCATGGTGTAAGTTTTGAATGGATTGTCATCCCATCAGGCCAAATGGCATCAGACCGAACACACTTTCTTACACTCTTCTTTTGGTAAATCGCAAATGCAGGCGGTCCATGTAAGATGATCGCCCCTATTTTCTCTGAAATTGCTGAGAAGAATCCAGATGTTGAATTCGTCAAGGTTGACGTTGACGAAGCCGAGGATGTTGCTGGACTCTGTGGAATCCAAGCTATGCCTACCTTCCAAGTATACAAGGGTGGTTCCAAGGTTGATGAAATGAGAGGTGCTGATTCCAAGGGACTCACGAACATGGTCACCAAGAACAAGTAGACAGTATGGCTGAATGCAAACAGGAACATTCTGTGTGAATTACGAGGTAGTCAAAGCAACGACAACATAAAATCAAGCAATATATATAATGTATCATACACGGGCCATTCGGAATATAGTAAGAATGCAAGCTAATAAATGTTAGATGTCATCTGATTAAATCTTGTTGCCGTTCTATTTTCTTGGATTTGCTGAGTCTAGTCTATAGCACTGCTTGACAATAGTCGTCAAACAACACCTTGAAGAAAAAAATGGTATCGTTTGAAAAGGAATGGATATATAACTAGTGTAAGACACATCCTTTCGAAAGCATTGTATATTGGCTTACATATTTATATCGCTCGCACCACCACTGGAAAACACCAAACTTCAGTCCTCAGCCTCAGGTGAAATGCTCCGAGTTGACAGACCAGCGATTTCATGAAATAGCTGGACGCCCGTGGTTGAAGGCGACTCGATAGGTCGTGTTCTGCTAGCTGTGACGATCACTCTTCCTCCCTTTCTCTCTTTACACTAGGTACAGCTTCTTTCGTTCGATTGGGATTACCCAGCGTCTTTTAAAGTGCTCAGTTTAGAGGCAGGGGTGGTCTGTCGTAGTCACATCATGCTTTCGACATCGAGCGAGAAGTATTGGAGATAGAAAAGAGGTGAGAGGTGCTCCTCCTACCTACATATGATGCTTCATCACCATCCATCTAATCATTCCGATGCGCCAAATCATATTCAGTGATTCCATCCTTAGTAATGAGATACACCAGACTTCCATATCCACTGAGACAGTCTCGCTCCAATGCGCTCTGAAAGGCTTCTCCACAAGCCCTCAAAAGTTGATCCTTGTCCATATCTGGTTTCCACAGGGCTTCGGCAGTTCCATAGAGAGACTTAGACGCAGCACCCGAGCAGACAAAGGATTGACTCGTGGATTTGGCACCAATCATGTCCATGGCACAAAGAAATGGCTTACAGGGTGCAGATGGCGATGACGATGTGGATAGTCCAGCAATCACAGGTTCTACATAGTATCTACCTCGATTTCTATGGAGCATGTGACTGGTAATGGACGCCAAGGCCTTTGGGGAAATGTACCGACGCCGACTATCTTCTTGGAGGGACGTGGAAAATCCCAAGGCTCGATTCAATTTGGCGCGGACTTGAGTCTGCAAGTCTTGCGATAAAGACTGGACGTCCCCTTCCAAGCCGACAAAGGCTACCATCAGTTGCGGGTTGGGCGTCCAAGCAAGTCGTGGAGCAATATTGACCATCTGTGGTCCACTTCCAAAACGCTTGTCGAGAGCTATGGCAACGCAATCTTTGCCAGCCATAGCCAAAAGGGATCCTGTAAGATGAGGAATCCAAGGCCAAAGTGAGTCACACGTAGATTGCAACAAGAAATGTAGACAATCATTGCTTGGTTTCAACGTGAATTGTTTACAACCGACACTATCCACAATGTACATCTTTGCTTTATTTTTCGTTGTTAGGTACACATGTCGCCTTACCTCCATTCATGGTCATTGGATCCTGTTGTTGCGCCCACGCTATACTCATGAGTGAACATGTGAATAGGATCAACGGCAAGAAAGTGCTCCGATTGCTAGCATTCATGATGTCCGAGGTCAAAGGATGATACAGTAGTGATATTGTGTTTATTTTGATCCATCATCACATCGCTTTTTTACTTCCAACCGATGACAGACAGACCTCTTCAAAGACATTTCACTTTTTCATTTTCAATTTCTCTCAAAACATAGTCCATATAATGACAAAGGCAACAAAGATGCAATAGATAGACAGGCAAAGTGAAGTCAACCAAGGATAGTGCAAGCGAATAGACGAATCCAGAATGCTTTCAAATGATGGGGTCAGCAAGCGCCATTCATTGCCGAAACTCTTGGGCGTGGCAATCCTTGTCGCTGTGATTTTTGTGGGAATGCAGTTCCAGAAGCAACTGCGACAGCCACTCCTCTTTTCTTCATTTGATTATGATCCAAGCTACCACCTTTCAATATATGCTATGGAGGCTACTGCATTGCTCTTTGGAAGCAACTCCAACAACACTGGTAGTTCCAAACCGACCAACAATACCATTCTCGTTTCCAATCCAATGTTCACTCGAGCTGCTGAACAGAACCAAAAGAAAAAGAAGAGACTACGCAATATCTTCTTTATCCATGTGGGGAAAACAGGAGGAACGACCTTACGAGAAACCGTTCTTCGCTACGGATGCCGATTGTACGGAAGTGACAAGGCCAAAGCAAATTGCCACAAATTCTTGGAGAAACATGGCGGTGAATCAGCCTTGGGCAAGCGCACCCAAGGGATCTTTCATTACCAACAAAAGCGTCCCAGTTCCAAGAAACAAATCAATAAAATGGACTGGATGTTTGTCATTCGAGAACCAATTGCCCGTTTCATGAGTAGTTACGAGTACATCAATCCACACAATTGCATACAGGGGAAAAAGGAACGGAACATGGATCAAAAGTGCAATCGACAATTTCAAGCCCAAAACTTTCCTGCTTCCTTTCCATCGAAATTCTTTTACGATTGCTTTCCGAAGGTTCAAGACTTTTTGCATTTTCAACCACTAACGAAAAAGAACAAAGGAAAGCGCAAAAAGAAGAAGCACAAGGCAACAGGAAATCATGACGGCGGCCTGATGCTAGAGGCACAACGGCAAAAGTGCAATCCGTTGTGGAAGGGAGCCTTTGTACCTGGCTTGTTCAACGATTACGGTCACATGACGGCCAATTACCAATACTACACCAAGGGATTGAAACTAGCATCGAAGCAGCAACAAGAAGAACAATCGCTGAATGATACCCGCAACGTCTATGTCATTCGAACCGAACACTTGTGGGAAGATGTCAGCAGGATCGATGCATTAGTCGGAGGAGCTGGCAACTTTTCGCATGTCCAAGGCAAGATCATCAACCGACAAACTACCACCACAAAGTCTACTAGAACAATGAATGCTACTGTTAGAAATACTACTACTCTTGGTGACAGCAACAGCGAGCCGCCACAGCAACAGCAACAACAACAAATCATGTTGGTTCCTCTGACATTCTGCTGTGCCCTCTTGCCAGACATGTTGGCCTTTCGAAACATTGTCAATCGGGCGGATAATCTGAGCGAAGAGCAAAAGCATGAAACCAATGCCATGTCGTACAGACGTTGCAACGTTACCAGTTGGGGAGGACTACAATCCAAATGTGGCAAACCAACGAAAAAAGGAATGAAATGATGGTTACTATGGTCCGCAAACCTATCGCAAGTCATCCAGTCTTTTATACCGACCATGCGTAGTCGCCGGGGTTGATGGACTGCAAAAAGGGTAGGACGTTGGATATCACAATATCGGAACCGCAACTAATGCGGCAGTTGTCCCGGTGGGCTTCAAAAGCATCCACAGAAGCAGCAACAAGATAATTGGCCACCCCGTCGTCTTCCAAAATGTTGTTTTTGCCATCCTGCAATTTCATCCTCCACAACGCCTCTTCCAATAAAGAAAGCGCCTCGACACGTTCGTATTGTACCAATTTGTGAAAGAGTTTTCCAATCTGACGCACCCGATAGGTAGGATTGTTAAGCTGAATGGCTTGGAGATAATGATCGACATCTTGCCTCCAGAGGAGCAGCCCCAAGTCTTGCAATCGTTTTGGAATGGTTTCTTGCAGTGCCATGTGAAGCAGTGTGGTAGCATTGGAAGAGGCATGTAGACTCAAAAAATAAATGGGACTCATTCCCCATTGGTCCGGTTGAGAAAGACAACGGATTGGGTATCGTTTCAAGAGCTCTTGAAATATGATGGTATTAAGCTCGGATGCCAAGGCCAAAATATGAAATGGATTCATTCCGAATTGGTCAGTTGCATGAAAAGTCTCTTTTTTGCCTGCATCCATCATGACTTGGTTCAAGTTTTCCAGAGTACTTGTAGTCTTTTCTCTCTGATATTGGCAAAAAGACTGATTGCAACATAACTGATGCACAGGAAGGCCAGCGAATCTCTCTTTTAGTCCTTTCACAATGCCACCTGGGAACATTTCGATAAGCTTGTCACAGTTTTCAAAGACCCCGTCGTCGAATACCGAAGTATCCATTTCGGGAGAAAGCGCCACGTGACACAAAGATCGACAGGAAAGAAAGGCTCCATCGCCAATGCTCTCCACCTTGGCTGGAATCTCGACAGACAGCAGACTTGTACATCCACGAAAGGCTTCGTAGTCAATGACCTTGACCGAAGATGGAATGTGAATGTTCTTCAAGGCCGTACAACTCACAAAGCAATAGCAAAATATATGCTCTAGACCTGGTGGAAGATTGAGGAATACAATTCGTTCGCAATTCATGTAGGCACCACTCCCAATCGAGTCGGTTGTTGGTGGAAGAAAAGTTTCTTGCAGACGTAGGCAATCCTTGAAAACATTGTAGGGCAAGGCGGTGCAGGTATCTGCCAATCCAATTTCTTTCAACGAGACGCAGTGCTCAAACGCCGAGTTTCCAATCTTTTCAACGGAAGATGGTATCTCAATTTGCTTTAGAGATCGGCACTCGGCAAAGGCATGGGGTCCAATCTCGGCAATTCCCTGTGCGAGACCCACGGTCATTAACCGGATGCATCCTTCAAAGGCGCTGATTCCAATCAGTAAAACACTTCCGGGAATGTTGATGGTGGCCAAGCATGTACATTCTTCAAAGGAACGAGCCCCAATCGATCGAAGGCCTTGGGGCAAGTAGACCGCCACTACTGATTCCCATGAGTGAAAGGCGGAATATCCGATTCGACTGACTGTTTGATCGACAATGATGTGCCTTGCGTCAATAGTATCAGCAGCACTTGTAGAGGAGCCAGTATACAAAAAGGAACCACTGCTGCTGCTGCTGCTGCTATTGTTCGGAGGCGAAGAATAATCTTCTTGCATATTTTCGGAAGCGGCTTTTACTCTTTCTTTGCCGTCTCCTCTGTTGCTTTGCCGTCTCTTCTTTGTTTCGGTTTGCAATGAAAGCAATGGTATGTCAATAATGTGATGCTTTGATCAGAACATTTCAATGCCCAACAAGTTCCACCTTTCAGACTTTTTAGTGTGTCCCTTTTGTTCCCACCAAATCTTGTTCGCCCCAAAATTGAAAAAGGCGAAGCTTGCGAATTCGAAATCAAAAAATGCCAGGAAGTTTGACGACCTCCCGAGGAAATGGAGAAAGGGAACGTAATCACGGTCTTTCATCACTCCCTAAAAAAGGGAATAAATTAATCTGGGCCATTAAAAATTGCGGAACAATTGCGATTTTTAATTTTCCCGACACCTCATACACAAGACAGACGAACCGAAGAAAATGCAGCAACTCCGATAATGCGATCAAAATGCCAGGGCTAGGCCAATGACATCAAAGCAAAGGCGCCACCTCAGCGCCAAAATGCCTTCAGTTGGAGTTGACACTGCCTGTTCTTTGAGTTTGAGAACTCCAATCAAGCTCACAAATTCCCCAACCCAACGTCAAACGAACCGGAAAAAACAAAAAAATGCCACAATATAAATTTCTTCTCCAAACACTCGGCTGCCTTCTCGCAGCCTCTCAGATTGAGTCCTTCTCCTCCATCAGATACAATTCCCAAGTTACAAAAACGAAAACCATGACAACTGAACTCATCATGGTGTCCAAGACTGACATTGCCTTTGAAATGATCTCCACCACTGCCCCTTCCGTTGAGGTGCCTACCAACAAGTTGGGCAACCTCATTGTCAGCTGGGAACCTGAATCTGCCGTCAAGATTCGTGACGAGATTCTCGAAAAGCGATTGGAACAACGCATGCAGTTGGAGGATGGCAACAGCCCTCTGCCCCGCAAGCCATTCATGGTGGGCGTCGTTGGAATTCCTGGCTCGGGCAAAAGCACTTCTTCGGAAATTTTGTCGGCATTTTTGCACGATTCCATTGTCATGCCCTTGGACGGCTACCACACCTCCATGGCCGACTTGGAGAAGCTCCCCAATGCCGCAGATGCCATTTACCGTCGAGGTGCCCCAGACACCTTTGATCCTGCCTCGCTTGAAAAGGACTTGGAGCGCATTGTCAATGGGAAGGAATCTCACGTTTCCATTCCGGGATTCGACCACCACAAGGGAGATCCCGAACCCAACCAGCACACCTTTTGCCGCGACGCGCATTCCATCGTCATTGCCGAAGGCATTTACCTCATGCATCAAGGGGATGGATGGGAAAATATCAAGTCTTACTTTGATCACATTGTTTACATTGAGGTCGATGTCGACACTTGCGTGGCCCGTCTCAAGGAACGTAACAAGTGCATCCCCGGATATACTCCGGAAGAAATTGAGATTCGCTGCGAAGTGGTCGACCGTGCCAATGCCGAAACCGTGGTCCGATCCAGCTGCTACGCCAGCGAGAAGGTCCATACCTTTCAAGCACCCTCCACTCCAGCAGCAGCAACCACAGCAACCACAGTAGTGGCTGCCATGAGTGCCTAACTTGCTTGTCAAGAAAGGCAACACAACCAAACTGGAACGAAACAAGCTACGAAATGTTTCGTTCCACTTGTGAAAAGAGATTCCATGAGAAGATGCATGGAATTGAATGCATATTGCATATCGAAAATGTATTACTAGTAGTCGAAATAACTGTACTAACAAATAGAGAAAATAATAATGATAAAATGACAAACACACAACACGCATTCTCAAGATTTTTATAAAAAATCAGCAATAGCCCAACATTTCCTCATTTTCATTTACTTTTTATTCACATCAGGTAGGACCATGAGTACCGGTAAGGGTAGGACTACCCATGCATTTGCAAGACATATATAACGAGATATGATAATGGAGACGGGCACATCACATTGCAGTTGGACTACAATTTTTCGGACAATAACTATTTTTCCTAATTTTTATACGATATGTATATATATATATCATATATACGGTACAGATATTAATATCAGATTCCTACATGTACTGCAAGTATGAATATCCATCCAGGAAGGCTCCCGCCAGCAATGCATGTGAATGAATGCCTAAAGCTCCGAATGATCTGTCCGTCGGTCGACCTGCGCTTCTTGAAAGATTATTTCATCCGCCTCCTTCACATTTTGTATTTAAAAACGAAAACAATGGAGGACAACAAACCAGATTCTGCTGAGAAACTCTTGAATAAAGGCCTTCTCTACTTTGACCAAGGAAACTATCAGAAGGCAAAGGGGCTTTTGGAGAGAGCGTTGCAGATACAAACGAAAGAGTTAGGTGAAGATGATCCTGCTGCTGTGGCCTTGACACTCAATCACATTGGAACTGTTCTGCGGGAGGAAGGAAGTTTTAATGAAGCCATGAAGAAATACTTCAGAGCACTTGCGATACGCGTAAAGAAAGTGGGAGAAAAACACATTGGTACCGCAGATAACTTCGAAGGCATTGGCACAGTCTTTTTGAGACTAGGCAAAAACAAAAAAGCCGAAGAAATGTTCCGCAAAGCGCTGGATACCAAGCTCGAAATTCTACCAAAGACTCATTCGGAAGTCGCGAGTCTGTACCAGTCCCTAGCGTTATCATTGAAAATGCAAGGCAAATTTTCAGAAGCAATCACGCTACAAAAGCTCGTACTTGCGCAACTACTACAAATGCATGGGGAAGATCACCTTGGTGTTGTAGCATCATACAATAGCATTGCAAGCACTGAGATTGGAAGGACTGGCATTGAAGAAGCAAGGCGATTCGGAAAAGGCGATTCAACTCTTCAGCAAGGCACTAGACATTTACGAGAAAATCTATACTAACACTCATCCCAATCCGGCAGCAGTCTACATGAGTAGTTCAGCTCTCTGCGTTGATATAGCAGCAGCCAAGGAGACAATCTCGGCTGTCAAAGTGGAGGAGGGTCTGCTGGAAGATGGCATTGCTGCGAGCGCAGAAGCCCTCAAGATTCGTCGAAGAATGCTTGGGGATGATCATATCGACACGAAGGCGCGTTTGGAAGCGCATAGATCGTTGCTGAATCGTCTCTTGGAGAATCGGATCTAATGGCAGATTACTCAGCAATGCTATGCTCAGTCAACCATTTTCTGAAAACTTCCAACTAACATAGTAGTAAAAGAAAGGATGTAACGACCGTGTCGTCAACACTCGCAACCAAACCAACATGCAACACGCGTTCCCGACTAAGGACTTCCCTAACCCTATCACAGGCTCGAATGCCCTTGAATCGCTTTGTTGACGGAAACCCCTTTCATTATGCAATCGAATGCAATCTCAACGCCGGAGCAATTGAATTATCGTCCTTGTTTTGACTAAAGAATGTTAGCAATATCGTGGGCGGCACCAAACGTCGATCGCCCTCCAGATCCCACCAGGCTGGTCAAGGCGCATCGTCATCACCACCACCATTGGCAGTTGGTGGTGGTGAAAGATCCCAAATGTTGGGACAAAACTCTTCGTGTATCAGACAAGTCATAGACGAACATTCCAGTGTGTAGTTTCTCCAGAATCCTCCCTCGGCAGTAGGTCCTGCGGCATGCAGAATGAATTCAGGCAAAACATTTTGATACCGAAATAGTTGACCCAAGCCCATGTTTCCGGATTGGACCAGTGACCTCCATTCGGCATTGTGCACTTGTACCGTAGAGTCCGCCTGACAAAAGACCTGGTCAAAGACGGATAGGTCTACTCGACGATCCCAGCCTCCTTCCAGTCCATCAATCTGATTACAGTGTTTGAGAGTCACTTCGACGGGAGCATCGTAATAGGAAGAAACGATGCGCTGTAGATTTCCATTGGCAGTAACAGCAATCCTATCCATGGGATGACTGATTCCATAGACTTCTGCCAAGGAGTAGGATTCCGAAGTTACCAATCCATCTCGAAAGAGAATGTTGGCATCGGTTGACTTTGGAGACATGATATCGCCAAAGTTTCCACCAGAATTTGGATATGGTTTTCCATTTGCTCTTTGTAGATTTGATAGAACGCCAATGCTGCTCGAATTAGAGCTTTTAATAGTATCTGTCGTGTTGTTCACGCCATCGCTTTGATTTTGATTTGGAGTTCCATTCTCATTTCGCATGGAAGGCCCCTCCTCTCCCAAATACATGGACAGTGGGTGAGGGAGAAAGATAGGTCTCCGTGACTTGGACGCCGCTGCCATCGAAGGACTGTAAATCTTTGCGACGGGAGCAAATGCTTCCATTGTTGCAACACTGCCAAGAACAAGGAGAAACCAGAGACTGGCTTGCCGCGTCCCTGTACATCTTATGCGTGAAACCGACATGGATGATCGATTGATTGATTCAGATCTCTGGGGATTGTGTAAGCTGCTGTCTCGTTTGTTGGGTTATAACACGTTACACGATCCAAGGGAGGCAGGCACACACTCTCTTTTCTTTCCTCTTCCAACAACTCATCGGAATATTTGGATCTCGTTTCTTGTTTTTTTATGACGTGTCAAATAGACGGGTGATGTCCATACCGCTGTCCATTTGTTTCACATTTTGATGGCCACCGGCAAGAACTGCTACTCTTCGTAGTTGGCTGGTACAGTGTATACCTGGTATGTAATACTCATAGCAGCTACAATTAAAACTAGAAACTATATGAATGGCATCTCAGGCAAACGCCATGATTGTTTCAATCTCTGGTTCCCCTAAGGTACCTGGTACCACATACCGGTATTGAACCACAACCAAAATAAAGGGGTGGATAACGTCCGTCCGTCTGTACCTCTATTTTTGGGTCCAACTAATCAAAAAATATTGCTGGTCATCGCGTCTGTCAGTCGTCAGTCAGTCATAAACAAAATGATGTTGGTTGAGTTGTGAATACCGATGACATTACCCACTATCTCCTTCCACAATGGCACCATTGGCACCAAAAAGCAAAGCGCCCACCAAAAGATTCTACTTCATCGTTATCGTTGCAATAGCATGTACACACATATTTGACTGGAGTCCATCCAGTTATGCTTTTTATTCTGAAAATACTACGAGTAGTGGTGGTGGTGGAAGCGCCCAGGGGCACCTCTCCTCAAAACCTCAATGGAATCATCGTGCTGCCGTGGAAGAAAAGAGTCAGTCAAAAGACACATTTGAAGCGGGCATGTCGGAACAAGACGTGAATTTGAATGCAGATGAGGAAGAAAGTCAGGATGAAGACAGTCCGTCTGAGTCTAAGTCTGAACAAGACTCGGATGCCAGTTTGGATTCGGATGAGCATGATGAAAATCAGGATCAAAAGCAGGACGGAGACTCAAACCAAACGCAGGATGAGTCTCAGTCAGAAGGGGATGCGAATTTGGATTCGGATGAGCATGATAAAAGTGAAGATGCGAATTTGAATGCTTCAAGTACGGATGAGGGTGAAAGTCAGAATAATACTACAAGTACAGAAGATGAGGATGAAAGTCAGAATAATGAAGGCACAATTCAGTCTCAGGCTCCATCTGAGACGCCAGCTGAACAAGATACGGGTTTGAATACTACAACAAGTGAGGTTGAGAATGGTGAAAATCAGAATGATGGCATCATTCAGCCTCAGACGAATTCGTCCGAATCTCCTTCTGAACTAGATACAAATGGTGTGAATACTCCAGGTCCAGTCGAGGATGGAAGTCATAGTGAATTGGGTTCAAGTACGGGTACACCGAGTGCAATCGAAAAGTGGAAACAACTATGGAGAGACAACATACCTGAAAATGCTACCGTCAACGCCTTACCAGAACCGACGGCGAGTCGAATACTATCCTTGAACCACACCCTGTATGGTAAATCGGCAACACAAAGAGAGGTCTTCACCAGCCTTGTTGACGCATTTCCTCTCCCAAAACATGAAGATTCGATCGCAGTGTACAGTGAAGAGGCGTACAACAAGCTTATATCCAAGTTGTTACAGACAGACAAACCTGATCGCAAGTTCAAAATTGTTGCTACTGGTGGCTCAACGACAGCAGGGGGTGGGAAGCCACCCGTACTCGATAAAGATCGGTATTACTCCAAACTTGCTGACTACTTGAATAGCATGCTCTCAATCAATCAAACAGGGACACAGCAAACGATTGAATATATACCTCAAGGCCATGGTACCCGCAATTCGCTCCATGCTGCTGTGCTACTCGACAATTTTATTCCTTCCGACACTGACTTGTTACTCTGGGAGTTCTCGATTAACGACGCAGCCGACCCAGATCTAAAGAACAAAGAGGCGGTGTTGAGTACCTCGAAACAAAGCTTCATTGCTTGGCTTCACGAGATCAGCGCAATGAAAGAGCCTCCGATGGTAGTGCTGCTTTATTACTGGAATTCGCCTTATCGTCGAAATCGGACAACCCATGAGATTATATGTGATTCATATGAATCACACGGTGACATTGCTCGACAGTTTCCGTTTGTTGTCGGTCATTTGAACATGGCAAAATACGTTGACGAAGAGCTGAATCTCTCAACCTGTGGGCTTTATCGAAAATGTCCACTTCTTAGTGATCAGCACCATGCCAGCAGAATTGGTCACGTGGCGACTGCTTTTCTATTGCTAAACGTGCTGAACCCTTGGTTTGCTTCTCAATCCGCGGCTGCTGCAAAACAACGAACATTCCTTGATGATACAAAACATGAATGGACTTGTGGTACAGAGACGGACGCCAAACGACTTTTACAGAGTGTCATAACCAACTCATCCACTGGGTGGAAATCATCCATTGGCAGCTGGACGCTGGAGATACCTATATACAATCAAGAGACTCCAAGGAGTCTTGTGCCTGGCAATCCATTGGAAGGCATTGAGCTGATATCAAAGGCGAGTGATATTCGGCAAGATAGACAACGGTGCATATCCTTGAACCAGTGCGGCGCAAATAACACATTTTACTTGAAAGCTCCATTTGAACAACCAATGCGAAATGTCCGAGTGATGCTCATGAGCTTCAGAACCAAGGGCCTGGGCCGCCCATTGAGCACCAGTGAAATCAGCGTCCAACTCAACGACTCGAATACATCCGCACCTGGAGAGCTTGTACCAATGATGGTTTACAAGAAACCAGAGATAGTCAAAGAGTGGCATTGTCATTTTTCGTGCTCATGTGCTTGGGGCACAAATGTTGACCTCTACTGGTATATTCTGAATACCTCCGAGCCAGCTGTGCATTCCGTCCGAATGTGCGTACCTCCCCGTGTAAATCGATCACCCAAAATACAGTCCCTTGCATTTTGGTGATGACAAGGAAGGTCACGGATAGCTAGACGATGATATCATCATCAGGAGTCGGTCAGTCAGTCAGCAGCCAAAGAGGAAAGGCAATACCGCTGTCTGCGAAACTACAATACTCCGAATTTCAAGCTCCAGACCTACTGTAGTTACCAGAGTGGAGCGTCGTCTCCATACCAAGTCATAAAACTGTCTGCTAGGGACTCAGAAATGAGCGAAGTTACGAATATAGTCTGAGCACCAAATTTGAATTCGTCACGACTAGCAATACTACTATACAAGAGTCTACGAAGCCCAATCTCAAAGCAATCGATAGGTAGTAAAATAAGCAGCCACCTCCATTTTGTTTCGTTCCAGAGGCGTCTGTCTGTCTATAAGCCAACTTGTGCGAGTTGAAAATAAGGTGGAATGTCTGAAATCATGAGAAGACAGCACCTGTAAATGTTGTGTATCATAGATCACAGAATATCTTTCCTCATTCAAGAAGAATACCGACGGAGGGTTCGGGTCTCGTTATTCAAGTATATATATAAACGGATGCTTTTATAAAGCGTAAGAAGAAGAATGACGGCCAAGTCGTCCTTGCCAAGAGAAAAGAACATCAAATGCAAACAGGAGAAGATGTCACCAGAATGGAATTTCGAATTCGCATTGACAAAGTAATTTTTACGGATATAAGCACCAATGATCATCAAGTCATCTGATAAGAATCCTTCGTTACTGAATGGATTCTTCGACTCAGAGTCGAAGCCCCACATTCATATCTGTGAACGTATATTTGCAAATGATCAAGAAAAGTGAGCATGTTCTGATCAGATCTGATCAGAAGCACTGGGGTACTGGCAAAGCTTCGTTCAGGACGGAACAACGTAATCTCAAATCGTGCCGCACAACTACAGTACCATATGATAAAACCAACTGACACGAAACAGTTGCAAACAGACAAGCCAAATAAGCAGCATCAAGAACCCCAATCACGTCACAAATTATGAAGGAACGAGAACAACTTTTTAGTTTCTCCCTCTTTTTTCTCTTAGCATTGCTGCACCAGTCTACCGCATTTACAACAACAACTACAACAACGTCTATCAACAACAACAATAACAAGATGGGTTTTGTCAAACTAGGCCGACACCGAAAGTCTTACTCCGAGTCGTCAACGACTCTGAAGATGTCCAAGCCACCCATGCCAGAAACCCTGGCGGGAGACTTGTGCGACAAGATTAAATGGAGGAAATTGGACCCCGAGACCTCTGCTGATATTTACATGGACATTTCCACAACCAAGATTGCCAATGTCTCCATTAGCTGGGAACCTGAAACCGCCCAAAAGATTCGCAAGCTTGAATTGCAGAAGAAGGTCAAGGCATTTAACAAGTACGGAGACGACGCTCCGGAAAAACCATTCATGGTGGGCGTCGTTGGAATTCCAGGCTCTGGAAAGAGTACTTCTGCTGATATTCTGTCATCCATTCTCAGTAGCTCCATTGTCATGCCCATGGATGGCTTTCACACTCCCATGGCCGATCTGGAAAAGATGCCCAACGCCACGGACGTCATTTACCGCAGAGGAGCTCCGGATACCTTTGATCCGGCCTCGCTCGAAAAGGCCTTGGAACGTATCGTCAATGGCGACGAGGAAGAGGTGTCCATTCCTGGATTTGACCATGAAAAGGGAGATCCAGAAAAGGATCAACACACCTTTATTCGCAGTGAACACTCCGTTGTGATTGCCGAAGGGATTTACCTCATGCATCAAGCAGATGGATGGGAAAACATCAAGTCCTACTTTGATTTCATTGTGTACATTAAGATTGACGTCGACACTTGCGTCGCTCGACTAAAGTCACGGAACAAGTGCATTCCAGGATACACGCCAGAAGAAATTGAGATTCGATGCGAAATTGTCGACCGCAAGAATGCGGAGACTGTCGAAAAGAGTAAGATTTGGGCAACGGAGGAAGTGATCTCTGGAGCAGCATAAACGACTGTAATCGGGACGCAAGAATTGATTGAAACATTATGATGATAATGAGCATCATAGAACATACAATAGGTGTGTGCAGAACTGACCAACAAGTTCTTAAGCACGCCAAACCTTTTTCAACCGTGACATACAGTAACATACTATACGTAAATACCATTTAGACACTAATGATAGTCATTCTTTATTAGCATAACAATCAGTTCCGTAGTTATTGTTTGTTATCGCTAGTACTAATTCTACTGCTAGACCCTGCTAGTTTTCGTTGTCGTCTTTGCTCAAAATGCCCAGCGAGCCACAAGGTCCCTTTTCCAGCCATGCTTCCAGCGATACCACTGGCATCAAAGATTACTAAATTGGGCACGACCTTGCGATTGACTTTCATGACACCAGCCGCATAAATATCCACATTTTGTCCAGCCTGTTGGAGTCCAACATAGACGGATAATGAATCAAATGGACGTTTGGTTGTACCTTCTCCTGCTTCCGGATCCAAATGAACCAGGACGGAATAATTGTCCTTGCCGATCTTGTCAATGGTGACACTTTGGCAATATCTCATGATACCTGTATGGCTACGAATCACTCGTTGCGATTTCAATACCAAGTCTTGGCGGTACCTTATACCACCACCAGACTTTTCATCCTTGTCATGATGCAAGGATTGCAGCATTGCTCCTCCAAATCCCCCTGGTATTCTTCGTGATGATATCCCCTTTTTTGGTTGAGCATCTTCTCCTTTTGCATTGGGATTGTAATCATCGTCAATCTCATCATCATCACACTGAATTTCGTGAAAGGTGCACTGAATGACATCCTTTTCGTTCCATTTCTCTTGGAGTGAAGGTGTCAGGTAAGCAGCGAGGACTTCGTCTACAGTGCAATTCACCGCCACTTGACTAGATTCCGCCAATACCCAATCCCCATTCAGTTTGGTGGAAGATACCTTGCCGGCACGACCATCCTTTCCGCGAAAGTCTTTAAGCGGATTTCTCTTTCGTTTCAGATTCTTTTTTAGGGCGGCCTGAATTGATGACGGGGATTGGAATCGGTGAAAGAAAAAGCCTTCGATAGTGTCATCATCATCCGACAAGGCCGGTTGCAAGGATGGATTGTCGTAGTCATCCCTATAGCTGGTGAAGGGAATGATACCACTTGGTACCGCCACGGCATGGACTATTGCTGCATGACGACCAGAAGAAGCTAACACAGTAGCAGACAGCGCGATCCAGATGATTCGTAAGCGTATCTTTGGCATCTCGGGTGTACTACCTACTGTGATAGATCAGAGACTTGGCAACTCCAGTCGTGATGGTTTCCGTTGCTGGTATCAAGGACAAAAATTGCATGACGAACGACACACCTCAAGGTTTGTGATTGGACAACCGACTTGATTTTGGTCAGTGAGGCGCGCGAGCGGGACCGCCTGTTGGAAGCCATTTTTGAATTTCCCCCTTCCCGGCCGATTTTGGAAATTCGCAAATCATAACAAGTTCTTCATAATTCGCAACTCGTGTCGCGAAACCAACTGTAAGACAAGCAAACACCATGAAATACAACTTTCAAAAGAAGATGCAGTCTCCAAGACTGTCCATGACTAAGAACAAGACTATGGATTCGGATCGCCGAAGCCTCATCCTCCAGTCGATGGATTCTTTCCTGGGCATTGACGAAGACGAGCTCTCCTTGGGCGATCTTCCTCCAGTCAACAAGCCATCCATCCGAAAGCCAGGTGCCTTGACAAGAGACGATCGGTCTACTTCTACCGAGGTGACTGCCTTGGACGATTCCGTTGCGTCCTTTGACCTCACTGAAATGGAAAAGGAGGCAACCATTACCATCCTTCCAGTCTCTCCCTTTCCTGAATCTCACCCCGAAGATATTGGGGAGGTGCAAGAGGACTGTTTCGATAGCGATGATGACGAATGGTCCACCAAGTCGTTGGAAATTTTGGAATTGCGCAAGTTGAGCCATCGCAGGTCTGTTTCCATTCAGTCTGTGGAGATGGATGAAAACTGTTTGCGCATGCCCGATTTGCGCAAATCTTCCGTCCCTCCCATGAGACGGACCTCCATTTCCGTCCCCGTTGCTCCTATTCAAGAAACCAAGCAACCTAGTCGTCGAAGCTCGGTATCCTTCGCGGAAATGGCCGAAGTAAGCTTTATCGACAAGCTTGACGCCAAAAACACTGACTTCGATTCCTTGTATTGGAACGAAGAGGAGCTGGCTGACTTTCGACACGAAGCCTTCTTGGAAGAGTGTGGCATTGCAGACGAAGACTTTGATGATTAAAAAACAAGAATCTTCATATAGATTAACCGGGAGGGGAAGTTCGCAAGCAACTTGAGTAGTCCATAACGACATTCCATAGACATAGACATTTTACATTTTAAAATATATAAAAACAATTACTTTTTGGTTCTTAAGCAAGGAGAATTACAGACACTGTAAGACTGAGTATCAATAGCCTCGTGCCAATATCACGGTTGGCCGAAGAGTCGGGTGTTGGATTGGAAGGGGCTGATGGAGGGCTCAATGTTGGTGCGCTTGTCGGTGTCACCGTTACCGGCCGACAAGCATCCGTAGACACAGTCACTTGTGCCTTGGTCGAATCACCACCACCACCACCACCACCACCCCCACCGTCCTTTACGACTAGTCCTGCATTATATGTTGGAATGAAATCCGACAGGTCACCGTGACTCCAAAAGTCTACGGACACAAAGTTGACTGGGTGGTCAAAGACCGATTGACATTGTTCCAAAATGGGTTCCACAAAGGTTCCTGTATTGATCGTCTGGGCTGCCGCCTTGCTTGGTGCAATGCCATTGTCCAGTATAAAATCATTAAAGAGATAGAAATCCTGTTGTGTGCCTATTGCCTCACACGGCGCGCCTTGCAAGGATTCGACCGACCTGTGGGAAAAGGACGTCTGAGACGCATAGTCGAAGAAGAAATGAATTCCATTCGGATTTCCGTTGGGAGGGTTGCCATTTGGACCGCTGGTGTAGAAAAAGATGATTTGTTTGCAATCTTGCACCATCTCGCCCAGTGTGGGCCAGGCTACATTGTCATGTTGGTACATTTTGGATTTGAAACTGTTCGACAAGATAGATTCGACATCTTGCAATGAGATGTCGGCGGCTCCTCCACCAGCGCCATTATTGACTTGCAGGAAAAATACAACAACTTCTCGTGGATTAGCTTCCAGCCAATCATCAATCTGTTGAAAGGTTTCTGTTGCATTTCTCGAACCGACACCACATCCCACCAAGGACGACCCATGACAAAATACTAATTGACCATTGCAACGGCAAATATCTAGACTAATTCCTCGATAGCCAGCGTCTAGAGATGCCACGATTGGGTCGTTCTCATGATTGGAAAATATAGTAAAGCCGTGAGAAGGAGAAGACATGGCATTGTGGACCATTCCATACAAGATCTCGTTCACAGAAAAGCCACACAAGCCATTGACACCATTACAAACATTGGACGTCGTGGTTTGTCCGTGGACTAGTGATGAAGATGATGCTAGAAAGAAAAGATATTGCAATAGTAAATTGAAAGTCCTCATGCTTTCTCTCTCACTGTTTGTTGTCTTGTGATGATATTTTATGCATACAGTCCCAGGTACCAGGTACTTGTACCGGTCTTGTGGCGCGGTATTGTGGGATCGTGCGTATGTCGATGGTGGAGGGGATTTATTTGTATCCCCTACTTTTATTTTTGTATTTTCGATCGACTGAATTAGACGTACCGGTATTATATTTGATGTTGGCCTATTTTGGGCTTCCTCAAATTAGTCGCATCTGATGTCAATGACGTGTTTTGGATTGGACATCCTTATTCATCTACTAATTTAGCCACACCTGACGTTGTGCATCGTCAAACCACATCATTGTCTTTCAAAAGACCAATGAATACCACAGAATAAAGAAATATTTGTCATCTCCGCGAAATCAATAAGTAATTGGTCTCGACTTATGTTCTTTGGATGTCCAGAACCGGAATATCAATAGCAAGAACAATTCGGATCTAGTCCTAGAAACTAGATCAAGTTGAATTTGGTTCACATTTTAGTTGCCACGTTGGTGGCGATTCACGTTTTTTTGCCAGATCAGTTGCAGAGAATGTGTGGAATCTAACGTGGCGCAATTTGGACGAGGATTTTGTCCTGTGGAACAGTCATGCCGAACCCCCACCGGATTTGCAAAACATTTGAAGACTACCAAGTCTCACAAACCCAAACACACAACCAAAACAACATCAAACTACAAAATCATGTCTGCTACCGCCGCCCTTGAACAATCCATGAAACTAAAACAAACCCAAAAGTCTGGAACATTCCAACCAATGATCAGTCTGAAGCGCCCTCTATCCTCCATGGGAAGCTTTGACCTCAGCGAATTCGAACAAGCTTCCAAGCAAATCGAAGACTCCATTGCCTTTCCAAGCATCGAATGGAGCTTTTCTGATGACGATGATGAGGACGATGTCTTCTCTTTCGAACCACCAGCCAAACGATCCTGCAACGGCTTGGTGCGATGCAAGAGTTCCGCCGATCTCTCCTCCGCGAGATGTGGCTCCGCTGGATCTTTGTGCTAAATCAACGATGATCGAGCACTACAATTTTGAAAATTTCTGCACAAAAATGCAATTCATACCACTCTGGCTCAATGATCACACTGTAAATATTGATCATCATTCCGTTGTCTTCACTTGAACATATCAAGGCAACCGAATCCAGTCCCTGTACACTACTACCACCACTACTCCAAACAAATAAATCCTGCTAACTGTAACGCTATAACTTTTTACATACACACATCACACACAACTATTGTCTGCATTGGTGCATACACTTTATACATCTTGCTGTCTCATCTACTAGAGAGCGACACATAACGTACCAACTTCCTACAACAAGCTTACATTGCTGCCTGAGTGAGTGTTTGGCATCACTTTTGTGTGTTTGGAAAGAGATTTGAGGATTGAGTCAAAGCGATCAACGTTTTTACTATCAGCGTTGGTCGTCCTTGTCCGTCCGTCTCAGTCTGTCCGTCTTTTACGGTCGGTCGGTCCAATGAATCATGGGCATCACCCATCACCTTTGACTTTTAATTCTTGCACATTTTCGCTTTTTGTCCTTCGCTTCAGGGAAGGCAAACAACAACGTTTGACCACATCGGAGCCCCGTAGAACCAACAAACCCCAGAGTCAGCGCAATGACTCACAACTACCTACTCGCAATCTCATTGCTACTGTTAGTCATGTTTATCCATCCAGCACGATGCTTTGTCCGGTCGTTGACAACCAAGCACTCGTTCCTACTCGCACCTCAACAGATTTTGCCTCGCCACTACCAAGCCACTCGATTATTTGTTGGCGCATTGGAGGAAACGAAGGAAAGTACAGCATCGACGACAGAATCCAAGTCTATTCCACGAGTTACGTTGAAACGAAATCGACAAACCAAAGCCTTTCGGGACGGAACTCAGCTGGTATTTTCCAAATCCATTGACAAGACCCCCAAGAAATTGCAATCGGGAGATTTGGTGGCTGTGGATGTCCCCGTTTCTAACGACGCCAACAATACGCAAACCACAGTGGTCGGCGTTGGAGTATACAATCCTGATTCCATGTATCGGGTGCGAATCCTGTGTCATACCTTTTTGAATGCCGACCTAAAGTTGGAGTCTATGGATCCCGAAATTGCCTTATCGACCATTCTGAAGCTGCAGTTCGACAAGGCACTAGAAACGCGAAGAACCATTGGATTGCCATCGAGCGATACCGATACTTTCCGACTATTCAATGGGGAAGGAGATGGATTGTCTGGGCTGGCAGTCGATATTGTTGGTGGCAATACAGCAGTTATCATGTCATCAGCAGCTTGGTGCCAATTGCATCAATCGTCTATCCTCAAGTCACTACAGGAGGTACTACCGGAGATGGATCTAGTGTGGAAAACGACTCCATCGCGGCTCCGTCAAGATGGATACGAAGAGCCGGAAGAATCGGACGAAGTGCCAGAGGAAGAGAACGAAGAACCTGTCATTGTGACCGAAAATGGTATTAAGTATCGCACCTTTCCCCACAAAAAGGGACAGAAGACGTCGGTCTAGTGCGATCAACGAGAGAATCGTCTCAATCTTGCAGCGCTGTGTGATGGAAAGAAGGTGCTGGATCTCTGCTGTTATCATGGCGGTTTCTCCTTGAATGCGGTCAAGAACAATGCGGTACATGTCACTGGTGTCGATTCGTCGAAGGATGCCATCGATACGTACACCGAAAATGCCAAACTGAACGGGTTTGAGGATCGCATTGACTTTGTCCGATCGGATATTTCCACATTTATGAAGTCTTGCAACGAGAAGTATGACGTGATTGTATTGGATCCGCGTAAGTGTTGCATTTGAATCTTTTTGCTGATTGCTGCGCCTATGGCATCACTTACTCACAGGCTTACTATCATGCAGCCAAACTTGCCCCGAGTATGTCAACCTTGAACAAAGCCAGTAGAAAGTACAAATCACTTAACAAGGATGCTCTGGAACTAATGAGTAACGATGGCGGGATATTTATGACCTGTACTTGTTCCTCTGCCATGACTCAAAAAGATGGAGGAAACTTTTTCCTTCAGACAATCCAGCAAGCGAGTTTGTCGGCGAGACGAGAAATAACACTTCTTCGAGTCAGTGGTGCAGCGCCATGCCATACACAGTCACCCGCAAGTTTCCCTGCTGGAAATTATTTGACAGCTGCGCTCTTTTACGTAAAACCGAAAAGTGGGACGGATTAGAACTGGATTGTGTGTATCGGTAGAGGGTATCGTATTTAGATTCTTTGTCGGGAGGATAGATTTGAAACGCCTTTAAAAAAATGATGTATCTTCCTGTCAGGCAGGCTCCTTCGGCGAATTTTGTTCACAGTGCAAGAAACGCGAGCATACACACAGCCAGTACCGATGCTCGACCACATATTTATGGTGCGGTATTCAGGAAGGGCTCAAAAAGCAACCGTTTTTAAAAATCAGCTGTTCAATAGAATATGTCTCGCTAACATATATCCCCGGACAAAGACGCTCGCGACTGAATAGTCATTTGCTATAAACAAGCCTTCATTTATTATGAGAAGGCTTCGCATTAATTGCAGTTGACTCATCAACGAATACATATTGAAATCAGAATATGAAAAAGCGGGGGCGGAATGTTGCCTCCTTGTGCATATGTCGAGACCGAATCCCCACACAAACCACGGTGAGCTTCAACTGTTGCTGAAACACGTGAGAGTGCAGAATCTGAACACAGCGTCGCATATATATAGTTCATGACAAAAGGGCTAATGCAATCACCGAAAGAGGAGGAAGACAGGACATCAATTGGAGTCGAGAAAACCCCAGTAGACGATGCCGCCAGTAGGTATGCTGCCTTGCGTAACCACTCGATTCGGTTTGAAGATGCAATCGATCCTAATGCAGAGCGAGTAGACAAGCTGGGAAAGATGGACGTTGTCTTTGGGAGAGGCAAGGGTTATCAGAATCATCCAGGAAACCAGAGGATGCGATCCATCATTGATGGGTACAAGATCAAGTATCATACATTGAAGCGAGCTGAGAAGAAGAATCTTGTTGAACAAGTTTACAATGAAATAGTTGAAGGGGGTGTAAGATTCTTGAAGAAGGACAACAATGAAAATTCATGGATCCTTGTAGATGCGCCTGTCGCAATGCAGAAAGTTAGCCACACCCTCCGTTGTCGAAAACTGAAGGGAGCAGATACGGCTGAGCTTGCAAATGATACAAACTTATCGCTTGCAGCGCAAAGATCCAACGTTGCTATTCATCCCCAAGCCGACCAATCATCCTTGTTGATGATGCAAAGAGGGGAAATATTACCGTCCATGCAAGCTGCCAATCCTTCCTTGGCATCTTTTTATGGCAGCCTCAGTGGGCAGCCTTCAGCAGGGTCGTTTGGTGGATCCCTGGGAAGGTTTGGAATGGGAACTGGGTCTTCGTTTGCAGGTCTTCAAGGACAACAGCTTTCGTCATGGGGCGGATATGGAGGAATTGGGAACCTACCCATGATGGGAGCTCCCGCAGCTATGGACTACTATACGTTGTTGAGGCGGCAACAACTAGTTCAAGAGGCTACTATGAGGATGCAGCAGCAGCAGGATGCAGCCATGTCGAACTCGGCGAGGTTGCAGTTAGCGACGAACAATGAGATAGAAAGCTTGGCAATGCAGCAATACGTGGCACAATTTTCTATGAACAACCGCGGTGGAGACAACAACGCCCCACCAACAGATGGCAGCACTCGATATACTACTGATAGAAGGTAGTGGTGATGCGAGGACTTTCAGAAGATCGTTAATCACCAGAAAAGTGGCATATGAAGTAAGTTCCGGAGCTCTGTGTGGACGCATAGTCTGCAGGCAGCAATTCCGGTTCTACAATTCGCGAGTGGAAAATTGGGGATTATGGCTGTTGCCTACTATTTGCTAGTAAGATGATTTTCAAAGTTTTCAATTTGCTCTGCTAGGATGCAATACAACAGTGTTGGCTTTTGCGCAATGTACAAGTAATATTGTAGACTGGTTGTCTCAACTGTGCTCCACCATGACCGGTCAAGTAATCAACCCAGCAATCACCAGGAAGTGACCTCATCCACATATCACAGTTATCATCAATCATTCCGCCTCCGACGCCTCCGCCTGACGCTGTCAGCTACATCATATGCAAGCTGTTCGTCTGGTTAAGAGTCGTTCATGTCGTTTCATAATTGGTGGCTAGATATTGTCATTTCATCTCTTTGCGAAGGGAATGGTGACACGAATGGGCGACTACTCTCGGCCATCAGTAGCCTTGTTGGACCGCCATATTCGTTACTTGATGAACTCGTTGGAAAACCACTTTGCAGAAGCAACGACAGAGACACAAAAGCGCGACATCTCGCTTGCCGGCCTAGCAACTCTCACTCTCTGGCTCGGGTGGCTCCGCTCTGCTGAGTGTTTTGGTATCAATTGGGAAGATTGTTCCATTCTGGAACATGAAGACTATGCACAAGCTGACCTCCCACGTAACTGTGGTATGGTCACTTTCCGACTCAACCCTGTCACTAAGTCGGAGCGCACTCGAACTGCTGATGTTATCATCGCATACACTACTCGATCAGGCTACTGTATCGGGAAGTGGTTCCACAGAGCGCAAACGTACCGGGCCCGACGTACAGGGCCCGTTTTCTGCCATGCCAATGGCACAGTTTGGACCTCTCATTTCTTCCGGACTACCTATCTCTATCCAAGTCTCAAAAAGCAGCGTTTGGAGGGCGACCCGCTTCTATTGCCTTTCGATGGATCCATATCCAACACCATTGAAAGCCGATTCTGGTCTCTCCACACATTCCGTCGCGGTGGCCGCAGTCACGTCGTTAAAAATTTTCTACCTATTGCTGGAGTCTGGATGTGTTTTGCTCAAGTTCCAAGTTGGACTGATTTGTGTGCCTTTTAGTGGAGCTCAAGCCACTCAATTCGGTCATTTCTCGCTGGCACATCCAGTCTCGTAGCTTCTTACGTGCGGCGGTCCTCGCATTCCTCGGGCCGCCGGAATAAGGAATTCTTCTTCTTCATTTCTTTCAAAACCTTTCTATACGGTCGGTTGGGTAGAGTTCTGTTCTTCGATCGTCGGCACTTTTGACAAATCGCATATAAAATAAAATACAAAGCAAATTGTATCTTTTGAATTTTTTGATCGGACAACAGCATGAGGTGATGAACCTACCGCTAATTGCCGCCGACGACAGTGGACCACAATGGAGACTTAAGCGCTTGCATGGTCGCCAAGATGAACTTAACTTGCTGCAGCGTATAGCAGAGGAGAAATCGTCGTCTTGCGTCCTTGTTGAAGGAGGGGAAGGGAGCGGGAAAACATCATTGATGCATTCTGTGCCATGGAATCAGCATAATTGGGTCTTTGTCTCTCGGAAGTTTGAAAGACATCTAAGTATAGAGCCTTACTCTGCATTGATTAGAGCAATCGTCGAAGTTGTGGAAGTTTGGGCTGAAAACAACAAGGAGGAAGGCCACATGAAAAGCTTGTTGCTAGATTTGTTGGAAAATGATGTCGATGTCCTTCAAAACGTCATTCCAGACGTTGTCAATATTATCAGCAGATTCACAGACGATATGCATTTCTCCCAAGCACCTACGGTCAGCGACATTAGAAAATCTTGGCGGCAAGAGAGCGAGGAGATAAAGGGAGCTGATACTGTAGCTGTTGCAGATTCATTTTTACGATTGCTTTCGTTGATGTCCTCAGCAAAGCCGATTGCACTGTTCTTGGACGATGTTCATTTTGCAGACGCATCATCTATGAAGGTTATTGAGACCATTATGTTTGCCATTACTGCTAGCTCTACCGAGGTTAGTAGCCATGTGCTTGTGGCACTTTCATATGATTCTAGCCAGGCCGAGAAGAACAAATTTGCTACAGGCACAATCGACCGTGTGAAGACCCTCGGATCAAGTTTCCACTACTTGCATCTAAAAGATCTCAGTGTTGATACTGTCAATGATGTTGTGGCATCATTAGTCAATGCGGGCACCAAGGAAACACTTGCACTCTCGAGCGTTATTCACAAGAAGACATCTGGAAACCCGTTTGCGCTTTCGCAGTTCCTCCGATACGCTCGCGAAAAAGATTTTTTTACATATTCTATTGCATTGGACAAGTGGGATTGGGGAGACGTAAATGTGCTGGACAGATATGCTGCCGTATCCGACAGTGTTGCGGATATCTTAGGAACATCCATGAGCAAGCTGAGCATTGCGGCTCAGGTTGTGATAATGGTATCGTCATGTTTGGGCACGATGATTCCCAAAGGGCTGCTTGTGGAATTTTTCAAAGAGGTCAACGACGAAGGAACAGACGAAAAGTTGCACCTGGCCGCTTCTCATGTGCAAGAAAAAGGATTGGATGAAGTACTGGAAGGAGCTACCAAGTGGGGCATTCTTGTCAAGACCATGAGCCATGGGGCATACATGTGGTCAAACGATAGTTTACAAGAAGCCGAATACTCTTTGATTCCAACTCCTATGCGGGTAGAGCTGCACCATAATCTGGGTATGCTCTTGTGGAGATTGGGTATCGAGCAAGATGAAGAGTGGATGATCTTCATGGCAGCAAATCAAATGAACAAGTATGCGAAGCTCAATTCCAACGCGTCGCTCGGAAATGATGTCGCCAAGCTAAACTTGCAAGCGGCTAAATTGTCGCTGAAGAAGGCCGCCATATATCCAGCTCTAGACCTCTTGGTAAATGCCGAAAAGCACATGGTCGTCGAACGTCGATGGGCAGACTCTTACTACCTAACTCTTGATATCTTGACTTCTCTGGCCGAAGCGAGATTCCGCGTAGGGAAAACGGAAGAGGCTATGGAAACTGCTAAAGCAATCGTGGACAATGCCAATTCATTATACGACATGTTTCGGGCACACATTGTCTTGCTGCAGCACGCCGTCTCTGGAAAGGATCGCAATTATGATCTAGGTGTGGAACAAACTTTAAAGCTGTTGAAGCTTTACGGTGAAAAGTACCCCAAGAGGCTCTACCCAGGCCAGAAATTTGTGGAGAAGACGAAACTCAAGAAGCTGCTGCCTCGTGGCGAATATCAGGGTCTGTTGGAGCTGCCAAATATGGCCGACAGGAAGGCTTTGCATATACAGACTCTCCTTGTGGATCATCTTTCGTCTTATGCCGCATTCAGTCGTTCGTACAAGTCTCTCAGTTGGTATGCAAGCGTCCGTGCTCTGAAGAATGCTTGCAATCATGGCGTCAGTCAGGTTTCAAACCTCGCTGTGCTTCAAATGGCGGTGCATATGAGACTTGAGGGGCACTATAAGGAAGCATCGGAGTATGCAGACTTTTCTTTGTTATTGTCCGAGAGAATTCCTCGAAAGCTTGGATCGAATCACGGCTACGTGAAGATGGTGTCGACTGGCTGCGTTTTTGCTGCGGTACGTATGTTGCGTTGTCAGTCCGGATGTTTGTATCCTTGTCTCATAATCTAACCTTTTCCACTCTTCTTAGGTGCGTTCTTTCAACAGCTGTCTTAATCATTTGGTGGAGGGTCGGGCTGATTGCTTGAAAGCTGGACTGGCAAGGGAAACTGTCATGTCTGTAATATCCTATTCGACAGCCTATTTGTGCGTGGGCCTTCCTCTGGAAGCACTCAAAGCTGATTTGATTTCCTATGGCAAAGATTCCCAACAATTCGGAAGCCCATACACCGTGCAACAAGTCATCCTGATTTTTCATCAAACGGTATTGAACCTGCAACAGACGGTTGAAAATCCAACTCTGCTATGCGGTGAGGCAATGGACCAAGTAAAAGAGCTTCAGAAGGTCCAAGGAAATGCTTTAAAAATGACCCTACGAGATATCAACTCTCACAGAATCATGCTGGCAGTTCTTTACAACCATTGGGAGACTGCAGAAACTCTAATGGATGCACTGGAAGAATACATTGATGTAAACGAGGTGATGATCCTTCGAGGCCACCTTCGTCGTTGCTACGTAGGCTTGGCAGGTTTTGCTCTCAGTCGAAAAGCTAAAAATTTGCAGAGAAGGAAGAAGTACTTATCCGTGGCAATGAAAATCCTCAAGGGATTCACAGCGGAAATGAAATATGGCTCCCTGAATGCATACCCAATCGTATCAATGCTGGAGGCTGAAAAATCACCCTCGAAAAAGAACTATGATATAGCCATCAAAGTTTGTGCCCGCCTTGGAATGGTGCATCACGAAGCCTACATGTGCGAGCGAGCTGCCGAGTTCTTCGACGAACAAGGCGATGAAAATTGGAAAGACTTTTATCTTGTAGAGGCTTTTCTGTTGTACAAAGAATGGGGCGCACTTGCAAAAGCCAAGCGGCTACAGGAGGATCATTCAATAATTTTGAAAGGATCTGTGCGGGAAACTGTAAACAAAACGATACAGGGCCGCTCTCGGTACTCGACAAAGGAATTGGAATCTTTGCGGACAATAGATTGGGAAACCTTCAGCACTGACGGTACCAGGTACCTGGGACCGTACATATAAGGATTAAAATAGTTGGGCACGGTAAAAATTTCGTAGCACCACGTGTGAAAAGTACAAAAAATATGTAGGTGATACCGATACTGGTACATTTGGAAGTACAAAACTTTGTCACACGCGTCAGGCTTGGCTGCGTTCTAGCTCATCAAGAAGTGACGTGGGACATTCAAGGAGCGCATGAATACCGCGGCATCAGCACCACTAACAGGCAGATGGGAAATTGCTCTCTCGCCGTGAAGCAGTGCGACGATTTGTATCGTGTGTTGTTTAATGCTGATCACAAAACGAATTCGATGGAGTGAGAGCAATAATTGAGAAGCTCCACAGCCACAATGGCGGATACAAAACACCATTGGTACATCAATGGCGATAATATTCTGGTCTGATCCTGCAGTGACCGTTTGTCGCTTTAGCTTTGTCGCTGGAAGGATTTTAGAAAATCTGAATCAGAAGGGAAAAATCATTGACACACAAAAAAGGGATGAAGACTATAGCAGACGACAGTAGTGGTCCAAAGTGGATAATACAGGGGCTCTATGGACGCCAAGATGAACTTGATATGCTCAACAAAATTGCCGAAGGGGGAACTTCAGCTTGTGTCCTAATTGAAGGATGCGACGGGTCCGGGAAAACAGCCTTGGTGAATGCAGCGGATTGGAAAGGCAAAGAATGGGTCTTCATCGCTGAAAAATTTGAAAGTCATCTAAGATTAGAGCCTTACTCTGCATTGACCAGGGCCATCGCTGAGCTCGTTGAGATATGGTGCGCAGAAAACGAGAAATCACCTGATGATTGCAGGATGAGCGAGCTCCTGGATCTGTTAGAACAAGATATGGACCTGTTGCAAGCTTTAATCCCAGGGCTCTTCAGAGTCATCGACAAGTTCACTCAGCGCGTCCACCGTTCAAGAAGGCAGGACATGCTTCGAGCCAAATCTAAAGGTCATATTTCCAGATCTCAGAAAATGCTTCATAGAACTTCAAGCATCAAGGATCTCACAAGTTCCCGTCGTCAACGTGGACAACTTGGAGACGAAATGATGGGAGGAGATTCGGCAGCCATTACTGCATCATTTATCAGATTGATTTCATTTTTGGCTTCTACTAAGCCCGTTGTGCTCTCGATCGACGCTGTCCACCACGCAGACACTTCGTCAATGGAAATCCTCAAGCTTATGGCGCACACTGCTTCCACCAATCCTGCGAAGTTCAGCAGCACTCAGATAATCTTGGTATTGACCTACACAGAACTCCTGGAACAAAATAAGTTTGCCCTCAAGACAATCAAAAGCATCAAGACGTTCCAGTCGAATGTTCACTGTGTGCAATTAAAACATTGGGATATCGACACAGTGAACGAGCTTGTGACATCATTGGTCAAAGCTGAACCAGAAGAAACTCTACCTCTTTCCAAGGTTATTCACAAGAAAACAGGGGGGAACCCATTCGCAGTATTCCAGTTTCTACGCGTTGCCCGAGAGAGTGGAAAAATCAAGTTTTCTTCGATGACTTACAAGTGGGAGTGGGAAGACGTCGAGATACTGGACCAGCATGCTGCTGTATCAGATAATGTTGCTGATATACTAGCGTCATCAATGATCAAGCTGTGTTTCGCCACTAAACATGCGCTGAAGGTGGCATCGTGCTTGGGACATATAATTCCCAAGGATGTTCTCATAGAATACTTTGCCGAGGGTCATGGAGAAGAATTCAAACAATCATCGAATTCCAATGCCATCGCTCTTCAAGAAGAAGGACTAGTGGAACTTCTCGAAGGGGCTGTAAAGGTTGGCATTCTCGTCAAATCGACGACAGATGGCGCCTACATGTGGTCCAACGATCGGTTGCAACAAGCGGCATATGACTGCATGCCAGTAACCATGCGAAACGAGCTACACCGGAATCTCGGTAGGCTTTTATGGGAATTGGGTCTTGTGCGCGACGAGGATTGGATGATCTTCATGGCAGCAACTCAAATGAACACGTATGCTGAACAACAAGTCGACTTGTGTTTAGGTAATGAAGTAGCTGAGCTGAACTTGCAAGCAGCAACTCTTTCGTTGAACAAGGGTGCAATATACCCAGCCTTGGAACTCTTGTTGAATGCAGAGAAGCACATGGAGAAGGCGACCGATCGATGGAAGGATAATTATGAATTTACTCTTGATCTCTTGACGACATTGGCTGAGGCCAAGTTTCGTATTGGCGAGACCCAGACTGCTATGGACATAGCCATTGAAGTCGTCCAGAATGCGAAGACGCACTGCGATACATTCCCAGCGCATATCATCATGCTGCAGTGTGTCGTTTCTGGAAATGATCGGAACTACGATAAGGGTGTTGAGAGAACTCTATTACTCCTGAAGTTTTATGGTGACAAACATATCTGGAAGTTTTATCCTGGTAAGGAGACTGTCGAGAAGACGAAGCTAAAGGCGAAATTGAAGAAGCTGCTCCCGAATGGGCATGTGAATGGTCTTCTGGACCTTTCAGAAATGGTCGACAAGGGAGCGCTGAGAATACAAACGTTGCTCGTGAACCATCTAGCCGTGTACGCTGCCTACAGCCCAACATACAAATCGCTAAGCTGGTTTGCAAGTGCCCGTGCGTTGAAGGGTACTTGTAAGCAAGGCATCAGTCCAGTCACAAATCTTGCTGTGATCCAAATGGCGACCCATTTGAGAGTTGATGGGCATTATAAGTCAGCTTCAAAGTATGCGGAGGTGGCTCTGACGCTGACTGAAAGTCTACCACGCAAGCTTGGATCAGATCATGGACAGGTGCGGCTGACTGCATGTACAAGCGTTCTCAGTGCTGTAAGTGTTTTGCGTTCCTTTCTTGGTGGAATGTGAATTATACTAACGCTTTGAGTCCAAATCTAAACAGGTACGATCCTTCAATAATTGCCTAAATGAGTTGATGGAATGCCGCTCAGACTTTCTGAGAGCTGGGCTTGCGAGAGAATCCATTGGGGTGGCCATCGACTATACAATTACGTATCTATGCGTCGGCCTTTCTCTTGAATCAGCAAAGTCCGACTTGGTAGCACACACAGAGGACGCCATACACTATGGCTGCCCATATTTTGTTGAACAAAAGATGATGAGTCTTCATCAAACGATTCTGAACCTTACTGACGATGTCGAAAACCCAACTTTTCTGCACGGTGAGGTTATGGATCAAGACGACGAACTTGAAAAGGTCGAAGGGCTTGGTGCTCTGCGCATCCGGCTTGGTATGGACGCGTGTCGGCTGATGCTGTGTTGTGTCTTTGGTGATTGGGACGCTGCCGGGGCTTTGATTGAAGACTTGGAAGAATACATGGATGAAAGAGATGGCTTTCTAATGCGGGATCATTTCCGTCGGTGCTATTTGGGATTAGCTGCCTTTGCCTTGAGTAGGGAGACAAAGGATTCAAAACTTCGAAAGAAGTATTTGACGGAAGGGAAGAAGATGCTCAAATCGTTTATTAAAGAAATGAAGCACGGATCCGTGAATGCGTTTCCTATTGTTGCCATGTTGGAAGCGGAGAAAAACCCTTCGAAGCAGAGCTATGACAAGGCAATCACGGCCTGTGCGCGACTTGGATTGGTTCACCACGAAGCGTACATGTGCGAACGAGCAGCTGAAATGTTCCTCGCAGAAGACGACAAAGACTGGTGCAAGTATTACATCAGACAAGCGATCCTTTTGTATGGGGAATGGGGTGCAACAGGCAAGGTGAACCGGCTGACTAAAGATTACAGGGAGATCCTGGGGGGAGACTCAATACAAGATTCAGTGAATACATCACTGCAAAGTCGCTGTCGATATTCATCGAAACAACTCGACTCGCTTCGAACAATCGATTGGCGAAGTTTCCACAAATCAGTGCATGACAACAGCATAGACTTCAGCAGCAGCTTCAGGAGTGTCACATCAGCTAGTACTTTCGAGGCCAGCGACAGAAGCTTTAGCAGCTCCAAGTCGAAGATCAACTCAAGCTTCAGCAACACCGTGAGCTCGATCAAGTCACGAACGAAGATGAGCTCTATGAGCACCAAAAGCTCCAAGGCGGTGCCTTGTTCGTAACGACAGATCCGACGCATTATTTATTCTACATCCAGTGTCGCACCTCCCACATCCATAGACACTTTTAGTAATCTATAGACAACTAATATGCCTTCAGCTTTTACTCGGGCTTTGGCACACGTTTGATTGGAACTACTACAGTCCTTTCTAGAAGATGGAGTGAGTCAGTCACGAATAAATTCATGATGTTCTTCGAAGCCGAAACCCTTGCCGGGTGTGTTCTATCCCTCCCGCCTGCGGTGTCGAAGTTATAAAAAAATAATATTGCGATCGGAAGTTTTCAAAACACTGAAACACACCAGATTGCCATCCGTGAAATCATGAACATCATTGCCGATGATGAAAAAGGGCCCAAATGGGTCACTAATGAACTATATGGTCGAAAGGAAGAACTAAAACTACTAAACAGCATTGCAGAAGAGAAGATATCCTCGGTTGTACTCTTGGAGGGTGGCGAAGGAACAGGCAAGACAGCGCTGATACATCTAGTGGATTGGCATCAGAATGACTGGGTCTTTGTCTCTCGCAAGTTTGAAAAGAGTCTAAGCGCAGAACCATATTCCGCCCTGAAGGGTGCTCTTGATCACTTGGTGACTATATGGGCTGAGAACAACCAAGCAGCTCAGGTTTGCCAGATGAAGAGTTTCCTGAAAGTGCTGGGAGAAGATGTGGATTTATTAATCAATGTGATTCCAGGGGTTTTTCGCATAGTTGAGAAGTTTGCACATGGGGTATGTTTCTCAAAGGGGAGAAGCATTAGAGATCTGACAAGGTCCGGGGATCACGATGCTGAAGAAAAAGTGGGAGTAGATTCTGGAGCCATTGCGGCTGCGTTTCTGAGATTGTTTTCCTTTCTCTCATCAGCGAAACCCATCGTGTTATTCTTGGCTGATGTTCACTATGCTGACGCTTCTTCGATGGAAATTCTTCAGGTGATTGCTGAAACTGCGGCTACCAATCCCATCAAGTATAGTAGCCATTTGCTTTTGGTTATGTCTTATCGCAAGGGAGCACTTGAGAAAAACACCTTAGCTTCCAAGACCATTACAAGCGTTCAAAAAATTGGTGATAATGTGAATTGTTTGCATTTGCAAGACTTAGATGTCGATACCCTGAACCAAATGGTGGCATCCTTAGTCAATGCGGACCCAGAAGATACTCTTCCTGTGTCCATTGTCATGCACAAGAAGACTGCCGGGAACCCATTTGCAGTCTCACAATTCCTCCGCATTGGTCGTGAGAAAGATTATTTCAAATTTTCGTCCATGACTTATAAGTGGGAATGGGGAGATCCTGAGATCTTAGACAAATATGCTAGTATTACGGATAATGTGGCGGAGCTGTTGGCGACTTCCATGGACAAGCTTTGCATCGCCACCAAGGTCACGTTGAAGGTATCGTCCTGTTTGGGCAAGATCATTCCGACGCATGTGCTGGTCGAATACTTCAAAGAATCGTACGACGACGGAAAGGGCCATACAACTTGCGAAGCCATCATAGGTGTGCAAGAGCATGGGTTAGAGCCACTGTTGGATAGAGCTTGCAAGGCTGGCATTTTGGTGAAATCCGTTAGTCAAGGTGCTTATGTGTGGTCTAATGATCGCTTACAAGAAGCTGCATATGATATGATCCCAGCGCAAATTCGGAACCAGTTGCACAAGAAGCTGGGTATGCTACTGTGGCGACTTGGATTGCAGGAAGATGAAGAGTGGATGATTTTCATGGCAGCAAATCAAATGAATAAGTATGCCGAGCTCCGATGCGACGCATCGCTTGGAAACGAGGTTGCAAAGCTGAATCTGCAAGCCAGTAAGCTGTCGCTGAAGAAAGGAGCCATTTACCCAGCACTAGACCTCTTGGTCAAAGCTGAGAGGCATATGGTCACTACTGGTCGTTGGACCGACTCCTATGACCTTACTCTGGACATATTGACCACTCTAGCGGAGACCCAATTCAAAGTTGGAGAGGTAGACGCGGCATTTGAAGCGGCAAGATCGGTTGTGGACAATGGAAAGACATTGAACGACAAGTTCCGAGCACACGTTGTTCTTTTGGAAGGGCGGATGAGTAAGACTGACAAATCGTACGACGTTGGTGTGGAGAAGACTTTAGAACTGCTACAACTGTATGGCGAGAAACATCCAAAGAAATTCTTTCCAGGTCAGAAATGCTTTGAAAAGGCGAAACTGAAAAAGATGCTTCCAGGAGGAGAGCTGGAGGGTCTATTGGAGTTACCAGATATGACTGACCAAACAGCCCTCCAGATACAGAAGCTCCTTGTGAAATACCTTGCTCCCTACTCCAATTTCAGCACAAAATACGTGACGCTAGGCTGGTTTGCGAGTATTCGGGCATTAAAGAATGCGTGCAAGTTTGGGATAAGTCCAGACTCTCCCATGTCTATTCTCAATCTGGCGAACTACATGAGACGAGAGGGGCATTACAAGGAAGCATCAGAGTATGCCGACTTTGCGCTGCTGCTTCTGGAAAGAATTCCAAGGAAGCTTGGATCAAACCACGGATATGTTCGGATGGTGGCTTCTGTCAGTGTTTTTAGTGCGGTAAGTCAAAAGTGTGTTGAGCCAATACGTACCTGCTACGATCTCTAACACTTGTCCTGTGCGTAGGTTCGTTCTTTTAATAAATGCTTAACTGAATTACTGGAGGGTCGGGCAGAATGCTTACGATCTGGGTTGGCCAGGGAATCAATCGGCACAGTAATTGCATATGGAACCGTATACTTGTGTCTTGGTCTCCCGATCGGGGCATTTGAGTCTGATTTGGTTGCATATTCGCAAGAAGCAAAATCATTTGGAGTCGCATATACCGTGCAGCAAGTGATGATGATTCAGCACCAAACAATTTTGAACCTGAAACACTACAGCAATAGACCCACCGTGCTTTCTGGATTAGCAATGGACCAAGAGACGGAACTATCTAGGGTTGAAGGGCACGCCCGGAAGATGACACTGCGAGATATAAACACTCATCGTCTGCTCCTCTCAGTGGTCTTCGGTGATTGGCCAACTGTCGAAGCTATGATGGTAGCACTTGAGGAGTACGTCGATGTGAACGACGCCTTTCTGCTGAGAACACACTTTAGACGTTGCTATCTAGGTTTGGCTGGATTCGCCCTTAGTCGAAAGGCAAAAACTGCAAAGGCCCGCAAAAAGTATCTCTCCATCGGCAAGAAAATGTTGAAATATTTTACAACGGACATGAAATATGGTTCCGTCAACGCGTATCCCATTGTAAGCATGTTGGAAGCTGAGGAGTCGCCATCCAAAGAAAAATACGACAAGGCTATCAAGGCTTGTGCCAGGCTTGGGCTGGTACATCATGAGGCTTACATGTGCGAACGAAGTGCAGAGTTCTTCGACGAGCAGAACGATGATGGTTGGAGTGAGTTCTATGCTGGCCAAGCAATCCTTCTTTACGGTGAATGGGGTGCAACTGGCAAGGCTGATCGACTGACCGAAGACTACTCTCATGTATTGACGAAGTCTTCGCTCCGTGAATCGGTGAATAGCTCTCTACAAGGCCGCTCTCGATACTCTGCAAAAGAACTTGACTCGCTCCGAACAATTGACTGGGAAAGCTTTAGCGTTGGTAGTGACTTCGGAAATCATGACTCATCACTGTTGGGATCTGAACGCCAATAAAAGAATGTTGACTATGATGCGGCCTTCACTTTTGGATCTAAAGTGCCATTCATAGGGAACCGAATTTGTCTGACTTTGTTGCGAGGAAGTCGATCGTTTGTCGAGCATCATGATTGCAGCTCTGGGAGTACATGGAATGCGACTTGAGCTTAACAGATACAATTATCCAAAATCACTACAATGAACGATCTTAAAATGACCTGAAATACAAACAGATGAGCTATTTCATTTGCTTCCTCTGTCTATAGAAGACCAAAATTGAAATCTTCAATCAGCCGGATCGTTGACACGATGCCTTCATGCTCGTCTTTTAGCTGTTTCAGTTTTTCTGATCCTTCTTGAATATTGCACTTCATTTGGAGATCAGATGATGATTGAATGCTTGCCTTGAGCGTTGCGATTATCGATAGGCGCTGTTCTTTGTAACGAGCAAGCTCTTTTTGCATGATCGAAAGTGTCTGGTTCTTCGATGTTTCAAGATTCGATTGTTCCAAATCCTCGACTACCTGAACAATGTCATCATACATTCTCCGGTTGGATTTTTCAAGCTTGAACATTCTAAAGTCTTTTTGTTCTTTCGATTTGTTGGCTTGCTCCCTTTGCTGTGATAGTCGCTCCTTGGTTGTCCGAATCTGTTGACACAGTTCTTCATTGTCTTCTTTTGCTCGGTTGAGGAGGGCCTCCTTGTCACTTGTCACGTCTTGCATTTTCGCCATCATATTTTTCATATACTCCAATTCTTCCTCGAGGCTTTGGATCTTTTTTGCAGCTTCAATCAATCCTCTCCTATGTACATCATTGGAAGGTGGAGTCTTTCGCCACGGTGATGTATCCTTCATATGTTGTGCTTGGTTTTGTGGCGTTGATTCAGCGAAAAGATTGGTGGCGCAGGTTGAAGGTGTCATAAGAGGCATAATGGCAGGAGGATCTAGATGTTCTTGTTGCTGTCTCAGCTGTGTTAGTTCTGCTTTCATGAGCGCAAATGTTCGGATGGCTTTCAGAATACTGCCTGAATCCAGTGGGTCATCACCGGTTGCACTGCCCAATATGACGCGGACTAATCGTTGGGCGTCCCATAACTGTGTCTTCATACCAATATCACCAAGAGGCTCTCCAATCTCAGGTGGAACAACACGACCAGGTGAATTGAGCAGATTTGAGAGCGGTTTCCTTTCAGATGGTCTAGGAGCGCTCATGTCGGGATCCCTCATCGGACTTGGCGGTTCAGCGTTTCGATTGATCTTAATTTCTTTGGGAGGAGCAAAGTAATTCGGAGTCGCGATCATCAAATCAGCAGGACGGCTCCGATCAGATCTCTCAAGTCTCTTCAAGAAATCCAAATTTTCATTGTTTTCGACTTTTTCTTGATCTATCACAGCTCTTGCTGGCAGCATCATTGCTTTGGCTTTGGGCGAGAATTTTTCCGTTGAAAAAGGACTCGAATGAGTAGTTCGTTTTGTTTCTGGAGGAATCAAGGAACCCGGTGACAACTTTTGTTCTTGCAAAGGACTTGAGTGTGTAGTTCTCTTAGCTGGAGGAGGGATCAACGAAACGGGAGGTATCAATGATCCCGGCGAGAGTTTTTGCGATGTCAACGGGCTCGAATGTGGAGGGATCAGCGTTCCCATCACCAGTGGCGAAAAGTTCATCGGAATTCGTGCAATTTCCACCGAAGACTGACTCTCAACTTCTTTTGGTGACCTCTTCGGTGAGCGAAACACAGAAAATGGCCTCAAAGGAGATTTCGATCTCTCCATGGAGGGTTTAGACTCTTGCTTCTTGGCACCAAATTGCAACAGCTTCATCTTGTTCTGTGCTGACGGTGATGAGTTGATGGAGATGTAGAAAACCGGCAGTTGGTGGACTCTTTAGGATTTTCAGATTTTCGTGAGACAGTTTTTTTTTGAATTGTTGCGAGCGATCTTATTGGCTAACCGGACTGAAAGAAACGGAAAATTTGCTACGGGATTGACTTGGCTGTTATATCAAATTCGTGACTCCAACTAGTGATGAGGATGAAAATACCGGTATTTTTTCATGCAGCACTTTTTCCAAGAAGCAGTTGATGATTCATTCGTTACGGGAGATGAAGAACTATCATAGTAGTTTTTCATGACATACTTCTTAAGGTGCTGGGGTACCGTCCTTGCTCAAAAGACCTCCAATCATTGTTTTCGCCGTCTGATACAAGGCATACGTGCCAATAGCTACTGCAGCGTATCCACAGATTCCACCCTTGGATGCAGTGAAAGCAACATTGATGTACCTGACAATCAACATGAAGAAATTACTGGCAAAGCCAGATGATACGTCTCCCGTAGATCCTTGGGCGATTCCGCGGTTAACAATTGCAAGGGCTTGAAAGAAGCTTGAAAGAAGGAAGAAGTCAACGGGAAGATTAGCAAATCGATATGTTCGCCTTGGAAAGATAGATGCCCAATTACTCACGCAGCAATACCCCAGGTGATCGTAACCTTGCCTATACCTGGTGCACCAACGCTAAAGTAAGCCTTGGATCCTGCAATCAGAGCAAATCCCATCATACCAAGCAAGAAATGAATATTTGTCCCAAGCCAAGCCAGCTCATGGTTTTCGGCAATGAGTTGGGCGACACCAGCAGTTTTGGGTTGGGCAATCTCTGTGTGGTCATAACACAGTACAGGTGAGAGATTGGAGATAGACAATAGCAGTATCTCGAATCACGAACGTACCTGCGATCTTGTTGATGGCAATACTCGAGTAAACCACAGCCATGATTTCACTCAAAAGAGACGCCACAGCGATAATGATATTGGCCTTTTTCAACAACACCATTGCCTTGCTGTCATCCTTCTGGATTGTTGGGGCACTCAAGATACCGATGGGTACTAGTGATCCACCAATGAGTGCCGCTGGTGATCGCATGTTGTTGAAAAGACTAGTGGCAGCTCCCGAGTAGTCAGCAAGTGCACCTACAGAAGCAACCATGAGTCCTTGAGCTGGGAGTGTAGAGATTCCAAGAAAGATGAGGGCAGTAAAGGTGACGTTGAAGGATGATACCATCGTGATGTTTGCGAGAGATCGAGAAGTCAGGTTGACTGCATGACGGCGTTTGATGTCAATCTTTTTGTTCTTGAACCTTTTGGGAGGCGGCGCATGCAGAAGATACGAAGCGGGAGATGCTGACATTCCCGTTTCAAGGTACTTTAATAGTCTCGTAGCGTAATCAAAGATTTACAACCATATCGATATATATACTGATGCTTTCTATGAAGCCACACATTTTGATGTGCGTGCTATTGTGAGACGATTAGCTAAGTACTTTATAAAGATATACTGTAATGGGACGCTAATCAACGAGTCCCTTTTCACTTGTACCGACCAGAAAAGTTCGGCGCATTGCCGCGGAGGAGCAGCCAATGAGGAAGGCCAACAAGAATACTAGGCCTGAATCTCAACAACCATACCGTATCACTAAAAAAGACACCAGAACGCGGTACATTCTGGTCCATCATGATAAGCGTAGACTATAGATGAGATGGTCGATTTTATCAAGAGGAACTACTGCGAGGTGTACAAGCTGGGGCATACCGAGAATGCACTCCTGCTGTGAGGCTTTAGTACGACAGTTCTACAGGGGTATCCATCATCATTCCGAAGGCAATGAAAGGCATATGCATTCAACAATATTTTACTTCTATCAGTTCCAGCGAATGGAATGCAATTGCTGTCGCGAAATGAAGGAGTCTCGCAGTGCATTGCTTCTTTCAGTAGAAGCATAATAACATTGTGGCGGCTTCTTCTCCTTTACCTTCGAATGCTGACCTACAAATCTGCGATAGAAAAGCATAGTGAAAACTGGATACAGGTGGATAGCAAACACTTCGTATTGTCGATGTTGGGTCCGTAAATGTCATTTTGATTCTTGTCTGTTTATGATTCGATCGAGATCGGCCACCAGAAAAGGTAGGGCGAGAATCTCCTCTTGACAGACAGGAGCGAGAATCAGGAAGAGACCACCTTTCGGTCACTATAGGATACTCCAGAACGTTGATGATCGTTTGCGATAGTCTTCTTTGCCTTGATGTCAACGAGTTCTTGATGAATGGAGCGAAGGAGCGATTTGTCGAGTTGTAGAAGTAGCACCTCCTGTGAAAGGTCGGAATGTGAAGACAACTACCATTTGGGCTAAGAAAAATACATCGGATCGGACAGTTCGGTGAATCGCTGATTATCAAAAACCCCGTCTCGCATCGGTTGAATACGGCAGAAGCTCACAATATGTTGTTTGGTTGAGATCCATTCGCACAGGGCAGAGCGAAGTAGAAATGATCACATTGATTACTGAACTGCTGGCCAACATTTGAGTAAAAGTATCATCGCTATCCCTTCTCTCTTGCGATCAGTCGCAATTAAGTTGGTGCCGGTCAAGGTTGATATCAGCCATCGCATTTTTAACATATCGTGTTCTTTCTTTGAACCAATCAACTTCTCACTGTGCATCCACTCGAACAGTAGTCGTTCTAATCAATGTGCCCGATCATGGTATAGACTGACTGCACTATTGGAGGTAATACTCCAGCCACTACTTTCACGGTGTGATGTAAGCGTGGCAAGTATATGGCATTCGCAATTTCTGTGAAATGTGATGGATGACGTACCGGTACCGGCTTATTACCATCTGTTTACAATGTGAGCACCGCACAATAATCGTAGACGAAAAAGAACTTGCGCAAAATTCGAATTTCCAAATTCTGATGCCGTCTGTCCTTCCATATGAGAGCTGAAGGTGCTGCCCGTAGTTTGTGATACGGGATGACAAAATACAGTAAGATCCGCAAAGAGCATCCACATACTCCCAATAAGCGAGGCTTTTTACTCCTGATAGAAAACAAGGATCATATCATAGATTACTCGAGTTGCAGGCGAGGATATGAGTGATTCTGCTGTTAGTGACACTACTAGTAGCTCTTCCAAGTGCTGCATCTCCCCTTCAGTGGAGGACGCCACAAAGAAGAAGAAGGCGGGCCTCTTTGTCAAAGATCCATTGGAAAGCGATGTCCTTTTCGGCAGAGGAAAGACGACTCTAGAACATCCCGGCAACAAACGAATGCACCAAATTGTGGATAAACATGCAATCACGTATCACTCACAGCTCAAAACTGGCAAGAAGAAGATAGCGCAACATGTTTATGACGAAGTTATGAAAGGAGGAATAAGATTCCTCAAGAGAGTTGCTGATCGACCTCATGGCTGGATAGTGGTGGACAATCTGACAGCCATTAATAAAATCAACCACGCGCTTCGATGTAAGAAGAACGCACATAAGTTGATCTCCAAGTCTGAAGACTTGACAAAACGTTTCCATCTTGAGGACATTAGTACAATATCACCACAACAATCCCTATCATCGAGGACCTCCAAGCAGGGCGGTACGCCCAATGTAGACAGCACATCCCCATTGCAAACGCACTCCGGAGGAGTAGCGTTGCTGCGAGTAGACGAAACTGTAGCTCCTACCGCTCTTCCTCGAGCCTGCTTGAATCCAAGAGACGGCACCGAGGAGTTGAAGCGAAATCTCATTGCGTTGAGATATGCTGGCTTGGCCATCTTGCCAAACAACCAGAACACTGTCATGTACGACGCACAGCAACAAAGCAAACTCCAGGAACTGCTACTAAGACAAGTAGCAGCACGTCAGCCTGCGCCGAACAGGAATCATGGGACTTTGAACCGTCGCGGTTTCCCTTTCTGAATGAATCTATGGTCTTTTCTTGGTTGTTTGCTCCTTCCCTCCTTGCGTATCACTTCTGGTGATGGGCTGTTTGTCAGCCTGTCGCGTTGGCACCCTCTGACTGGCCAGCTGACAGGACACAGCGTTGGTTGCTGCTCGCGTCTGTTGCAACAATGATATGGCACAGTGTAGCCGCAGTTGTTGCTGTCGGTTCCGCTCTTGTTGCAATAAATGGTAGTCGATTTGCGATGAAAGGGCGTACGGCTGAGGCACAAAGCCCGCTGGATCGCAGAGGAACATGCCATGCCCAATGCCTTGACCAAGATCTTGAGCTCCTAGCAGTAGATTCCTCGGAATCGTTGGATGCTGCGGCATTGACATCAGATTGCTTCTTGGCCGTAACGACGACTCTAAGGAATGAGGTGCCACAATGGATCTGGGCATTACCCTACTTGTCGGTTCGCTGAGAAACAGAGACGGGCTATCTACCCTCTTCTTGCTCTGCAGTGTCTGATTGACTTTTTTCAGTGCATTTGATTTTCCGGCCACTTCCCATTTGTTCTCTTCGTTTCGTCTTAGAAATCTAGCACCATTTTCCGTAATCTCCCTGTAGACTATTTGAAGGAGCTCTCTTTTCAGCGGCCTTCTAAGGTTCTGGTATTGAATCTTGTACTTTTCAACGATCTTTCGCATTCGTATATTCCCCTCGTGGTTTTGAGAGAAATGACCTCTGCCAAATGCAATGTCATCATCTCGTAGCTCAGTTGTCCCTTTGGCAGCACCTTGGTTTCGCACGCTGTCAAGCTCTCGACTCGACGACTTGTGATCTCTCTTCTTTCCACCTTGTTGTTGTTGTCCTTTGTCGGACCCAATGTTGGATGATGGTGTTTGGTGCTGAGGAATGCTTCCTCCTTCTTCACCACATTGATACCCTGAATCGATATCTTCGTTTCTCGCTGACTGCAGTCCTTCCATTGTTTGCACCTTGATGGAGAGAGCGTAACAGTCAGAAACAAATGAATTTGTCTGAATCGCCGAGAAAATGGCAGTAGTCGTAATCCATGCCGATGGTTTTCTGACATACGTTTCGACGCGAGCAAAGTATTTAAACAGTGGCAAAAATCTTCGTTTTTCAGAAGGTCACAGACAGGTTAAATGATGGACATACAGGTTAAATCAAAACCGTAATGATTATAGTCGTGAGAATGTTCTGTTCTTCCTTGGTTCTTCCTGGTCGTGATTAATACATATATATAAAGCACACACAGGTTATTTCTTGGTTTTTCGGGTCGGTGAAGTCATTCCCATCGTTCTGCGGACGGACGGGGCGTCGAGGCAAATGATGAGCTGGAATGACGATGATGCGAAGATGACCCTTGACCCTTGACACTGAGAGCACGAAAGAACATACAGGTAACGCACTTCCAACTTGTACGGTATTACAACAACAACAAAAGTATCAAGACATCATGGGCTGGTTTCATACGATGGATCCCGAAGATCTAAAGGCATTTATGGCCGAGAATGGTGGTGAAGCTCCGACTTGCTCCCTCAGCAACAAGCCAAAAGAAGACAGTGTTCCCGCCTGCTCTTCTGAATCGAAAAAGCCGGAGGAAAAAACACAAGCTAAGGAGGAAACCAAACCTGCGCCTTCTGGAACTACAGCGTGTGCACTTCCCCCTACTTCATCACCACCTCCCCCACCTCCAGAAACCGAGTCGATCTATCACCTTTGCCAAAAGTCACTTTGGGAGGAAGCTGTGGAAGCAGGGAAACCGTACTTTCCACCGACCTTCATAGTGGATGGAAAGTTTACGCGTGCTAGCGTTGGCAAAGAAGACTTGGTGTCCACTGCAAACTCTTTTTACAAGAATACACAAGGTGCTTGGATTGTTTTGGAAATCGATTGCAAGATGCTTTATGGATTGGGGGTTGCCATTCTGTCTCAAGACGCTCCTGAATCGACCAAAACTGTTCCTGTGAAGTGCCTACAAGTATTTGGTGGTATTTCTACAACTCTTCCAGGCTTGATCACGAATGTCTATGATATGGAACGGGTCTTTCCCTCATCTGGCAAATTTGTGGCCGTCTTGGAGTCTTCTGACGCCAAGATACAAAAGGTAGAGCCAGCACAAGAGACTGCGCCTCCCCTAGTTCCCGAACCAAAGGCAAAGTCAGCCAAAGAGCAGTCCAAAAAGTCAAAAGGGAAATTTGGCCTCTTCAGAAAAAAGTCACAGACATAGATGGGGTGTTATACTGGTCAATTATTCTAAAATTTTGTACAACTTGTTATATATTTACATCGCCTTCATATGAAAAAAACACAACAGTGATACGGGCTGTGGCATTAGGACCCAAGATAGTGTCAATTTCTCAAGTGGTACAGCTGTTCCTGTCAACCTTGGAAAAGCAGATATGAATGTATTAATAATAACTCCTACTGTTTGCAAACGTGTTTGTTCGTCCTTCTCACGTCAGGAGAAAGAAAATTGGACGATCGCAACTCACAAAAATTTGTTGCTTTGACGTTATTCTGTGTTACCGGTAGTGTGTAGTTATATCATTGAATACAAACAATATCCAAAGGGGCAGCAGAATACAACCAACAACAGTAACACAAAGTAAAATAAGATTTGATAAGTCACAGCAACAATTGCAATGTCACAAGAAGGAAAGTTCTTGCTAGAATCCATCCTGGGAAAGCTCTTGGGTTTCGATGAAGGCGCTGGTGATTTGTTGGAACACTTGTTGACGATTCCTTCGGAAGAGGTACGTCTGGTGGGATGTCATTTGGATTGTCATGAGAAACGCCTGTGGTGATAAGGATGGTGGTGGTGATGCAAGTTTTGAATGAAAGAGAATAATGCTAGACATCTCAAAGCAGAATTCGCCATGCACCAAAGAAGACATGAACGTTTCAGGTTTCTAACAAATACTGTTTGTGTCTTTCTTCATTTGTTATCTCTTGCTGGTCGGTTTCTGATTCATTTGAATCAAACTTTGCAATCATGGTATTATCCTCTCTTCCATGACCTCGCGACAATACTGTAGGACTTGAAAGAGTACCTTTCTCAGCTACTGGGAAGTGAAACACCCGAAACCAAAGAATTTGTATTGAACGTTGGGCGGTACCAACGTGGAGAAGAAGTCTTATATAAAATTGAGAAGAAAGAGGAACAGAAGGAAGAAGAGTCGGCAAAGGCCCAATCCAGCCAAGTGGCGCAAACTAACAATGCTGCTTCTACTGGCACAAACAACGCAAATGCCAAACAGAACAAGAAGGAAGCCCTGCAAGCACGGAGGAATAATAATAATCCAAAGCAAGGCAAAAAGGGAAAAGTACCCCCATCTGCCAAGAACGCAACCGCGGCACAAACAAGTAATAGTCAGAGTGCCGCAGCGGCTGCTTCTTCGACAGCCACGAAACCAACACCCACGACTGCTCAATCGGCGGGTACTAGCAGTACTCCCCCAGCCGCCTCAATAACAACTCCAATTACACCAATTGTCCAAAAGTCCAAACCCCAACGGGGCAAAGCCGAATTTGTTTGCGGCTGCATGGGCACCAGAGACAAACCCTTGACGAATTGTTTGTATTGCGGCCGGATTGCTTGCGAACGAGAAGGCTATGGGTATTGTGCGTACTGCGGCTACCTCATTGAAAAGATGACGGCTCCTCCTGCTGGCTCTGACAACAGCTGGGCCCAAAAGGAACGCCTGCTCAAGTTTGATCGAGAATTTGCGCGACGGACCAAAATCTTTGACGACCAAGCCGATTTCCAAGGCCCAGCTTCTTGGATGTCCGAAGAGGAACGAGTCGCTGCCGGACAAAGGCAAGAAGATCGTTTGGAGGAGATGCGGCGGCCAAAGCAAGTGCTGAATTTGAATATTTAGTATTGTTTATAGTATAGTAATAGTAATAAATGTAAACTAGAGATCATACCGACCCAACCAATGTTTCTATCTGGCACCACAAGCACTGAATGAACGAATGAATCATCTATCACCATCATTCCTGTTCAAATTCAACACCAATGACTAATTTCATTGAATACAGAGTCTCGCTACCCGCAGTAGTGTTCTTCTTGGCAGCTAGCCACCTGCCTATTAGAAAGAGCCTGCACAGTAATATTCCAAAAGAACGAGATATTATACAATATAAAGAAAACAAATTCATGTAATAAAAGGATTCTGTCCACATTATAGTATTATAGGGTGTCCATTTTATCCAAGTCCAAGCATCTAGCCTACTATTGGAAAGAGCATGCTTGCTACTATTCTAGTTCGTTCCAGCAGTCATCTAACAACAACAGCACGCACACTATTTATTCGGCAGGGACACTGAGCATCTTGAAAAAGAGCCCAAGATCCTTAATGTAGTAAGTGCTGTCATCAGCGTGGATGCTGAACCAGAACATGGAATGGCTCTCTGGGTCTTGGTATCCGACCACTCGGGAAGCTTTTCGGGAAGGAATCAAGATGGGAGAAGCAAAGGTTCCAGTGCCTTCCGGAGGGACTAGACCCAAGTCATTGTAACCTTCAGTGTTTCTCTGTTCCAACTCATCCAAATCTTCGATACCCGTAAGGCCAAGTTCTTCCATTTCCTTTTTGAGGTCATCGGGGACGAAATCGGGAATGTGCTTGGGCTTGGTATCACGATCCTTGTCCGTAGGAACCAAAAAATCAGATTCTTCTCCCAAGTACTTTCCAATTCCAAAAGGAATGGTGCCCTTGCCTTCGTCGTCCTTCTTTTCGGCGAATCCACGAATGGCCAAAGGAGCCTTGTTGACACGGCGACTGGCAATGCGAGATACTCTGTGTATTGGGTCATAAATGTGGTGGTGGTGGTGGTGGTGGTGGTGATCATGGTTGGATTGGCATTTTGGATTGTGCATGAAGAATGGAACGAGCAAATTGCGGCAAGATTGGGTAATTCAAATCCAATCAGGTCAACAGAACAAAGGAAAGAAGAAATGCGTGGTTAGAATCAATTCAATTGTTCATGTAGATCTATGATACGTGCAATCAGTAACAGTTGCGACATGACAGATGCCAATGGATTTGATTGACCCATTCGATTGTGTGTACTGCCGAATGCGAATTCCAACGGCATGCCGACCAAGTCCTTCCGTTCTTGGGTAACCATGCATTCTCTCGATTTTGTGACACAGCAATTCCAAAACTTACGATCGGGCTGCGTTGGACAACATGTTCAATTTTCTAATTGACAATCTTGAGAGAGAAAGAGTTGTTTGAACTTGCACAACAAACAAACAAACACCCACGAGAACTCGACGATGACGGTCGCTGGTTGCTCAAGATCGTCAGTTCGATGCGCAATATTGTGCGCACTACTGTATGTACTGTATTGTAGGTCGTCGTACAGTAGAACATTGAATTATCTTCAGCTCTGAAGATTGCATATTTCAAATCGGGACAGAAATAGACTCTAAATTTGGTTTGGCTTCAGCTGGATGGTTCAATCCTTGGTTCTGCGATAGATAGCCTGGTATATTGGGAACCACTTGCTCTCGGCTCTTCTACTATTACACTTGAAACGTTCTTTATCTATTCCACTGCTTTCTAGATTGAAAACAAAGTAATATAATAACAAATGCCTACTAAACCATGGAAAATTCCTTCCGATGGTACCTCCAAATTTGAGTCGAATGGATCGGAGTGACCTACCGCCCAGCAATGCTTCGGTACGGTATCAATCATCCACCAGCACGACTTTTGGTTCTCATCATCATTGGATACAGTACAGCACATTCAATTTTTGGATTGTTGTTCTAGGTGTAAATCTATCCTAGCACTTTCAGCAAACAACCTTGTTGTCATTCAACAACACTGCAGTCAAAGAGATTTCGATTTCCTAGTCGTAAAGTCCAAGTCTTGAAGGTCATTGTTTGATATTCTTTTCTATTCTACAGCCGTATTCTATCCGCATTGCGATCAGTATTCCCAAACATGAACAAACTTGGACGTTTCTTGGCCTGTCTTTTGGTGCTTGCCACCACTGCTTCACTAGCAGATGCTGGATTTCTTTCGAAATCCAAAAAGAAGGTCTCTACCAAACCAAAACCCCGTACCATCTTGGCCAGCAAGGACAAGTTGAAGGATTCCACCTACAAGAAGCTAGAAGAGAAAAAGCGTCTCAATCGTCGCGAAAAGTCGGAAATTGCTTCTGCAGAGATGCAAGCCTACAAAGATCTGCGCAACAAGGGTTACGATGAAGTTTCTAACACCAAGGAGGCCCACATGTTGCGTCAATACCGTCTCCGAAATAAGAAACGACGTGGATTGTTGCGAAAACGGGAGCAATCCTTGTCTCACATTCTCTTTCCTGGTGTCAGTCCAGAAGAGTACACCTCCGGGGAAGAAATCTGGATTTACACGGATCTGGTGGAATCCAAAAAGACCCAAGTTCCATTTGAAGTCTTTGATTTGCCCGGGTTCAACGAAGTCAAGGAAACCAAGGGAAAGAAGACTCGTAGAATGAGACGCAACCTTGGTTCTAGATTGCAGGGATATGACCTAAAGCCAGCTCCTTTTGAAATGTTCATCTTGAAGGATACTCCTTGTACTCCCATTTCTCAAGTCAATATTCAAGGCAAAAAGTTGCGTTGGTTGCGCCAAATCATCGAACGCCAATACCGCGTCCACTTGCAATTGGATTCCTTGCCAGTCTTGATGCGCAGCAAGGAACTCAACTTTGCCGTTCGTGGATTCCCCGTCGGTTTCCGATCTCCGGGAGGCGACCGCAAGGAGCTGTTTTTGTACAATCACTTCAAATTCACCATTACCTACCAAGAGTCTCCGGAATTTGAAGGGATTCGCATTACTGGATTCGATGTCCATCCAGTCAGCATCAAGCACGAGATTCCAAAAGACGGAGAAGAATTGAGTTCAGTCTCTACCTGTACGGGATTTGACATTGAAAACGATCCTTCTCAATACGTCGCTTTGGATGTCGAACATGAGGGTGGTGTTCCAGTCGTCTTTTCGTACGATGTCCAATGGATCAAGAACGACTTGGACTGGACGGATCGCTGGGATGTCTACCTCATTGGTTCTCCCGACGATGATATCCACTACTACAGTATCATCAACTCCCTCATGATTGTCTTGTTCATGACGGGTGCTACTGCCACGATTATGATTCGCACTCTTCGCAAGGATATTGCTGGATACAACGAGATGCAAGCCTTGGAAGAGGTGGCCGAAGAGACTGGCTGGAAGTTGGTCCACGGAGATGTCTTTCGTCCTCCTTCTTTTTCGCCAATGATGCTTTCTGTATTGGTGGGAACGGGAGCCCAACTTGGAATGGCTGTCGTCTTGGCCATTTTGCTCTCTGTCCTCAAGATTACCAGTACCATGAAGAAGGGACAAATGCTGACTTCGCTCATTTTGCTATATGTCCTGTGCGGAGCCGCTGCTGGTTATGTCAGTTCCCGCGTTTACAAGTTCTGCGACGCCAAGAACTGGAAACTGAACACCATGCTCACTGCCACTGCACTTCCTGGTACCTTTGTGGTCCTCTTTGCCTTTCTCAACATTTTCTTGAGCATTGCTGGTGCCGCTACCGCCGTCAGCTTTTTGACCATTTTGGTCTTGTTCTTGCTTTGGGTCTGCGTGTCGGCCCCATTGGTCTTTGTGGGAGCCTTTGTTGGACTCAAGATGCCCACCATTGAAGTGGCCACTCGCACCAACCAAATTTCCCGCATCATCCCCGAAGCCCAATTGGTTGGACACCCTGCCTTGACCATGATGATGGGAGGTGTCCTTCCCTTTGGATCCGTCTGCATTGAGCTTGCCTTTATCATGTCAGCCATGTGGTTGCACCAAATCTACTACGTCATGGGATTCTTGTTGGCCGTGGTCTTTATCTTGTTTGCCACTTGCGCCCAAGTTTCCATTGTCCTGTGCTATCTGCAACTGTGCGCTGAAGATCACCGCTGGTGGTGGAAGTCCTTTTGGAACTGTGCCACGGCTGGTGTTTACTTGTTGTTGTACAGCTTGTGGTTCTTGACCAGCCGACTGCATTTGGTGGGTGTCTTGCCTGTGGTCGTCTACGTCACATATATGACCATGATTTCTGTTTGCTTTGGAATCTTTTGTGGAGCAGCTGGATTCATTTCTAGTTTCTGGTTCACAAGGACCATTTATGGGGCTGTCAAGGTTGACTAAAAGTATGTTGACATTGGAGCGAAAATAAAATAAAAAATATCCGCCTGTTGTTATTCATGACAGACAGTAGAGACAATAGCATTACAAAATGAAAGAAGACAAAATACGAAATTCATTCTTTTTTCTTCTTGAATACCGTACTGTAATGGGTACTGTGTGCATGCTTCTTGTAGCGACTTATGTGTGTGTGTGTGTGTGATACTTGCAATTGATCTAGCAGCTTGCTGTCATTCAGTCCATCGCAGAATGTCAACAGCGGCTACAGCAGAGCAGGGACGTGATCTAGATATATGCGCTTTATAACAGTAGCTTTTAGTCTAAATTACAAGAGCTTCTTCTTCTTGAAGTATCGTTTGAGGTATGTCACTTGGAAAAAGGTCACCAGTATCAACACAATGACCGAAAGGTAGGAAAAATTACGGACTCTCCAGTTGATACTATCTGCAGTCTTTCGCATTCGCTTTTCCCGTTTCTCCATCAAGTTCAGTTCTCGAATGACCGTGTTGGCTGCATGAATACTGCCGTCCAACTGATCTTGCAAGGGCGTCAAGTGCTCACTCTTGAACATCATTCCAGATTTGGTGTCCTCCTCGTCGTCAAATATGTCGTCGCTGGTCATGACGTGTTCTATCATCATGAGAATTGGGACTTCTTCATTCTTAGATGTGATACAAATTTCATATCCTTCCAATGGAGCCTTGTCCCGTTGTTGGTTGTGCTGAAGGATACGACGCAAATGGTTCAATACCAATGGGTGGAACCAATGTGTCTCCATGGTAGTGGATCCTTGTGTGTGCGGATTGGTAAGTTTCACTTCAGCCATAGAATTAGTCTCACCCTCGTACCATTCGTGAACGAGTTCGTCCATAATAGCTTTAATGTCAGCGGGTGGGTCGTCGACAAATTGCTTTGGAAGTGAACTGTGCATTCGTGATTTTGTCAGTTTGACAATCTGGCCGAGGAAGTGTTGCTCTAGATCTTCGTATTTCTTGATCCACTCATTCGTGGTTTCCGCTTCGGAAGGAAGCGGCAGGAAAATCAAATGTGCGTCATCGTCCTCAGGAATATTCAGGTTGATGCACTGATGATTGAAAGATTTGACAGGTGATATCATTCCAACAAATAGAGAGAAAAATAAGGAGTAAAGGGAGAGGGATCAGGTATCAGCAAGAAGATTCTACAATCAACTATCTCCATGATATCACGGTGGATTCATCAGTGAAACTTACTCTTTCTTCATTTTCTTGCAATTCAATGATCATCGGATGTCCCTTTGCAGACCAGATGAATCCCGCTGATAACAGAAGCAAACTTTTCATTATAGCTTTCATCTTTTGCTCGATCAAATGCTACAAATGTAGAGATCTCGATAATAAAAGTAAATATGACTTGAAACTAGAGTAGAAAAGCAACAGGCATCCAAGGATTCCGACTACAAACACTCCATGCACATGTGTGTGTGTGTTTCTCATGCTTGGTTTCCAGATTGGCTTTGGTACGAGGATTTCTACCGTTGAAAATGCGTAGCCGTGGTACAAAACAGTAGAGGTCGATTGAATCGGGTGTAAATTGACTCGTGCGATTAGATTTTGTTAGATCAGGATACAGTATGTGAGAGGCAAGGAGCCTCAAACCGTACAAACGACCCTCTTGTGACTCCAAATTTTCTTATTTGAGCACCTATTGTTTGCTTGATGTATATAGAATACAGGTGTATGTACTTTGAGTTTCGATTTCGGTCTAAAAGACATGGAATTTTGAACAAATCCAATCATCTGGGCATCGGCCGGGTTCACAGCGTAACGAAGCCTACAATCTCAACTCTGCTTCGGCATTCCAAAACAACGCCCAATATTAATATCGAAATGCGTATTAGCAACTTTGGCCAGGGTCCCACCATGTCTGGATACCTTCAAGGGGGCTGGAAAACATTCTTGCCCCTTCTGGAGTCTGTTCCAAATTGACCATCGACGTCAACTGAGTGATGTTGAGACCCTTGTACATCGGAAACTCTCATTCCAACCAACCCAAAGATGCCATATGTAAACCTAGACGATAAATAGGTGTCAGAATTAAGTACTTCAAAGAAATAGGACAAGAGTTGGGCCATGGGTGGTTTTGAGGGCAAACTTACATGCTTTTTGCGAAACAAATTGGCCTCTGGAAATAGATCGAGGCCGGATCTATGGTAATAAGGGTCCATAAAAAAGGCCTGGTGTGTTGTTGTTTGGTTTTCAGTCTCCACGGCGGCAATGGGGAACTTCCGAACCTCAGTGAACCTTCAGCACAAAAAATGGAAAATTGCAGGGTTCTTGCCGCAACTCAAGCAGAAAAAGTGACCCAACTAGCGCTCCAATACCGCATTAGACACTAATACGGTAGAGCCTACTCAAGCTTGGAAATTGACCTTTGCTGCAAGTGGGGCACTTTGTGGATGACGAAGCTCCACTGAACAGAGAGTTTGACCACCACTGGTTGGTCGTGGAATGAACGAGGTCAAACTTGAACTTGATTCGCAGCTCGGTGAGTACACGCTATCCACAGTAAAAATACCGTAATATTTGGTTCTCTTTTCTCTTCTACTGGTTTCCATGCCATGCAACTCTTGTGATTTGAACGAATTTTGTTGCCACCTGATGGACTCAATTGAAAGTTGTCGTGTAGAACCCTGATATCGAGCACCAACTGATTTCAAGGGCTTGTGTGTAAGGAATAGAAGCGTTATCTTAAATTCATTGTGGCTTGGAGCTCCTTGGGGTCGAAAACCTTGTCAAAACCACTTTTTAGACCATGGACGGGCGGTGGGTTTCAGCAGTCATTTTCGGGGCCAAAGAAACCAATAGCTCAATTCTTGCCAGACCAAGAAGACAAAAAATCGATTGTACTGTAAGTCTGAAATATTGTTGGATGCGCAACCATTTTCTTGCTGTGAATGAGGAATACAACTGACCTCAAAGCCTAACTATTGTGGGTGCTCCAAAATCCATCCGCCATTTTGGTAGAGTTTGACACGAAAATTCTCTTCCGCATATCAATTTTTTTGCTTTTTTGTTCCATCAGGTAAATGGGTACAGAAGGAGCGTGAAACAAAATTTGGAGTGCAGAGAGGTATTGTGGAAACTGATGAGTTCTATATGATGACAAAAATAAGGCACTCATTGTATGGGTGATGAGGTTGTTTTGTTGTTTTCAATGCAAGCAATTTTGGAAGTTGTTTTCGTTGACTAACACGACCAATATGGACTCATTCAAATAAAATATGAAATATAGTCCGTCCGCCACATTAAAAATTAGGCCATAAAAACCATGACGCAGATACGTCATTCTCACCCAAAGAACATCATCCATCATCGCGTCAGAAAATTGAATTCGAAGATAGACACTTCCATTTCCATTATTCTCCTCAGTATCACCTTGAATACTACAACATGTCTACAGTCCGAAAGTATTCTTGCATGTGCGGTGCCTTTGAAGGCCAAGTCACAGGTGATCCAGCCTTGGCTGTCTGGTGTCACTGCGGTCAATGCCGCAAACAAACTGGCGCCGCTATGCAGCTTGGAATCTTCCCCAACTTTGAAGTTCTCAAGGGTGACGATCAATTGATCAAGTATGCCTCAACCGAGGGAAGTGTCTACCGAAACAGTTGCAAGAACTGCGGTAGCTTTTGCTACAAGGTCTTGCCCGATGGAGCCAAGGTTGCCCCATTGGGTGCTTTGGAACCAGCCATCAAGCCCACCTGCCATATCTTTGTGAAGGATAAGGGAGAACAAGCTGTCATGTTTCCCGATTTGCCTCAACACGATGCATTCCCTTAAGTTTCATTGGATTGGCCTTGGATGTCTTTTCTCAAGAGATCGGAATGAATGAAACAAGTGAAAAAGACGAGCGTTCAGAAATAAACTAATACTGAAACTCGAAACAACTCTAAGATTGATGATTTGTATTCGTTCTCTAGTCGTATATGGTGCAATGGTAGACAAAAGCTAATGCTGAATAATAATGTCACTGCTGCTTGCTTGGATTGGGCAACTCAAGTTAGATCTTCAATTTCATTGCAGCAGGTCAATTACATTCATTCCAGTACAGTAACAATGATATTCATAGTTCCTAGACTAAACCTGGCGAGTATTGCTGGGTATTACCATCAAAACGCGAAATTTACAGCTTGTTCCGCGTTTTGATGGTACACGCACGTGCACGAGTACAGTATTGATACGGTACGTGTACCATCAAAAGGCGAATTTTTTTCACGTTCCAAAATGTCGAAATGTTCAGACTGACTGCCAGACTGCCAAAGTTCGCAGACTGCCAAAGTTCGCAGCAGTCGAATAAACTATAATTTGATCTCCCATATCCTGTACTTTCCATTCACCGTGGCTATTGTTTCATGCGGTATATCCCACAGGGAACTGGAAAAGTGACCCAATCCGATCCTATGGAGGTAATGTTGCCAATTGCTTACTACGTACCCCGTGCTTCGAACGGCGAACAAGAGTAGAGTAAACTATGGCTTTCGACACCATACTTGGTCATTCATTCATCGAACATCATCGGAAACAACGATGATGTCCCTTCTGGCTTTTAATCGTTCCGAAATCGCAATCACGCTTCATCTTATCGTAATCCCACAAAACAAATTCTGTTGAAACCATGAACATCTGCGCGATTCATCCACACGATTCCGATCAATCGTCGATCTGGCCGCAACTCCAATCCTGATGATAAATCCACGTTGTACACCGCCAAAAGCCCATGGCTCTGCTTCCACCCTTTATACTGCAACAACACACCAAAGAGCTACTCATCATCAGAAGGAAGTACGGAAAATGGAAGTTCCATCGTTTCTAGCTGGGGACAAACCAAACTACTCAAAGCCTCGGAACTGAGAAAATCGCAAACCATCGAACAAACTGCTTCCAGGAACTCCGGATGCAATTTAAAAGTCTTTATAATTGAGGCTGCTTTGAATTTTGAGGGAGGAGCAAACAACTCAGCTGAAAGCAAGTCTCCATCGCATGTTGTCACAACCAAGAGATGAACAAGCAGTGAAGACAAACGACTCCTTGACATGCCATAAGGAGTTTGTCCAAGTGAGTGCTCTGAGCGGATGTGGCAAATCCAAAGTTGCTCAATCTCTTGTGGATGATGCATCCTTTCACAATAATGGTCTCTCTGCGTAAGGCAAATTCGATATGAATACAAGCAACGGGCCCAACTCAGGAATAGCGAAACTTTCCTGCGAGCTGTGCCCGAAAGTCATGGGGTCTGAACCGGAACTAATCTTCGTAGTAGTGCAGGCAGGAATCAGCAAACACCTCGGTCCTGAAGAGACTTGCAATTTGATCCATCTTGTTCCACAGCTGAAAGACCTTATCAGTGATTGGTGCTGATGAAATTGACAACAGGCTTGAATGCCTGTGCTTCGCCTTTCGGATTCTGACAAGAGTCGTCAGTGCCTCTTTCTCGCCTCTAGTCCCTTTCTTTGAAAATTTGCAGTGGGCTGATGTACCATCGCTCCAAATTTTGGACTTAATGATCTCCGATACTCCGAATGACAACGGTCTCATGATCACTGGCTGCTACAGATCTGAAGAGGTGGACGAGAACAGTCTACTCCGCAACATGCTAGTTTCTCTACGCGTGAATACTGAAAGTTACAATAAGTTCCACATGACGGAAACGACCGTCGGAGCTTTTGGAACCGATGAGATTGCAAAGGTGATTCAAAACACAATGCCAAGCCCCAGAGTACAACAAATGCCAACACCTACCGACCCTGCAGCTTTGTGCCACAAGAGGACAAATGGTAGTCCTTTTTTCGAGTTCTTGAAGATGCTTCATCAAGCAGGGCTCGTACTCCACAAGGCATCGTCTGACGCTTCGACTTGGGATCACCGCCACCATGTCCACTGCTAATGTCTTTGTCGTGCTACAAGAGCTGCCAGTGCTTTGCAGCACTCGGCCATTGCATCATGATATCGTAACAAGACCACAAGGCAGCAAAGATATCCACCGATATTGCTATGTCAATACTGAAGAAGTTTCAAGGTATGCACGCATCCGAGACGATTTTCATCACACACTTTACTTTATCTTGGGTCCAGCCCATTCAGGAAGTTGTTCTTATCATGCGAGAGTCGGTGTCAGAAGGACTGCGATCCGGAGACATCGAATTTTGCTATTAGGAATGCAATCTCTCGTGTGATAGCATACCCGTACGGCCTCAGAAAGCCAATTGCTTCGGTCGTGAAGCAATGCTCTACTAGATTAGTGTCCAATGTGAGGATGCGGCTCAAGCAGCTCATGCTGACGCCACCAGAGTAATGTGGCAAAGCTTCACCTTCACAATCAACACGATTCCTCCTGTTCAAACCCCGCTGAACTCAAAGGTGACATCTTTAAGGCACAAGGCTCTATTGAAACGACGGATCACCTACATTTGCATTTATCTTGTTTGTTGAGGGGGGGTTGTCCTTGTTCAACATGCCGATTCACCCTGTAAACATGATCGAAACCTTGAAGGGGCGGAAACCATCACAATTTGTTTACACTCGATCCCATTAGAGGAGAGAACAAAGGTCCCTTCGGGCCCCTTCGGGCCCCTTCGGGCCCCTTCGGGCTTTCGAACGACTTGCCTTTTGTTCAAACTCGCCATGCCACAAAACAGCTGTTTGAATCTGCGGCAATACGATAGGCTGGCTAAGTATAAGTATTTTGGTGAGTATGTAGCATACTAGGTTTAAAAAATAGTGCAATGTCCATTTTTCGAAGGGTACGAGGACTTATTGGGTACCCCAATTATTTCCATTTGCTCCTTCCTTCCAACAGTATTACCAAATGGTAGGATAACAACGAGCCTGTAAGTCCGCCCTACGAATACTACGCCAAACAATGATTCAACCACATTCATTGGCGTTTAAGGATTGTGATCAAGCACTTTGAATAGACATTTCTGACAAAAGCGGGAAACACAAAACCTCTCTAATTGTTCCCATTTCTTTTTCCTTTCGGCAACTTCGACACCTGTCCCACCCAGGCTGGCCCGCAAACCATTTCAAGTTCCAAATTGCTCAATAGAGACTAAACCATTAATGCATTTATAAACAAATCGTGGCAGCTACTGAGATCGATTGTTAGAGATATCGGTAGCGCCAATGAAGAGACATTGTATTGTTGTCTTCAACTTTCTTTACACAGGTATCAGTGTTTGCAAGCTCTGAACGTCTACCGAATAATCCAGAGACATGCGGGCGGTTTAACGCCAGAAGCAATTCGAATCTTCTAGTTTCAAGACGGCGTTGAAGAAGTCAGTGAAACATCGAAGGACCTGGAGCTAAGAAAGCTGAAGTTACTGTCTGACTGCTCTGATTTGCTGAAATTTTGCCAATCAATCGTTCGCAGCGAGGCAAGCTGTTTCGATGAATATCGACAGCGACTTTGCAATGATGTATTCACCGATTCAGGTATTGAGTCTCCCCCTAGGATCTCCTTGTAATCTTTAGTCAGCCGGTTCACCTTGCCTGTTGCACCCCATTCCCCATACAAAAGGATCGCTTGTCTGATGTAATACTTGCACCAGTCTTTGTCGTCTTCTGCGAGGAACATTTCGGCTGCTCGTTCGCACATATACGCTTCGTGGTGAACCAATCCAAGTCGCGCACAGGCCGTGATTGCCTTGTCATAGCTCTGCTTCGAAGGGTTTTTCTCCGCTTCCAACATGGCAACAATAGGAAACGCATTCACGGATCCGTGCTTCATTTCTTTAATAAACGATTTGAGCATCTTCTTCCCTTCCGTCAAATACTTCTTTCGAAGTTTTGAATCCTTTGTCTCCCTACTCAAGGCAAAGGCAGCTAATCCCAAATAGCACCGACGGAAATGATCCCGCATTAGAAAGCCATCTCTTTCATCCATGTATTCTTCCAAGTCTTCAATCAAAGCCCCGGCAGCGTCCCAATCACCAAAGACACAACACAGCATCAGCCGACACGCGTCCATACCAAGCCGGATGCGCAGAGCACCAAGCCCTTCGACCTTTTCAAGTTCGTCGTCTTGATCCATAACCTCACCGTGCAGAAAAGTTGGGTTTTCGACATCGTCAGTAAGGTTCAGAATCGTTTGATGAAGACTCATCATCTTTTGTTCAACAAAATATGGGCAGCCATAGTGTATGGCGTCCTCTGTGTGTGCTACCAAGTCGGACTTTGCTGATTCAAGAGAAAGGCCGACGCATAGATACGTAATTGTATAGTCGATGGCCACCCCAATGGATTCTCTCGCAAGCCCAGCTCTCAGAAAGTCTGAGCGGCATTCCATCAACTCATTTAGGCAATTATTGAAGGATCGTACCTGTTTAGATTTGGACTCAAAGCGTTAGTATAATTCACATTCCACCAAGAAAGGAACGCAAAACACTTACAGCACTGAGAACGCTTGTACATGCAGTCAGCCGCACCTGTCCATGATCTGATCCAAGCTTGCGTGGTAGACTTTCAGTCAGCGTCAGAGCCACCTCCGCATACTTTGAAGCTGACTTATAATGCCCATCAACTCTCAAATGGGTCGCCATTTGGATCACAGCAAGATTTGTGACTGGACTGATGCCTTGCTTACAAGTACCCTTCAACGCACGGGCACTTGCAAACCAGCTTAGCGATTTGTATGTTGGGCTGTAGGCAGCGTACACGGCTAGATGGTTCACGAGCAACGTTTGTATTCTCAGCGCTCCCTTGTCGACCATTTCTGAAAGGTCCAGAAGACCATTCACATGCCCATTCGGGAGCAGCTTCTTCAACTTCGCCTTCAGCCGTGCCTTCTCCACAGTCTCCTGACCAGGAAAAAACTTCCAGATATGTTTGTCACCATAATACTTCAGGAGCAATAGAGTTCTCTCAACACCCTTATCGTAATTCCGATCATTTCCAGAAACGACACACTGCAGCATGATGATATGCGCTGGGAATGTATCGCCGTGCGTCTTCGCATTCTGAACGATTTCAAGGGCGATTTCCATGGCAGTTTGAGTCGCACCAACACGGAGTTTGGTGTCAGCCAATGTCGTCAAGAGATCAAGAGTCAACTCATAAGAATTGTTCCATCGATCGGCTGGTTCCATGTGCTTCTCTGCATTCAACAAGAGTTCCAAGGCTGGGTATATTGCACCCTTGTTCAACGAAAGAGTTGCTGCTTGCAAGTTCAGCTCGGCCACTTCATTGCCTAAAGAGGAGTCACATTCAAACTTGTTCATTTGATCTGCTGCCATAAATATCATCCACTCTTTGTCGCGAATCCGACCCAATTCCCATATGATCCGGCCAAGTTTCCCGTGTAGCTCGTTCTGCATACTTGCTGGCATTTGGTCATATGTAGCCTGTTGCAACAGGTCATTGGACCACATATATGCGCCTTCTGTCGTCGATTTGACGAGAATGCCAGCCTTTGTAGCAACTTCGAGATGTTCGACGAATCCTTCCTCGTCCAGACCCCAATCCTTTGCTTTAGCGGACTCGGCAAAGTATATTACTAGAACATCCTTTGGAATAACATACCCCAAACATGATGCCACCTTCAGCGCATATCTAGTGGCAAGGCTCAGCTTACACATTGACGCAGCTAGCATATCAGCAACATTATCTGATACGGGAGCATACTGGTCCAGGATCTCGACGTCTTCCCATTCCCACTTGTAAGTGAGGGAGGAAAACTTAAAATGTCCATTCTCGCGCCCAAAACGTAGGAACTGACATACTGCAAACGGATTCCCTCCTGTTTTCTTGTGAATCACTTTTGAAAGGGGAAGAGATTCCTCTATTTCGGCTTTGACCAATGATGCAACCAGCTCGTTGACAGCATCGATATCCCAACTGTTTAGGAACAAGGAGTGTACATTCGACTGGAAGGTCTTGATCTTTTTGACGGTCATGATCGCAAACTTGTTTTGTTCCAGTAAGTCTGAGTAGGTTAGCACTAAGAGTATCTGACCGTTGCTGTACTTAGTACGGTTGTTGTTGGAAGCAGTACGTGCCATGAGCTTGAAAATTTCCATCGACGCAGCGTCTGCGTAGTGAACGTCGTCGAAGGCAAGGACGATGCGTTTCGTGGATGCCAAAAACGAAAAGAGTCTCATAAATGACGAAGCAATGGCTGCTGGGTCTCCCCCCATTCTGTCGTCTCCAAGTTGCCCTCGTTGGCGACGAGAACTTGAGAGCTCGTCAATCCTTGCGGATCTTTTCACAGATCTGGCAATGTAACTCTGAAAGTCGGCTTGAAGCTGAGTTTCCGATCTGGAAAACTTCATATCTTGAGTGAACTTATCGATGACTCTAAAGAGCCCTGGGATTACATTTTGCAACAGGTCCATGTCCTTTTCTAACAGTTCCAGGAGCCCACTCATCTTGCACGTGTCAGGAGACTTCTCATTGTTTATGCACCATATTTCAACGAGCTCATCCACGGCTCTAGTCAATGCAGAGTACGGCTCTGAACTTAGATGTCGCTCAAATTTTTCATTGACAAAAACCCATTCTTTGTCTGTCCAATTCACTGAATTTACCAGCGCAGTTTTCCCGGACCCATCGCGTCCTTCCAGCAAGACACAAGCTGAAGATTCCCCTTCGGCAATCTTGTTAAGCAGGCTGAGTTCATCATTACGACCGTGTGACCCTTCTACAACCCACTTTGGCCCTTTCTTGTCGTCTGCTATAGTTGACATGATGCTTTCTGAACAGAGAATGCTGCCATGGAACTTGAAACTGACAACAAGATGAACTGCACGCAGTCGTCACCACACAAAAAGGAGCGGTGGTAGAAAAGATAAAACGTCGGTACGAAAGCGACTTAACTTAAAATTCTTTGCGGACACCAACTGACATTTTTGAATTCCGGAGGATGACCGTGCGTTCAACGGGTCCGGCGTTGAGACTGACAAGTTTTATGAACCCGGATATTCAACAATTTCTACCGGTACGTGTACCAGGTACACGCAAGTCCGTGTGGCCGGATATATAGCACTTCCCGGCGGGTCGCAATGATCACCGAAACTACAGTATGTCTTGATACTCTTATTTTTAGTGATCACCTGAGAGGCGAGCGGGCTGTATTCTGAGTACACCCTTATGATTGTTTGGAACAGTGTACATGACACCATCATCAGTCATTATACCACCTGAAAGCACCATTTTTCAAAATATGGTTAGTCCCCAATCTCCCACATGTCGAAGAATCAATCAATAATCCCACCCAATAATTTACCTTCGAATTTATCTTTGCATTCTCGTCGAGGAGACGGCAACGTCCACACTGTCACATCTGGATCCTCGTCCTTCTTGCTGCAATCCACACGAAGGAGTGTATGCCCCGAAAGGGGCATTCCATAGACACACTGATCTTGCACACATGTCAGCCCATTCTGCCACTTGTTTTGAAACACCATTTCCATTCCCGAGTCTCTCAGGTTTGGCCCGACATTCTTGGCTTCCATCTTCTCCGTATCCACTTGTAAAACATACTCACTAGCACAGGGAAAGACATATACCTTGCCATTGGTCCCACACATAGCACCCAAATATTTGTACTTTTTATCATCTCGATGACGTCCCGCTTGTACAATGGAAGCATCTCCCACCAAAGTCAAGATGGGTTCCTCTCCAGGTGTGATACAGAGAGCAGTATCCGCATTTGCTGGGACCGACACAATGACTCCATTGGACGCTGCTGCTCCGCCATGCCACCAGTGTTTGTTTGCACCAAAATCTCCATGAACGGTAACCTTTTCAGGTGAAATCCGTAAGACTCCTGAAGCATTGTGCGGAATGCCATAAATGGCCCCATCTTGCTTTCCCAAGATACCACCATACCACTTGCAATGCCCAGGGAATTTGGGACCATGAAAGGAGACTTTCTCCGTTTTCGGATCTAGTTTCAGTACTTGACTGGCTCTCTGAGGGATCGCATAAATACAGCCATCCAGTGGACAAATGGTGCCGCCATGATACTTCCAAATCATGGTGCGTTCGGCATGGGCCTCACAAACTGTCTCGCCATCCTTTGTTTCGGTGCTGTACAAGTCTTCGTACGGAATCTTCAAAGTAGTAATGGTTTGGGTAGGCACATGAATCTTGAGAATGTCATCCGCATGACAAGGCAATCCATAGATAATGTCTCCGACCACTATACCGCGAAGCCACTTGTAGAGTCTCCCATTGGAAGTATCGACACCCGCACCCTTGTTTGACCTCAGAACAGGTCCAATTAATTTGACTTTTTCACAAGATCGATCAATCATCAAGACCTTGTCGGCATGTCCAGGGATGCAATAAAGGTTGCCATCAGAACCCACCTCACCACCCAAATATAGAGTTTGGCCTTGTAAGGGTGGAGTCATAGATGGCCTTCCCGTGCGCGTCCTGTTTGGTTCACACCAAAGATATTGTAGCAAGGGGCCACCTTGTGCCCGGTGATCCATGGTATTGTCGGGATGACTATTGTCGAGTTGATAGGGCAGTAGCTTTCGCTGATTATGTTCCTCGTCGTCTTGCTTATTCTCATCTTCCGTTGTTTGCAGGGAGAGTTGACGTTGCTCTTCTACAATTCGATCCAGCTCGAATTCAATTGCACGAGCCGACCATTTGGGCGAGGTATTGGATGATTCGTCATTCTTGGTTTCTTCAGGAACAGGATCATCATTCAGTTCTTGGACGAGTTTTTTCTTGAGTTCCTTTCGAGCAACTTTTCGTTCCTTTAGTTGTTTCACTTCTTTAGGATTTGTTGGCTTCTGTCGAACGGGAGGTCCCAATGCTGCCCAAGCTGCTATGTGTTCGTCTGTAAAGATGAGTTGGGACATGGCCAATAAGGATGAAGGTTTAGATATTATTTGTTCCATACATAATATCCGCCATATGACTAGTTTTTGTGGAAATGGATGTGCCTGTCCGTCCGCCCCCCAGCCTCCATTTTCAAACGTGTGAGAGACAATAACGCAATAATCCTCATCATCCGCATCATCGTCAAAATACCGCGTTACATATGCACGGTCACAAAATTGCAACAACACGTTTCAGCTTTAGTACACTATTGTTTCCCACAATTTCCATCAGCAATAGTTTGTTGATTGATAATACAATAATCATGCCCAAAGTCCATCCCAACGGGACACCACTGACGTCCATCATGGAATCCCTTGAGGACGCCAACAACAATTTGATTTCGGTACTCAGCATGAACTTGCTGGCTCCTCTCTATGTACGACCCATTGACAAGAGAACGGGACAAGTCCAACCCTTTGCCGCCTTTGAATGGGTCCAAGACGATGCCATTTTGGAATGGGATAGTCGGAAACTACGGCTGTTGGAGTATATGGTGGCTAGCCAAGCAGAGGTAATTTGTTTGCAAGAATTGCAATTGGAACGACAGGAGAAAGGAGAAGGAGACAAAAGTGAGTCAACCGACGTACTGCCACTCGTTTTGCCAGAATGGATCCAGCCCATGATTGATAAGTATGGATACACGGCGATATTGCCATCCCAAGATTCCTTGGATCACATTGCCAGTCGCAACCTGCGTGTATTGGGATCCGATTCGGCAGTCACCAATGCCATTTTGGTAAAAAAGGATCAATGGAAGGTGCTGGAGGAACCAGCGGAAGAAGATGCGGAACCGATAACCAAAAAGAATAAGAAAAATAACAACAGTAAGGGTATGCAGAGAATACAGAGCGCCAAGAACAGCAATACCATGGTCTCGGTATGTTTGGAACCTGCCACCAAAAGTGAGGCAATCAATACTGCTGATCCTGTTGTCATTTCATGTGTGCATCTGGATGCTACTGATGAGCGCAAGCGAGTTCTACAACTCACCAAATGCTTGGAACGATCCCGCACTCTACTGGATCACAATCAGAATAAAGAAAATGATGCTGTTTCAACAACCGCAGTCATTCGGCCGGTGCGGGCAATCATTGCTGGGGACATGAATGCAGAATTTGTTCCAGGTTCGTGCATGGTGGCTACCTTGAAGGAGTACCAACAAAAGAAGAAACGCCAAATGTCGCAAGAGGCCACAGAATCCGACGAAGCCATGGCAGAAGTGGCTGCTTGTACTGAAGCCCTCCGATTAACTTGCGCCGAACCACCCAACAAGGAACAACTACAAGACTGGAGACAGCTGCGAAAGGAAGCTTATGATTTAGTACAAGATCATTGTGTCTTTTTAGATCGGGTTCCAACGGGGCCCACTCGGTGTGCCTATGAACACACGTCCTCCTCAAACAGCACTGCAGATGCTACCACACAAAGGAAAATGCAATCTTGGAAGCTAGATCACTTGCTGTATACTTGCAGTGACGACGAGGATGATAAAAACGATAGTAAGACGGGGATTGGAGGAGTGCGCCCAATAGCCTATTGGGCTACACTGGAAGCGGATTCCACCTCGTGTCAAAGTGGGCTGCCCAGTGCTACTTGTCCATCGGACCACTTGCCCATTGCAGCAGTCTTTGAAATCCCTTCCAGACAAGCCCCCACTGCAAAGGAGAATGAAGCATCGGTGGCTTTCGTACAAAAGGTACAAGGCTTCGAGAAGCGACACAAGGAAGTCGTGGAACAAGCCAAAGCAGAACTGAAAGCAAAGGAGACCGAATTGCAACAAAAGGAGCTAGAAAAGCAGAAAGAAGCTGCCAACAAAGAGGATCTTGCACCGGTCGATAACAATTCGACACAAGGAAAGAAAAAGAAAAAGGGCAATCAGAAACGAGCAGGACCCCCATCGACTGAAATGATGGAACTGAAAAGGGAATTCCGCAGCCGTCTCAAAGCCTTTCAAAAGAACCAAGCCCAAGAGCGAGAAGAGTTGCTGCGGGTCATAGGGAATCGTGAAAAGCTATTGCTTCAGGCACATTACGGAATCCCATGGCGAAAGTGGCTAGAGCAAGGGCCACCATGATGATGAGGAATAAAGCAAGCAGGGGCATACTGCTTTTAGTGATATGGAATTATGAAGTTGTGACTCCTGGGATATGCTTCCTCGAGTATTTGTTTGGGACTATCTATCTTGGTGGATCAAATGAGGATTTCAGTTCTGCGCTTGGATCTGTGAGCTGTTGATCGTGTTGCTCGATTCGAGAAGCAGCAGAAGGTCCCTCTTTGACAGTGGTAGCATTCCTTATCACATGTTTGGCAACATGGCTCTCGGCTCGTTTCCAGTAGCTCATGCCTACTACTTGCGTTAATTCCCGCTGGACACTGTCCACTAAATTAGCAAAGCGCTGCTCTTTCATCACATGACGCTTTTCGCATTCTTCCAGCGAAGTTCTAGCCTTCTTGTGTAACTCTGTATCCTTCTTCTCGAGGTATCTCATCAATACTCTGACTATCATCCAGAATCGATGTTTTCGAAGCTTTGTTTCTTCTATTGCCTTGATTGTGACTCGACGATTGGAAACATGGCGCTCGGCCCGTTCCCAATATCTGGTTCCTACTGCCCGTTTCAGCTCGCTTTGGACACTGTCAATCAGATTGGTGTATCCTTTGTCTTTTAGTACATGGCGCTTGGCACAGTCTCCCAGGATAGTTCGAGCAGTCTTGTACAGACCATAATCCTTCGTCTCTAAATATCTCATCAGTGATCGGACAATCATCCAGACTCGTTGCTTTTGGCGCTTCCTTGTTGCTTCGTCTTCCACGATGACCACACGATTCTCATTCGACGGACAGGGTCGTTTGAGTGATCGCTTCCAGTGCTGATCATTGCTTCTAATATTATTCTCATAAAGAGGCATCCTCGTTTGAACTTGGTTTTCGGGAAAGCCCGCCTTTGTATCGGATAAGCGTGGCGCATAGTGATTCCTCCCTCCACCATCATCATGGATGGAAGTGCTGGTGGACAAGCCATCATCTCGGTCTTTACTATTTTCCATTTGATTCCTTCCTTCAAAATGGGCACCCCTTGGCTTATTTTTGGAGGAGATGAGAAGTTTTGGATTTTCCTCGTTTTGATACGAATACTATACATTCGCACACATACGTGAACTTCTTGCATTGCCGGAAATGTGAGCCTTTTTACTTTTGGCACGATTGATTGATTGGTCGCCTGACACGGTCCCGCCAGATTACATCACGGTAGAAAAGGTAATCGTGCTTCCGGTGACGGATGAAGACGATTAGAAGTCAACAGGTTAATAGATATTTGTAATACAACAAGGTACCATGTAATTCGTTCTAATATATTCATGGGATACTTCCTCTAGTAGTATGTATGGCTCTATAGTTTCTTGTTGTGTTGTTTATGAAAGCTTTTGATTGATTGCAGCAGTAGTTCACCTTTGCTCAAAGAAAGTGGTGCTGAGAGTCTGGTGCTTTCTCCGTTTTCGATAAATTTCGGTTACCACTGGTACTATAAGTCGTCTTGATGATACGATCCGTCATCCGTACATGATGTCTTCTGAAATAGTACCATGTGGAGACTGGTAGTAGTCACATCCTCCCAACCTCCAGTGGTGTTCGGCTGGCAGCTTCTTGGTGGGAATGGCCACGTTGGTTGGAATAGACGGATCTCTCCAATGGTGGCTGCTGCCGTGATTCTGCCTCGGTGGTGGTGCAAAGGCGGGTTCCAGCACAAGCGGATGCACAACAACGGTTTGTTCATGCTGTGGTTGTTGTGGTTGCTCTTGCAATGGAACTGGTGGGGTGAATAAATTGTCGAGAGAGGACCCAAAGGACGATGCCTCCTTGGCAAGGGCGTCCTCCCATGCCTGTTCACTAGCTTTCTTCAGAATATGCTTGGCCACGTGATGTTCGGCTCGTCTCCAGTATCTTGTGCCAACGGTATGTTTCAACTCTCGTTGGACGCTTTCAATCAAATTGACAAAGCGTGGCTCCTTTCGGACATTTCTCGTGGCGCAATTTTCCAAGGTAGCTCGGGCTTTCTTGTATAATATGACATCCTTCTTTTCAACGTATCGCATCAAGACTCGGACTAGCATCCAGAAGCGTTGTTTTCGAAGCTTTCGTTCTTCTGTTACCAGATGATTCTCCTTGGAATGATGACAGGAGGAGGAGGAGGATCGCCTGTACGACGACGCTCGTTTGTGACTGGTAGTGCTTGTCATAATATTGTCACCACGATTGCTGCTTGCAAAGTGAGATAACGCTTCCGCTGTTTGGTTTTCACAAAGGCAGTCCGATGAGCTGGAATCGAGTGAGAGAGGTTCGAAATCAGTGTAGTCATCATCATCATTCTTGCGTAATATGTTGTTCTTCCTTTGCTCTTCCTTGGCTTGTTTCCAATACGCAGAGCCGACGGTTTGCTTGAGTGGAACCTTGATGGATTCGCACATGCTTTCGGATACACTCTCCTCTCCACAATAGTTATGTTGCCCTCCTTCTTCATTCTTGGACTTCTTTTTGTATTTGCGAATTACATTGCGGGCATTCTTGCAAACCGTGGGATTCTTCTTTTCCAAAAACTTCATCAAGACTTTGGTAAAGGAAAGAAAGCGACGTTTCTCTTTTTGTCTCCTCTCTCTGGCTCCGCAAGTATTGGACATGTGCTCGGTACTCGTGGAACCAGCATCGTCCGTGTTACAGGAGGATACGGATCGTGTGCTGCTCCAACCATGATTCTGTCGTCGTTGTTCATTCGCATGCAGAACCATGCGATGAAAGTCATCTTGACCACTGAGGTGCTCAAAGGAGGACACTCGTCTTTGGTTATGGCTAGTAGTCGGAATCGTAGATGGTGACACAGTGGCCAACATTGATTGTGAATAAATCAAGTTATTGTCTTGATTATACTTTGCTTTTATGCTTTCGTCCGAATAAATGAATGATAATAGATTTTATGTGGTTGATGTCTAATTGTTCTACCAGTTGTTCTATTGAAACGGCATTTTGTCGTCTGTCTCTTTTCTTCTGCTTATACTTCAATCGTTCGAATTGCGGTGTGCTATTGTGTATGAGTGGCACAAAAATGAGAAGTGGGAAATCACCGAACCTTGGACAGTTTTTTGAAGCCCGATGCACTAAATAAAACTCGTTACGAAGGTTGATGTTTTCGTGGACAATAAGTAACCAAAAACTTGGCGAGGAAAAACACGATTGTTTGTTACTGTCGCCAGAATTTGCAAGGTCTTTTTTGGCAAGATTGAGCCATTTGTGTGGCCCTGCTAGCCGCGACATTATTCGCCGACATGAGCTGTTTGGAGCAGCTGTGAACTCCCGCGATCCTTGAGCTGGTGGTGTTCCCATGGTTTGCGACGTCACGCAAAAATGGTAATCATGCTCGCTCTCTCATATATTATCTCGATCTCATCTCGAAACGAATCTTTCGACTACAACGAATCGACAACATTCAACAAATAATAAGCAACACAAATAAATGATACCAACTTCAAGTGTGACAATGCAGACCCTTTTTCTCTTGAGTACAAGTCTATTATTGGCTTGCCTGTCAGATGCTTTTCTACAAAGATCTCCATTGTCATCTGGCCTTTCCATTTCCCACCATGAATCGACGAGGTCATCAGCCTCTCTGCCACTCCACATGTTTGATTTTCTAAAACCGAAAGAGGAGGAGGATAAGTCAGATGAACCACCACCAGCAGCAGCAGCAGCAGAAGTGGAGGAGCCACAGGACTTTTCCGATGACCCAGTCGATAAAATCTTTAGTTTCTTTTTTGGAGCAAAGGAAGAATCTCCCATGGGAATGAAACGATTTGGCCGAGAACGATTCCCCGAACAATATCCAGCAGTCTTGGACGAATGGGCTGCACCTGTGGAAGGGGATGACAAGGAGATGGCAGCATTGAGACCCATGTTGAAGAATACGAATTTGGAATTTCGTAACTTGAAGGTGGGTGAATGAAAGATATTGTCGGGTGATTATTGTTTGTTTGCTTGTTTGTTTATTTATTTATTTCTTTTCTTTGTCGTGTCATTATGATTCCAAACACAACCATTATCATTGGATGTATTATAGCTCACATACTCAGCCAACCGAGATGGATGGAACGCCAAAAAATTCCATGACAAAGTAGACAAGCTGGGAGGGGGCCTAGTGGTATGCACCACCACTGATGGTCTGATTTGTGGTGGATGTGAGTTATTATTCATCTGCATTTTGTCGTTTTGGCTGGGTTGTATTCGATACCAATCTTAAGTGTTTCCCTCCTCCTTCTTCCTCTTTCTTTCTATGCATCTGTTTCACAAAAAAATTATTTCTTGTCCATCAATGTATTATTCATTCCAGACAATCCAAAGGGATGGGTCGGATATGGGGAAGCGCGTGGCAGCATTGCCGCTTTTTTGTTTGTCTTCAAGCGTGGCTTGACCGAGTTGCCCTCCAAATTGCGAAAAGTGGGTGGTCCTTCGTTAGCACAGCAGGACCTGCCGGAAATTGGGCCCAGCTTTGGTGCAGATTCCTTGGTGATTCCCTTTGAACAAAGTCGGCCCAAGATAGCGAGGAGTAAGTTGGGAAGTTACTACGAACGCTTCCCGGATGGAACCAACACATTGTTTGGGAAACGTGGTGCATCTGTCGAGTTAAAGGACTTGAAGGTATACCATGGAGTCTATGCAGAAGGAGAGTACATTCCATTTACGGATGCGGAACCATTTGCCTTGTACTAGAAGGATGTGTAGTACGTAATAGTTGTCGTCTAGTGCCACAACTTGGATCTGCTCGAAACCTCCGTGACTAGAATAGAGATGATAGCTTCTGCCGGTGGAGCTAATGACGGTATTGAATCGACAGTTTCAACGAGAGAGATCACCGCGCCTTTGGTATCGTGGCATCTACTGTAGACACAGATCATATTTTAGTCAGTGGTCCATCCTTTATGCTCTATTGCTGTAGTCTTGTCCGTTCTAATGCCTTTCATAGTTCCGCTTGCTCTTCTGCTGTTTCTACTGGACCCAAGTCTTCCTTCACTACCTCAGGTGCTTCGGTAGATGATTCAACTTCAGGTGCCGCTTCTTCGGCAACCGGTGGATTTTCTTCTCCTGTTTCTACTGGACCAGAGTCTTCCTCCTGTGCCACCTCGAGTGAATCTACATGTTCAGGTGCCGCTTCTTCGGCAACCGGTGGACTTTCTTCTTCTAGCTCTACTGGACCAGAGTCTTCCTCCTGTGCCACCTCGGGTGTTTCTACATGTTCAGGTGCCGCTCCTTCGGTGACCGGTAGAATTTCTTCTTCTAGCTCTACTGGACCAGAGTCTTCCTCCTGTGCTACCTCAGGTGTTTCTACATGTTCAGATGCCGCTTCTTCGGTGACCGGTGGACTTTCTTCTTCTAGTTCTACTGGACCAGAGTCTTCCTCCTGTGCCACCTCAGGTGTTTCTACATGTTCAGGTGCCGCTTCTTCGGTGACAGGTAGAATTTCTTCTTCTAGTTCTACTGGACCCGAGTCTTCCTCCTGTGCCACCTCGGGTGTTTCTACATGTTCAGGTGCCGCTTCTTCGGTAACCGGTAGAATTTCTTCTTCTAGTTCTACTGGACCCGAGTCTTCCTCCTGTGCCACCTCGGGTGTTTCTGTGGATGATTCATCTTCAGGTACCGGATTGAGGCCTGGTAGAGTTTCTCCTTCCGGCGCTTCAATGTGGACCTTGCTACCTTCTACAGTCACTTTGGCATTGGGCATGTCCTTTAGAATTTCATTGATCACCGTTTCTGCCTTGTTGTTGGGAGTATATTGACTGGCTCTGCTGACAGCAGCCGGCCGCGATTTGACGTAAATGGCAAAGAGGAGAAAGAAGATAGCAATGGCACCACCTGCATAGGGAAGGATTTTGAAACATTGCTATTGTCCGCCATAGGGCAGTGCGTGTATTCGATACGTGATGTACCAATATGCAAATGCATGATTTTGATTGATCGAAGGACAAGTTTGTATTGACAGTCGTTGTTGTACAAGCAATCGAGTGAATTGATTTGACAACCCGATTGGTGATCCACAAGGAGAAGGAAATCCAAGTGAGTTTGAGCTTTTCTATCAGCATTCATGCAGCATCATAAATCTCGATGCACAGTTGACTTGTCTTTTACAGAGCGAGCATCACACCTACCTCTCTCGCCTCCTCTTGTTCCTTCAGTCGGATTCGTCGTTCCTCTTTCGTCTCTTTTTTGAATTTCTCTCCATTCTTCTTCTGCTTCGATCGACCCATGTCGTTTAAAATATAATCCTGCTTTTATAGAGTTCTCTGCTTTGAATGCAACTCCGCTGCTATATGCCCAATCAAATAAAAAGGCTAATATAAAATGCACGGGTTGATGTCACGCCATGATCGAGATCCATATTTTCTTTACCGGTATTTTCGAAGAATTTGCGAACCGTCGAAGTCTGTCTGCGCCCATCGCGATCATTCCTGTAACTGACAAAGTGCCACGTGTAATCTGGAACATCAGATGATTCTACGGTGTACTATTGTACCGTAGAGGAGCAGTTTAGCATACATTCCTACTAGCATTATCTATTCCTTTTATTAACATTGTTCATTCTTCGGGCCGCCATCTCGCCTTGTCTTCCCCACTCAGCGGAATGGTGTGCACTTCGCCATCATCAAATTGAACTGTAATCAACATGACTTCCAGCTCGTCAAAGGCCCCACCTTCAATGGTGGGCTCTTGCATGACTTCTCCGGCCACCCAATCGTATTCTTCGTTCCAGTAATATTCCACTCTACTACCCTTGTGAATGGTCTTGGCCCATGGGGGTAGAGTCGGTAGTCCAACTTTTAAATCCTTGTCATCTTCATCTGTCTTTTCCGTGATTTGGGAAGCCAATTTGCGGGCTTGTTGCATGCCCCAGACTTGATCCAATTTGCCCGTCAAGAAACGCAATCGTTCGAGTGAATTGGTCATTTGCAAAAGTCGGGTCCGCGCTGGATTGTCCAGTGAGGCCAATTCGGCGGCCATCATGCTGAGGACAAATCGTCGTTGGGATGGTTCAATGTCGTCAATCATGCTGGATTGAAAGATTTCCCACACGGCGGCCATTTCTTCGGCTTGATATTGTTCAATGGTTGTCAAATCCAATGGAACCTTGGAAGGATCGTCGTTGGTAGTAGTATTTTCCAGAATGGACTCTTCCAACAAGCTTCGTTCTTTGGATTCGGCATCGTCCACCTTTTGGGTTATCACTTTTTGAACAATACTCATGATCTTTTGTATCAACTCTTCTGCCGGCATGGTGTCGTAGTCGTCCAGATATTCGTCGTCATCGTCATCGTCATCCTCTTCGTCATCATGGTCATTGTCAATGGGGGTGCTCGTCTGGGTGTCTTCATCATCACTACCATCATCATCATTGTCTACCAGTTCGTCGACAATGACAATTGGATACGGAATGGACTGGACTACCGATTTGACTACAAATCGAAAGTCTCCTCGACACAGCATGGTGGTGGGGGGAGTATCCGAGGGTGCACCTCCGTCACTATCGTCCATCATCATCATCATGTTCATGTCAAAATCAAAATCATCGTCCATTCCTTGTAGCATTTCGTCCATGGGAGAGGATATAAATATTTCGGCCGTGCATCCAATGGCCCCTACCAAAGTTGACGAATCATTCTTGCAAACCAATCGTCCAAAGATGGGTCGTCGATCCGAACTCATCTTGTTGCTTGTCAAAATACTGCTACTGGGCGTCTCATTCTCATCATCATCGTCATCGTCACTATTGTTGTAGTTTTCGCCACTGTCGTGGATCGTTTTGGCTTCTTCCATAATGAGCTTGTCGATGGGTCGTTCCAGTTGAATCCCATACAAAAAGGGCGTCGACAATTCAGTGGGCAATTGACTGGAAGGCAACGGTAGTATAAAGTTTTCGACATCTCCATTCTTGGCAAGGACACTTTGTTCGAATTCCAGCCAATCCAAGAGTGGAAGCTTGACATTGGTTCTTGGTTTTGATGATGACGACGATGATGATGATGATGATGCGGTGCTGGAACCATCATCATCATCATCATCATCGTAGGATTGGAATAATTGAGATACTGTTCTTGTTGTTTGCAGTGTTTGCCTTGAGGATTCTTGTTGTGGTGGATGATAATGGATTTGAAGACCAGCACCATTGTTGTTGTTGTTGTTGTTCGGAACAAATCCATTGATTAATACAGCTTGAAGCGAGACAACGACTATCACTAATGTCAATAGGTATGGAGTAAGTGTCCCTTTTTGTAATTGGGTTGCTATCATGGTGATGTGCTTCTATATTGTCGCTGGATATAAATATAAATATAAATGATGATGTTGATGATACCGGTTGATATATTATGGGCATCATCGTTCGTCATTCACTCCTTCATGCCATCTGAACGGTGGGGAATAGGAGAGTGGGAGTTCTTACCAGCGGTTGAATGCCAGACGCGCGGCCTTCCCAACCGAAGAATATATTCGAAATTCCTTCTCCACGAATTTCTGACCAAACACCACGAAAGATCACGTGGAAAGGCGAAAACCACAAAAAAGACTTACCACACAAACTGCGAGCTTCTGCTGCCCGACCTTTCTGTTTGTGTTTTTGTGTCATGCGCTTATGATTGATTTTATATTATCGATTGATTGACTCATCCATTATCCTACGACTGGACCGTAAAAGTTTACATACACACCTACTTCTATAACATAAAAGATGAAACTCCTCGGCATCTCTTCTGCGGCACTATGCTTGTTCATGGCATTGGCCACGACAGCCAATGGCTTTGCCATAATTCCATCTTCCTCGTCTTCAACTTCTTCCAGCGTTCTTTTCTATGAATCTTCTTCTGCAGACAAGTTGGACAATCGATTCATTGTTTCTCCCGTTTTGCAGCAAGTTTACCCCAAGTTGCTCGAATGGAAGCAAGAATATGGACATCCCAACATTCCTCTTGGGACTCCAGAAGGTCGCAAGTGTGCCACTTTGAGACGTTTGCACATTCAGCAGAAACTAACTCAAGAGGAAGTGGAATGGTTGCAAGATTTGGGATTTCTATTTCATTCCTTGGAGGACGTCTACGAACATGCGGATTTTGATGATTTGTTTGAAAGACTCATGGATTATGAGGCGAGACATCCCGAGTCCAACTTTCAAGTTCCCAAAAAGTGTGCGGAAGATCCAGAATTAGGAGCTTGGGTCACTGGTTTGAGACGCCTAGGCGCGGACAAGGTGGATCCCAAGCATGCTCAGCAACTAAACAACGTTGGTTTTGCCTGGTTCTCCAAAAGCAAATGTGGATCCAAATTCATGCTGCAGTACAAGGCACTTACGCAACTTGTCAAGGAGATGGAGAATGACGGAAAGACCAAGGCGGAAGCCATTCAAATTATCATTGCAGAAGATCCAAAGGTGAAAGCCTTGGTACAAGCCCAAAAGCAAATAGAGGCCAAGGGAACCATGAGCGAGACTCGAATGAATTACATGAACCAACTGTTTGGTGATGAATGGACCACTCTAGTCTAGAATAGTGGTATATATATTATCATATGATGATGATGATTATGACAATATTGCGACTGGCAAGGAAGGACCACATTAGGGCACTCTTTTCAAAATATTCGGACCCCACAAAAAATGTACATACGATGATGGGCGGCACAATAATGAGCACACAAAAAAATACAATTGTACATACAGAACACAACAATACACAATACACAGCACTCGCCACAGAGCAAGTAATAACCACCCCCAAAGAAATTCAAAAAGTGATCCAAGAAGGAAATAAGTGATTTTGAGTCAATAAGAATAGAAAGAGTATTTTTAAAAATTTGCATCCATTAGAGATTCTTCAACCTTGAAGCAACCAGGAGTCCTTAGATGGCACTGAGAATGGGACCAAGCAAATTTATTACCACCACAGCCGCAAATGCGACGTTTTGGAAGGAACGAAAGTGAGGTTGAGGTTTTGGGAACTGATGGAAAAACTGAAGAAGTACCATCGCATCGACAGAGCCAACTACTAGTAGAACTCTCATCTACAGTTTGCGCTTCCCCATATCGTCATACTCTTCATACTCTGAACTCGTACCATAAAACAAACATGAGAATATACATACAGTATATAGAAAGAGACGCGTATAGGCAGAGCATTATTCTAGAAACGAAAAACAAGAATGGAGTATACTTGCAATCAAGACTCGTCATTTGAGGAAGTCAAGAAACTCATTCGTCAAGTTCGCTGTCCATTTTGAACGAAACGAGCATCAGAAGGCAATGGAAGTGTTGGAGAAAGTCTTGGAGATGCAAACGAAAAGCAAATTAGGGGATGGTGATTTTTCGGTGGCCACCACACTCGGCTACGTTGGGAAAGTGTTGCTGAGGGAAGGGAAGATACACGAAGCTTTGGAGAATTACTGCCGAGTTCTTGAGATACAGTTGAAGAACTTGGAAGAGAAACATGATGATGTTGCGACTACCTACAAAACTATTGCCGGAATCTTTTGGGATCAAGAAAATTACGAAAAAGCGGAAGAGATGTACTGGAAAGCCCTGGATATATTAAGAGAGAAGTCCTGCGAAAAAATGATTCAGATCTAAACGATCTGTACCGTAATCTGTCGCTATCATTGCAAATGCAAGGCAAGTTTGCAGAAGCAACCAAGATAGAAAAAACTTTTTCTATCAAAACTACAACAAATGCATGGGGAAGACCATTTCAAAGTTGTTAGGTCATATAATTGCGTTGCCATGTTGTTGGGAAACCAGAATTGATGGGACACCTGAATAGATGGACGATGCTTGATGAAGGCATCGAAATTTGCTATCGACTAGAAGAAATGGGAGACTTCAACAGAAGTGTATTGGCCGGAACACTCGTGGCCAAAGCAAAATGCCTGCAATCAGTAGGAAACTACGAAGCTGCCGAGTAGGTCTATAACAAATTGCTATTGGAACAAAAGGAAACGCTAGGTGAAATGCACCCCTTAACGGCATCGACTTATGAATATCTTGCACAAACAGATGCCCTACGAGGCATGGCAGGAGATGTCATCAAGGCGTACACCAAAGCCATGGATATTTTCAACACAGTGCTTGGCGGTGGTCATCCCCAGACGAAAAGACTGACGGCTAGCTTTGAATTGTTTCAGCGCGAGAATACTGCGAATGCACTGAATAAACAGGGTACGGTTCTGAAGGCGCATGGAGATTTGGAAAAGGCGACGCAACTCTTCCTAGAAGCGCTGGATATTTACAAGGAAGATTATGATTCTCATCGCTACATGATAGATATCTCCGAGAATATTTCGGATGTCAAATTTGAACAGGATTTGCTGGAAGAGCGCATTGCTGTGAGTGCAGAAGCCCTAAAGATGCGTAGGAGAATACCGATACTTGGGGACAATCACATTGACACGAAACGACGTATGGAAGCACATAGATCTTTGCTGAAATCACGGCTGTTGGAGAATCGGAACTAACGACGACTTCCAGGGCAAGTATGTATCATACTTGACCAATCGATCGACGAGCATATTGCCCACGTTGAACTTCAGGAATGCAGCATTGTTCAGGGACTATTCATTCCATGGAACGTCTTGCTATCGAATGAGCTCTTGTTACTCAAGGCACAGTCGTCGAAATCGCGCGCAAGACCACGATGCTCTCGGTGCTGCCATTATTGTCCCCATTGTCGTAATGCTCTGTTCTTCGGACTGACTCGTCATCGGATCATAGCTGCTAATGGATTGCTCCCAATGACTTGATATCCAAGAGATTTGCATACAAAATAGAAAGAGCTATTTTAAGAAAAACAATCCGAAACATGAACAAATGAAAACCTTGCAGAAGCATATTCGCAACAAGATATGATGGAAGATGATTTTAATGCTCTCACCAAGACTCTGGAGATTCGCCGAACGGTGCTTGGCGATGATCACCATCCCGAGGTAAAGGATAGTGTGGCGCCTTACCACGCCAGAAAAATGAGAAAGCACTCATTGAGCAGGGGGTGGCAATTAATTATCGCGCAATACGTTTCGGCAAAAGCGATACAGCTCCTCCAAGGGGCGCTGCATGCTGGCGAGGAAAATTAAATTTTCATCCCAATTAGGCTTGCCAAAGTGGAACACGTTTTGCTGGAAGATGGCATTACGGAGAGTGCAGAAGCCCTTAAGATTCGTCGAAGGATACTTGGGGACGATCATAGTGAAACGAAATGGCGTATGGAAGCACACGAGAATCGTTGCTAATGCGTCTCCTGGAGAATCGATTCCTTCTTGGCCAGGATGATTTTAATTGGGCAATAATCGAGCATATTCCACACACTAGATTTTGTAGTCTGATGAATGAATCATCATCCCCCTTTAGAAGGACCAGAAACAAAGGGATTTCTAGAACAAGTGCAATGTCTCAACCGAAATGAGTGGATAAAGCAAAAATGAGTCATAGAAAAGCAACGATATCCTATACGTAGCGATTTTTTCAAAAATATTTCAGTAGATCGAGGGTCACAATTTCCCGCTCGATATATTGCCCCGAGCCTAGTAGCGCCACCGAGAGAAAGCGACGAGGAGCTCCGATCGTCTGGTTATTCTATGAAGATATTGATCCTACTGGTAGCACAATATATAATGTCAGGACCCATGTACATAAAAGTTTCGTAGTAGTATGACCAAGAGACCGACAAGGAGCGCCGATCGTCTGAGGATGAAGTCATTGATTCCATTCGAGACGATACTTTGGGTCGCAACTTCCAACGGAACAAGATGACCCGTGCCTTGTTTCTGGCGTGAAGTGACCAAATAATGGTATTTGATTCGACGATCGAACAACATGGCGCCAGACTGGTGAACTTATTTTTTGTTCGATAAGTACAAAAGTTGAAGCTCCGGAGTTTTGGATGATTTGGGTCAATACCTCCTCGGGCTCAATGAGGTGGTGAAATTAAAATGAAAGCAATTTTCGATCACTTTTTCGCCGACGAACTTGCTCATAAATTCGACAACGACCAAATTGTTTTTCACATTGCTCCAAACTTCACTCTAGCTCCACCAACGCACCATGAAGATCTCCGCCAAATCCATTGTAAGCAAACTGGTAAGGAAATCAAAGCTTTCCAAGAATGCATCAGAAGTAACTCTGGATACCCTTGCAACCTCAAAGCCTGAGGAAGATGATTGTGTTGCAGAAAACACCTATCACGAATCATTTTCAAGCATTGAAACTGGTATACAATATGATGCCGATGTTTGTGACGATGATGCGAGTGCCCCCAACATTCTTTCCGACGACGAGGTCCGTGGCCTCTTCTGCCTCTGGAACGACGCACTTTCGACTCTCAACCCAGACACAGTCGCATCAAGGTACTCCAGCAAACCTTGCCTTCTTCCTACCGTCAGTGATATCCCAAGGACCGATTTCCATTCCATCAAGGACTACTTCGTTCATTTCTTGGAAAAGAAGCCGCACGGAACGATCCTTGAAAGTTTTGTTACAACGGGTCCAGGTTGGTGCATGGACAATGGAATCTATGAATTCAGTCTGCAGGCCACTGGTGACACTGTGAAAGCTCGATACTCCTTTGTCTACACCAAAGAGGGAGACGATTGGAAGATTTCTCATCATCACTCGTCTCAGATGCCCGAAGAGATTGTGCCCAAGACGTCCCTATTGAACAATATCGTCGATGACCTGATGCTTGGTTTGGTGTTTGGTGTATGATTGGTTCCAATGGGCGGCCAGGAGCACATTTGATAGAACGTTAGGCATTATCCAACAATAATGATAGAAGCATAGAATCATGAATCATTTCTTCAGATCAAATGGACGCAATGCTCTTGTAGATATAGTAGAGCATTTTTCGCTGCCACCATTGGTAATTAAAGCTTGAACCTGATGGAGGGCTGCGTCTACCGCAATTTTCAAGTAGGATGGTCAATCATATGGATGATATGCTGTATGCTGCAAGCTTTTGTCACTCGTCCCTTGTAATGTTGAACCATAACCCAAGCATTGTGATGCGACCCTACTGTTAAGAAGGCTCTTGTTCGGGTCGTCCACTGCAGCGGTAGCCAACGAATGGCTGATCGCCAGTCGAGTCCACGAACCCCAAACCCAACCCTCGCTTCTATGACATTCATCAATTGCACATTTAGTAGCTCGAAAGACATTATCTCATTCTGCAATGGTTTGTTATTTGAGTTATCCAAACTATTGAGTTACTGTCGTTGCGTGATGGGTTGCTGTTTGAGTAGCCTATAATCAATCAAAGTACTGGCTGCGTTTGATGGATTCCATCAGATCTCTATAATCCCTTTTTCCCAGCTCGGAAACACTACCACCAGTGTTCCAAATATATGCTCTTTGAAGATCAATCCACTTGGCCTCCCCATTGACGCAGACAACGTTGTCCACTCGAGCACTCCCATGCGCAATATTGTTGTCGTGAAGCTCTTGAAGAGAATCAAAAATAGCTTTCTTTGAAAGACTAGAATAGTGATTTCCAACTTCCGAAAACAAAAGAACAGCGCCCAACTTATCAAACTTCCTGAAAGAGTTCTCTTCAACGCCGACAATCAAGTGAGGACATTTTCGTTGAGCTTCATTAGTAATTGCCATTTGTCTTTGAAGTTCAGCCACTTTGTCATGGACATCGAGGACTATCTTCAATGCCAAGGCCGCTCCGTTCTGATCGCAGACTTTAAAAACTAGACCAAAAGCTCCGCCACCCAAGTATCCGTCCACTTCGGGTACTAGGCCCAACTCAAAGCAAGCCTTGTCGAGGATCTCAATCACGGGATCTTGCAGCATGAACTTTTCCAATCGTGATTTTGACCCGCCGTCGACCCACCGACACTTCCTAACAGAGGAAGCTGTTCCTTTTACAGTCTGAACTAGCCAGAAAGATTCTCGATCAAAAAGAACCAGGCGTACAGTGATGGGACTATTTTCTCCAAGAGACAGGTGAGCTCCGTAGTTGATGGTCTGTCCAAACGCTGAATCATCAATGTCCTTTTTGGCATCCAAGACCAAGTAGAGGAAGCGACGAAGGTCCCAGTTTGACAATTGCCCAAAAACATCCGTTGATCGGCGCATTTGAAGAAGCTTGTCGTCCTCCCTGGCATCAAATGGATCGCGTTTCTTGTAGATGGACTTGTGGCAGATAAACATGTCCGGGTTTTGGTTGTAGGCGGCACTGTTTTCATCATTAGATGTCTTCAACCACTTATATGCTTCAGAATTCACAAGAACTCTATTACTAGACGCCCCATTGCATTGGAAAAGAGCTGCAAGGAATGGGGTCAAAAAGGCAACCATTTGATGCTCCGTTTCTAGTTGCAACAGGCTACGCGCTTGCTCATTGGTGAGGACTGCTTCGCCTTTTCCTTCCTCATCAGGACTGTGCACATGTCCTAGTCTTTCCAGACGTCGAAGCTCGCCCGCCCCAAAGCTTGATGGACTTTTTTGTGGGGTAGCTCTGTTAGTTTTGGTAAGAGCCTCTTGAAATATTGCCGCAATCTCCTTTCGCATTTCTTCTAGGAATAAAGTGTTCGCCACTTGTTGTTTCACTGGAATGGATGGCGTTGGAGGAGGAGGGGGAGTGCGTTGCATCAACAACAGCTTCAGTCTACGAAGCTGGCTTTCCTCTTGCCGAAGCTGGCTTTTCTGATGCTGATAGAAAGCATTGTCATCGTCCGAATTTTTGGGACTCTTGAGATATTCGTTGACCACCTCGATGTCTCTTTTTACCCTTTCAATCATGGCATTGCCTCCTAGCTCGATTTCTTGCTCAATACTAGAGGTAGTAGAGGAGGACATTCTCAAAACTTGAACAATGATGCTGCTATCGGTAGAGTTTCAGATGTGTGCGAGGTTTAGTCTGTGTCTATAGTCAACGTGCACGTATTGTTGGAATGTATGTTGAGAGTATACACGATACACACGTACTGATAGGACTATTATATCCACGGATGAATAAAATATAAAAGCTTCGTCTACAGCCAGGTACCTGTACCTGGTACCCGGTGCACATAAATCGCAATTGGTGCAGTACTGAGAAAGTTTCAAACCACCACAATCATTTTCGAATTTTCAATTTGAACTGAAGTGCAAATACCGCACACGGGATTTCTGAGATTGGTCGAACGAATCGAGTCTATTACTCGATCAGTTCGACCCGCTTCACACCACAACCCACCAGCTACACACCAAGACAAAATACTACGAACACACACACGGAGGACGGCAGTAGGCTATCTTAGATAGTCCAACGTAGACCGCAGGCACACTGTTCGATTTCTTTGACTACATTGTGTTACAGACGGACAAAGGCCGAACGGCCTTCGACCGTCAAAAGTTGTTGTCGATGCGCCCAGGCAATGATGCCCAGTTTATCGACTGAGATTGAATTCACCCACTTGTGTCGCGGTAATTGGTCGAACGAATCGAGTCTATTACTCGATCAGTTCGACCCGCTTCACACCACAACCCACCAGCTACACACCAAGACAAAATACTACGAACACACACACGGAGGACGGCAGTAGGCTATCTTAGATAGTCCAACGTAGACCGCAGGCACACTGTTCGATTTCTTTGACTACATTGTGTTACAGACGGACAAAGGCCGAACGGCCTTCGACCGTCAAAAGTTGTTGTCGATGCGCCCAGGCAATGATGCCCAGTTTATCGACTGAGATTGAATTCACCCACTTGTGTCGCGGTAATTGGTCGAACGAATCGAGTCTATTACTCGATCAGTTCGACCCGCTTCACACCACAACCCACCAGCTACACACCAAGACAAAATACTACGAACACACACACGGAGGACGGCAGTAGGCTATCTTAGATAGTCCAACGTAGACCGCAGGCACACTGTTCGATTTCTTTGACTACATTGTGTTACAGACGGACAAAGGCCGAACGGCCTTCGACCGTCAAAAGTTGTTGTCGATGCGCCCAGGCAATGATGCCCAGTTTATCGACTGAGATTGAATTCACCCACTTGTGTCGCGGTAATTGGTCGAACGAATCGAGTCTATTACTCGATCAGTTCGACCCGCTTCACACCACAACCCACCAGCTACACACCAAGACAAAATACTACGAACACACACACGGAGGACGGCAGTAGGCTATCTTAGATAGTCCAACGTAGACCGCAGGCACACTGTTCGATTTCTTTGACTACATTGTGTTACAGACGGACAAAGGCCGAACGGCCTTCGACCGTCAAAAGTTGTTGTCGATGCGCCCAGGCAATGATGCCCAGTTTATCGACTGAGATTGAATTCACCCACTTGTGTCGCGGTAATTCAATTTTTCTCTCCCAAACCTCACCCGCCCTGTTGGGCACCGCCTCCATTTTACCATATCGGCGGTGCCTGGTAGGAAAGCAGATCTCAGTAATACCGCACACGGGATTTCTGAGATTGGTCGAACGAATCGAGTCTATTACTCGATCAGTTCGACCCGCTTCACACCACAACCCACCAGCTACACACCAAGACAAAATACTACGAACACACACACGGAGGACGGCAGTAGGCTATCTTAGATAGATAATCTTATTGGTATGATACTATATTATCCCTCAAGTTGATATCCCCTTGGCGGTCTCACCCAAAATCACCCCCAATAGTAACCGCTCCGTTTTCACGCAATATTAATTTTAGAATAACTAAAACGACACTTTCAACACTTAAACAATCGTTTTCCATTACCTACTCTAGAAGAATGTGATGGAACCGACCAGAAATGAGAACCAACATATGCTTTTCAGTGTGTGTGGCGTTTATTCACACTATTGACAAAGTTTTGGAGTAAATTCAGTAAGTGAGAAGTGAGTGAGTCAGTCAGTCTCTCAAACCTCCGTTTCGAAAGGGGGGCTTATGCGGGGGAACATCTGGGGAAGAAGATTGTAGTTACAGTATCGTATAGTACTGCATCGCATCGTATCGTACGGTAGTCATATCGTACCGGTATGCGTCACGCCGTCACGAGGCGACATCATATCGTACCGGCAGGGACACGCGAGGAGTTGGGGTTTTTGGCGGAGGAGCAAATCGTCTTTGAACCCGGAGGTGCGTATTTGGCGTATTTAGACCCGGAGGTGCGTATTCGAACCCGGAGGTGCGTATTCGAACCCGGAGGTGCGTATTCGAACCCGGTTTCTTTTGCAATTGACAAGCAAGTTCTTTGAATAATATATAGTACCAACCAAATGCTGCCTTGCTTTCTCTCTATTTATCTTTTAAACATAAAGACCTCGATACCGGTACTGTAGTACATTTCATTTCGAATCTCGCGTGTTCCAGGATGATCATTATACCCGCACCACAAACCAAAAGTTGAAACAAGAACATATGCTTGTAGTCCCTCGGAAGTCGAATGAGACTATAGAGAGGCGCATAGAGCATTCTGAATTCTAGGAAACGAAAACAATGGAGGGCAGCAATCAAGACTTGTCCATAGATAAACTCCTGGAAAACTATCGAGCCTATGTTATTCAAAGAAACCGCATCGAAAGGCAAAGGAGATTTTGGAGGAAATATTGGTCAGGCAAACGCACGCGTGTGGTGAAGATTATCCTTCTGTGGCCAGGACACTCAATGAAATTGGAATTGCGCTGCAGCATGACAGAAATTTTGAAGAAGCCTTGGAGAAATACAACAGAGCTCTTGGGATACAGTTGAAGATATTGGGGGGGAAACATGTTGATACAGCAGATACCTACGACAACATTGGAAAAGTCTTTCTTGAACAAGATAAATTCGAAGAAGCCGAAGAAATGTTCCGGAAAGCTCTTGATATCAAGCTCGAAATTCTGCCAGAAGATAAAATATCCGAGTTGACTGATCTCTATCAAAATCTAGGACTATCATTGAAAATGCAGGACAAGTTTTCAGAAGCAACAAAGATACAAAAACGGTCACTTTCGAAACTCGTAGAAATTCATGGGGAATACCACTATAGTGTTGCAAAAGCATACATTGGCGTTGCAGGACTATTGGGAGACCAAAATAGAATGGAAGACGCTCTTCAGCTGCTTGATAAAAGCGTCGAAATTTGCAATCGACTACAGGGATTGGGACACCGCGACGCAAATGTATTGCCATTAGCGCTCTATATGAAAGCAAGCTATATGGAAGAACTAGGGAAATTTGAAGGTGCCACAGAAGTTTTGCTCACACTGTTAATTCTACACAAGGAAACGCTAGAGGTGAAATGCACTCCATAATAGCACAGACCTATGAAAATCTTGCAAAATTATATGTCCGACAAGATATGAAAGAAGATGCCATCAAGGCGTTCTCGAAAGCAACCAATATTCTCAAGACAGTGCTTGGCACTGGCCATGTCCGCACAATGGAGCTTATGGCTACCCTTCAATTATTAAAGCGCGAACAAAATGCGAAAGCACTGAATGTACAGGCAATGGCAATGAAGGTGCAAGGCGATTCGGAAAAGGCGATGCAACTCTTCCAAAAATCGCTGCTTATTTACAACGAAATGTTAAATGCTCCGCATCCCTATGTGGCAGCAGTCCACACGAATATGTCTGCTCCTGTTTTCATTGAGATGATAAGTATCCTATGAGGCTATTTCAGCTGCGAAAGTTGAACAGGGTTTGCTGGAAGAGGGCGTTGCTGCGAGTGCAGAAGCGCTTAAGATGCGTCGAAGGACACTTGGGGACGATCATGTTGACACGAAGGGGCATATGGAAGCGCACAGATCTTTGCTGAAACGTCTTTTAGAGAATCGGAGCTAATTAGCCGCGGTTCCCTTGGCAATGGCATGTGCTCAGCTATGATCTACGAGCACTTTCCCCGCTTGAATCTTCGGGAGGACAATAGTTGGTCAGGGAATGGAACGACTTGCTATTGGATAGCCTCTTGGTGTCACGTAAAGCTTAGTCGTTAAGATCTCGCGAAAGACGGTGCCGTCATGATGGTTGGACAGAAAAATACATTGAAGGAGAACACATGGAAGAATATATTGCAGAGGTCGCCGAGGGAAGTGAAACGACGGAAGAGGAATACGTCGAGGAAGAACTCAACGTGGAGGATGGATTGCCTACTGTCATGGAAGTGGATACTGAAAGGAGTGAAGCGGCATCCGAGGCACCATTATCACCAGTAACACCAAAGTCACAATCGGCAAAAGCATCATCGCTTGGTGCCACCGAAGCACCTGCTGAATCTCTTATTGGTAGAGAACGGGTCGACGACGACTTCCTCAAACAGCGGGGGAAGTTGGCGATGATGCCACTGATGAACCAATATTTGAGTAGTAGGAATAGATTGATTCTATGCAAGAACTGAACGATTGTAACTGTAATCGATCTAGAATCTCAATGCACTACATTATTTATAGCATTGATACAAGAGAAGAGAATTGAGGAACAGACATAGGCTTCTGTCGTTCAAAATTTTGAACCGAATTTCGACGCACAGAAACTTGCATTTGCATTATTGCAATGCGCTTGCGATTCATCCGGTTGCTGTTTAGCATTAGCACAGGGCTGACCACTACACTACATACAGTACTACTGTAGTAACCAAAGAAAGACCTTGACTAAGCGTCTTCATCATCATCATCATCAATGGGCACACCAGACGCAGCCATCTATGGCAGCTGTGCCGACGAGACAGTCGATTCATTCTCCCGAGGAAACTATCGTCTTGCAGCGACAAAGTACCTGCAATCCTTTCAAGCTTCACCGGATCGTTGGGAAGTCAATCGTTGGCAGATATTTCATGGCTTCACGTCAATTTTGACTGAAGAGTATTTTACGGCCAGTCTCGAAAACGACATCAATCCTCTCAAGGACATTGTGGAGGACAACAAGGAACTCAAACTCTTTCGCATCGAAGCAGCCTTTGCCACTGGCCTGCTTTTGTGGATGAGAGGAAATCGAGAAGAGGCTGCTGATTACTATCGCCATGCTATTCAATTGGCCGAAAAGATACCAAAGCAGGAGAAGAAACACAAACTTGTCGCTACCGTTGAGTCACCGACTGGCAATCACCGGCTTGGTTTCCAATCTATGGGAGAACTTATTCCAGGCATTGTCAAAGTTTGCACCGGAAACCTTCAACGTATGCAGGCTGGTATATCTTCAAATTTGCCTCCCCCAGAACATGGATTGCGGTCCGATGGAACGCCATTTCCTTCAACACAGCGCTTTACCGGAGTCCCAGTGGGACATGTTTCTGATGACGGATCGATCTTGTCCCAAGCGGAAGTGGACAAACTTATTCAAGTAGGAGGTGAACGGTGCGATTGCTGTGGAAAATCGCGTGAGGAATTGGGTAGACTTTTCCTCGATAGATGCAGTGGCTGTAGCAAGGCCTACTATTGTAACCGTGATTGCCAAATGAAACAGTGGAAGGCTGGTCACAAAAAGTGGTGTCGCAAACCAGGGGTATTCAAGCCTGGTGATTACGTTCGTCTACACGGACTACAATCCCAACCGCAGTTCAACGGGACCGTGGTGCAAGTGGTCCATGAAGATCCGAATGCCAAAGGGCTTTTTGCGGTGAAGATCCAAGGGGGAACCAAATCCGTTTCCATTTCTTCGGAGAAGATGGAGCAGTTGCGACCTTTGAAATAAACAAATGGCGACACTTTCATTATGAAAAAAAAGTCTCGATTTGGGACGAGAGCGAAAGAAGGGATGATTTATGGACCGTTGGTGCTGTCATGTCGGTGCGTGTAATGCTAGAAGTAAGAACAGAATGTATATATGATACTATTACTACGATGACAATGGCACTGCTTCTTTTCCAGCAGTAGTTCCAGTAGTAGCAGTCCTTGGTTTCGCCCCGCCGAGCACGGCATCGGCACGGTCAAACCAAATTCCTTGAGTCTTTTCCAATTCGGGCCATAGATTTTCTTCCCATTCCAAAATGGTCACATCCATGGCCTCTTTGACATCCTTTTCAAAGGATCCCTTTTGCATCAAGCCAACACCCGCGTTGATGGTCATGTCCACTCCCACTCCTACCGCGGCCCCAAATGCCGCTCCCAATGGACCACCGGCCGCACCTCCGGCGGCAATGCCTGCCGCGGCAGCTCCACCTCCTTTTCCCACTAGCGTGGCAGTGACGGCTTTGGACACAAAGGGACTCACCAAGTTGCCCATTAATGCCTTGGTGGCCGTCACGGCACTTCCCGCTCCCACCACTTTGCCACCAATGACGGAACTTCCAATCAAGGCCATGGAAAATTGAGGTGACTTTTCAAAACTCAACGGCAAATGATCCACCTTTTGAAGTTGTGCCTTCCAATCGACATGCACCACAACGTCCCGTGTCGTGGGAGCGGCGCCGGTCGCCTCTTTGGTTTCGTTTTGGACAAAGGTTGCTACCGAAGTCTCAAGATTTTCCAATGCCTGTAAATAATCTTGATGGGCTGCTTGCAAACTGTCCACAAAGGCCTTGTGGACTTTTGCATCGGTCAATTTGGGTTTGAGGATGAGCGCCTCGTACTTTTTGCACACCAAGACTTGCAAATCATAGGAAACGGCTTCTGACAGCGTATGTTCGCTTTTGAAATCAATCGCATGTTTGGCTGCCGATTTACCAGCGGCACTCAACAATTTCCAAGTCGTCGCATAGGCAAAATACCACGACGAAAAGGTTGGGATTCGTTGGTAGGAATCTCCAAAGGCTTCTTGGAGTTCTTGTTTCAATCGTTCCTTGGCTAGTTTCCTGGATTGTTCGCGAGCCTGTTTTAATATAACTCGTTGCTCTTGACAAAACCTGTCAAAGGATTCGGCATCGACTCGTTGAAGAGTCTTGGTTTCGTCGTCGACTTGATCAATCGTCAGTTGGTTGGGTTTTGACTGCAATAAGGCTGATGACTGTAAGAGGACGGTTGCCTTGGAACCATCCCGGAGAATACCATCTCCTTGAGAAGAAGGATCTAAGAGAAAGCTATTGTAGACAAAGCGAGCAGATAAAGCCCCACCCACAAAGATCAAACCAACTTGCACCGGAGTCACTTGAAATTGTCTCAAAGTAGCCTGTTGTTGTTTGTTTTGATTATTGTTGCTGGTGCTCAATCTCCGTATTCGGGTGCTTGAGAATCTGTTGCTAGCATTACTGCTGTTTCTGTATTGACGAATGAAGGGTTGAGGTAACCGTCTTATCATTGTGCAGAGAAGAGTAGGTACTTGTAGGAAGTAATGCAAGCGCTTGTGCTGTTGTCGACGACTGACTCGTGGATGATGTCAATATTTTGAGTTTTGAAAATCCGATGTCAAAAATGAGTAAGTCGTGAGTCCCAGTCCCACGTAATGTCAGTCCTCCTCACCACTCTTATTCAAAGGCAGGCGCAGTCCACCAACGCAATTTATGCCTCTTTTCGGATTTCTTCAATTTCCGCATTTTAACTTGTGAAGAAAGAAAAAAGAAACACCAACGTCTCTGTTCTCTTCATTCACTCCAAAACACACAACAACAACTACTACTACTTTCCACTAATAACAGATAACAATAACACACAACCATGCCGCAACACGAGCACATGGAACGCCACCGCAAGCTGCACGGCCGCCGTATGGATGCCGAGGAGCGAGACCGCAAGAAGGAATCTCGTTTGGTGCACAAGCGGTCTGAATTTGCTCAAAAGGTTCACGGAATCAGAGCCAAGATTTACCAAAAGCGTCGTTTCAAAGAAAAGGCTACCATGCGCAAGACCATTGCCATGCACAATCAGCGATCCAATCAACATGCCAACGATGAAGCCGTGGCGGATGGTGCGGTGCCGGCGTACTTGTTGGACCGTGAGGGTGTCTCTCGTGCCAAGGTTCTCAGTAATACAGTCAAGCAAAAGCGTAAAGAAAAGGCTGGCAAATGGGAAGTCCCCATTCCCAAGGTCAAACCTGTGGCGGATGACGAAATGTTCAAAATTCTCAAGACTGGAAAACGTCAAAAGAAGGCCTGGAAGCGCATGGTCACCAAGTGTACCTTTGTGGGAGATTCCTTTACGCGCAAGAATCCAAAATACGAACGCTTCATTCGTCCTTCTGGTCTTCGGATGAAAAGGGCCAACGTGACGCACCCAGAACTCAAGACTACCTTTCAATTGGCGATTTTGGGCGTCAAGAAGAATCCTTCGTCACAAATTTACACCAATTTGGGTGTCTTGACCAAGGGTACCATTATTGAAGTCAATGTTTCGGAACTAGGGCTTGTCACCACATCTGGAAAAGTGGCTTGGGGGAAAATGGCCCAAGTGACCAACAATCCCGAATTGGATGGCTGCGTCAACGCCGTATTGCTGGTATAGTGATACTAGACAGTTCGATCGATAGCGACGGCAAGTTATAGAGAAGGAAAATGTTGTGCCATTATATACAAAGATTTTATGATTTCTATCCTTGGCCCTATACCCTATACTTTCGTAGCAGGTGCTCTTGTTGATATTATTCCCTGAACACTGATCCATCGATAGCGACGGCAAGTCATAGAGAAAGAAAACGTTGTGCCACAATATATATAAAGACTTTAGTCATTTCCACCTTAGTCCCTGTACTACAACAATTCGAAGATGCAGAGGGAGAACGCCCTGCTACTTCTGCAAGACATTGGAAACCATTTGTGCTGGCAACGACAACGAAGCGATTTTCGCGACTGGGCCTTGTAGGCATATGTTAGCTCCGATTCTCCAAGAGATGTTTCGGCAAAGACCTATTCGCTATGTATACCGGAAAGTGGAAACTGAAAGTGCACATCAAAACTCGATTCAGCATCCTTCCTGTGCGGAAGTGGCCTGGATGCGGTCGGAACACAGCAAACTAGTTGTGGCTCTAATTAGAAATAGACACAAAAAGAGACGCACATGTATAAAAGTTAACCCCGAGTCGGTTGAGACTATACTACATGTGGAGTCGGTTGAGACTATACTACATGTGGATTTGCCCGAGTTATAGATCCCGTGAAGAAGAGTATCGTCACAAGTTTGTGGCAAAATGGTGTCTATTAGATGTATACAAGGAAAATTTGATATTCGAAATGGTTCATGAACCCCTATGAAAATGAAGCTGGTCGGTCTAATGCTCAATAGCAATCACCGTCTAGTTGTCTAGTTACACCCAGCTCTTGGTTGAGATGGTGAATCCAGAATCACTTCGGAATGAGACGTGGATGGAATCATTCAAGGAACCCGAGTCGATTCTCTTGAAGGACTTCTTTTGTTTGTCGTTGCTGTGAAAGCCCTTGCGAATGTCAGGGAATCTTTCTTCAACGATCTCGTTGAAGGTCGGCCGATCAAGCGGATCGTGAGCCCAGCAATCTTGAATCAAGCTGCGAACCAGGAGACAGGAAATGCATTTCAGGGATGGTCTTTCACCAGCAATCACCTTGACCTTGAATTCACCAAGCTCGCTCTCTTTTGCTGCAAAATTATGGAATGGCACCATGAGACTGCAAAGGGTATACAAAACACATCCAAACGAATAGACATCGGATGCCTTCGTTGGTGTCTCGCCCTTCATAACTTCAGGGGCCATGTAGCGTAGTGTCCCACAAATCTCTGCGGGCTTGTTCATCGATAGGTCTAGAGCATGTCTAGCCATTCCAAAATCGAAGATACGGGCTTCTCCAGTGTGCATATCAAATCCAATGTTTGCCTACGGAAGAAGAAGAAAGCCGGATTGTGAACGATAGGATAAAGGAGTAAGCGAGTTATATACTGCACAGTACTCTTTGCGTGAAGAATGACTTACAGGCTTGAGATCTTGCAAAACTACTCCTTTTTTATGGAGGTATGCCATTCCCTTTGCGACTCCAATCGCTACAGTTTCCATGCGACTTATCATCTTCTTAGTGTTAAGCTTTCTCAATCGATTTCCCAAGATGGAGGATCGGATTCCGTTGTAACAGCTCTCGTCCTTGGACCATCGCTGCACTCTCTCCACGAGGGAATCAGACAACACATCCATGAGGAAGAAGTACCCGGAACCAGCCGTACCGGTTTCAATGGGATCACAACAGACCACACGAATCTTGATAATGTTCTCGTGGTCAAGGCTAGCAAGGATTTGTGCTTCCATTATCAAATCACTTGTGAGGTCAGCAGATAGCTCTTGGTTCAGAACTGTGGTTTGGTTTAGACATTTTAGCGCTAGCTGTTGCCTACTTTGCGTTGAAACAAGATGTACGTCAGAGTGAGATCCGCTGCCAAGCTTGCAAATCTTACGAATACTAGACACATGGAATATTGGCAGAGCATTGACCATAATGCCAGGATCTTCTTGGCTGTACTCCGTAGGGTTGTGAACTTGCAATGGAGCCATGATCATTCCGTCCACATTCATGTTTTAAAAAATGGTAGTTTTGTGTCTTTCCACACACTGAGAGACCGAAAATCCGCGGGTTGGATGCGTTTATTGGCTCGGGAGTTTGGCTCAATTTTGAACGGTTAAAAAAATCGTTCATTCCTTCATACGGTACCTGGTACACGTGTACCGGTGTACCAGGATAAGGACCGGTACCAGGATAAGCATGGGAAGCGAAAATGCTTTTGAAAAAGCGGCGTTCCATGGGGAGCTGCGGGTAGTTCGCGTCCAACGCATGTGACGCGGCGTCATAACTCCGTTATCTATTCATCCCGATTGAGACACAGAACACAACGAGGTTTTCGATCGAAACTGCACGTCTCGTGTCGAATCAAATATATGATAACGGGACCACACGGAGATTCCTTTTGGACATTTGGTAAAAATATATGTTTTATTTTTTAAAAAGAACTTTTGCGCACACTTCAAATATTGTCATTCTTCCACACTGCTTCCGCCTTTTTCATTTCGTCCGATCTATGTGAAAGCTGTGTGCTTCGTAGATGTGCTGCACATTTTCTCTTTTCCATACCTACATCTCACATCACAAAAAGGCGAAACAGCATCCAGATATTGTATTGTTGGTAAGGATCCTCAGCACAAGGACCCTAACCAAAAGTCTCCACCAATCATCCCGGAAGCGAAGCCCTCGCGCAGTGAGATAGAGGCGAATGGAACAAGGATCTCCACTCCACCATCGGCTTCTCCTGGGGCTAGTACAAGCATCGTTAGAGATGAGAAGTCTTCACTTCAACGAAACGAGAAAGCTTAAGAGTGGGGGATCGCGATGTCGTCATGAGCGGTTTACAGGAACCCTTCTTCCATAGATTGTCGAAGAATTTCCTCTTTCGCTTCCCCACATGGATCCATCCACAGCAGATCATCCAAGACACCTGATTCCAAGACGAGCAAGCAAAAGATGCGACCAATGGATTCTCCAAGAGTCGTTTCAGCAAACTCTAAGCGCATACGCTTATAGTCCGCTTTCTTCTTCAAAATTATGATGACAATGGTGCCCCATGCATCTTTATTGTAAAGTCGTAACATGCATACATTGAAGCAGGCCAAAACCATCTGAAACAAGGTCGACGTCAAAGTGACATCGCTCCACTGCCAAGTTTGCAAATCTTGCGGATACTAGACTCATCGAACGTTGGCAGAGCATTGATCTTATTGTCAGGATCTCCTTGGCTGCATATTTGTAACTCCATAGGGCTACGGAGCTGTAATGGATCCATGACCATTGCGTCCACACCCATATTTTTTGGCAGTTTCGTGTCGACTTTCCACTAAGAGCAAAGCCTCGGGTTGGCTGCATTTGGCTCTTGACTTCGATCTTGACCGCAGAAGGAGCCCAAAAAAAAAGAAACGCTCTTCCTTTCCTTCATACGACAATTTGTATTGTATATTTTTTTTTATAAAAGTCCTTTTCTACCGTATGAAGCTATTGGCCGATAGTATTCTCGGGTCCACATAATCGAGGAACTTCTGTAGTCGCACCCCATATATAAAAGTGCGTTCGGGAATCGATCTAAAGGAGCTTTTGAGTATATCATATTGTTACTCTATTCATTCTTCGCATACTGTACGCTGTCCTCCTCGAAGTCTGAAATGGAGGAAATAAGGTCGCAGCGTACCCATAAAAGATAACGGGACCATGTGAAGATTCCAGAATGAAATATGCGTTCGACATTGGTACTTGTACCGTAGTGCAAAAAGGTAAAAAGTGAACTTTTACGCGCTTCAAAGTATCATGGTAGTAATCATGTCGAAATCATGTCAATTCATTCTTCGCCACCGCTTCCGGCTTTTTCATTTCGTCTGATCAGAAGTACTGGTACACGTGTATACCAGCGCTGTGTTCTTCGTACCGGTAGATGTGCTGAACGATCTAGGCATTTTCTCTTTTCGATACCTACATCTCACACCACAAAGCGCGAAACAGCATCGACATATTGTATTGTTGGTAAAGATCGGCACAAGGACCCAAGGGAGATACTAAGCAAAAGTCTCCGCCAAGCATCCCGGAAACCCAGCCCTCGCGTAATGATGGTTCCAACAATGATGGGGATCTCGTCGTTGGACGAGATCAGTCTTTAACCTCATCGAAGAAGTCACAACTGATCTTCGGGAAGCTCTTCTTAAAAGAAGGTAGAAGAAGATCTGCACATTTTTCGTCCCCACATAGATCCAGTCATGATAGACTACTTGGCTCAATTTGACAAAGGCGGAGCAAACTGCTCCAGAGACTACAAGCTCTTCTTCCTCACTCGTCCCTCGTTCCATCCAGCCGCAGGACACCGTCTATAAGTCTCCCGATTCCAGGACGAAAAGACCCAATTGATCGAGGCAGATGGATCGTGTGTCTCTCCTCCAACGTTGATGTCTCCTTCAGCTATAAGCATCGTAAGAGATAAGAAGTCTTCAGCATCAACTGAGTTATTGGGAAAGGCAGGAGCGATTTCGTCGTAAGTACGCAGCGCCTCGTGGAAGAGGTATATGTCGCCTTTTCTGAAGCGTCTTGCGCCTTTATTGTCATTTTCCTTTTGCTTAATGCTCTGGCATTTGTCTTGTGCTCTAACAGGGTAGTCATAAGATCTTTTGTGATGGGATGGTAATCATCAAGCAGCGTTCGGCGAATGTGGATGGCCCTCGCGCACGCCTCGGTGCCAGCCTTTCTCATATCTAGTCGCAAATAAACTTTTGCAAGGTTTTCATAGGCAACACCTCCGTGGCTGGCACCTTCGAAGTTCCCTAGTGACTGCAGGCAATCTGCTTTACAGAGGAGCGCTGCTGTCAAGAAATGTGTGTTGGATTCTGTCTGTTCTTGTAGTTGCGAACAAATGTCGATGCTTTTATCAATCATATGAAGAGCATCATCGTTTCTATTTTGGTATGTCAAGGACCAAGCAATGCTAATGTATAGTATGTCTTCCCCATGTATATGCAGTAGTGTCGAAAGTGTGAGTATCTCTGTCTTGGCTGCTTTCTGGCTTCAATGATAGCGCAAACTGCTGGTGCAGCTCCGTCAAGTCAGAAATCTCTTCTCATCGTAGGACTTCTCGCGTTGATATCCAGAGCTATTTGGACATTTCTTCGGTTTTGCAGCGTTTCGTTGTTCCAACAAGCCTTTGTCGATATTCCCGTAGGCATTTGCTTTATCAACATGTTTTTCTCCCAATTTCTCCAACCGTATCTCAAGAGCTCTGTTGTATTCTCCAAGGCTTCACTTCATTACAATTTCTTTTCCACGTCACTACATTTCCAGTGAGAGTGAATGTCTTGGCCATAAAAAGATTACCCTCGTCCATTTCTTTCATTTGTATCTCCAACACTCACTCCAGTCCAGCGCTCGTTTTCTTTTAGATAATTTTCATCACGATGTATTTTCTGTTCCACATAATCGACACAAAATGGAGAACTTCTGGAGTCGCACCCCATAAAAGTCCAAAATATCAACCAAATTCCACATCTATGCATTCGGGAATCAATGTAGAGGAGCTTTTGGGTATTGCATTAAGTAGCTAGGTCTTTGGCATCAGACGCTAGTACCGAAAAAATGAACTTTAGCGCAAAATTGAATAATAGTTCGAATCATTTACTATTACGTCTAATCGACAGAAAGCTGTACCGATACAGTATGTTTGCTTCAGTAGCTTGATTCATGCTGTGATGCTGAAAAAATCTTGGCACTTTCTCTTGCTTCATTAGGTGGTTCTCATATAAAAATAAAAAAAACGCGACATTGCATCGAGATATTGCACTGGCAAGGATCAGCCGAAGAACCATGATCGGTACTAACGAAGGGTCTCTGCCAATCATGCCGGAAACTCAGCCATCGCGTAGTGATGGTTCCGGCATAGATAAGGATTTCGTCGTTGGAGATAGGTCTTCAGCCTCAACGCAACGAAAACCCAAAAGTCGTGGATCGAGAAAAAGTCGCCATCGAACGTCAGGAAGTACCTCTTCCAAAGAAGGTAGAAGAAGATCTACGCATTCGTCCTCGCATCAATCGAGTCATGGTAGATCGTCTAAGACCGCTTGGCTCAATTTGACGGAGGCGGAGCAAACTTCTCCTTAGACTACAAGTTCATCGCATTCGTCTCCCGTTCCATCCAGCCGCAACACATCCTTTAAGACTCCCAACTCCAAGACGACCAACCAAAAGGTTCAATTGATTGAGGCGGACGGAACAAGGATCTCTACTCCACTGTTGACTTCTCCTGGGGCTACAAGCATGGGAAGAGATGAGAAGTCTTCAGCATCAACGAAACGAAAGCTGAAGAGTGATGGATCGCGAAGTCGTCATCGGGGATCTCCAGCAACACGACCTTCCTCCGTAGACGGTCGATCCAGTCACAGTAGATCATCCAAGACCTCTGATTCCAAGACGAGCAAACAAAAGATGCAACTAATGGAGGCGGATGGGACAAGGATCTTGACACCACCGTTGGCTTCTCCTGGGGTCATGAATGTCTCGGGCTCTAGATCAAGCAAAAGGAAATCATCCAAGTTTGACAACAGGCACAGCCGTAGTTCTGGTTCCAAACAATCCAAGACCAAGGTCCGATTGGCCGAAGCGATTGGAGCGGATATTATTCCACCTTCCCCTCCGTTCGGTGCGGATGACTTGGCACCAACTGTTGAGGCGACTGCAGCACCAGATGTTGATGAAATCGAAGCTGCTCGTCAACAAGGAAGAGACGAAGAACGAAATGCAAGAGCGCCAGCAGAAACGAACAATGTTTTCCTAGCTACCCTTGCACCAAAAGAAAACAAAGGCAGAAAGTACGCTGCGTTTCTATTTCTTGTGATTGCTACAGGAGTGATAACGTGGCTGCTGGTACCAAAGGCTTCGGAATCTTTGTCTCAAATTCAAATCTTTGATCCGCCTACAGCTGAAGATTGTTTAGCGATCTCGGAGGGAAAGGAAACTGCAGACCAAAATGGAACAATATCCAATCAATTTGGAGTTGAAATGGACTTTGCTGTGACTGCTGATATTGATATTGAATTTTTGCGAAAAGAGCTTGCGGCTAAGATACAGCGAGATGTTCTTCCATTTCTAGTTGGATGTAACATTGCAGTTTCTGTTTCCATTTCCATTGAAAACAACATTTTCGTTATTGAGAACGCTGTACTGAAATCGATCTCCACTGGCGACCCTACAGTCTGCAGAAACGCTACTGTAGAAAGACTCTGCTCCTTTGTCTACATGGAGCTTGATGTATTTTCGAAGGATGATGACGTTTTAAGTGAAGTACTCCTTGGGCAAATAATTGGTGTATTTGGAGACGAAGCACTATTGATGTTTCTGAACTTGATTTCTTCAGTGCAAGAGATATACTTCAACACGGCATTTGAGATTCTCCCAACAACCTTAAGCCCGTCCAAGCAAGAAGATGTTTCTGGTGATGGCTTGCCATCTCAAGAGATCTGTGATGCAATTAGCAATGGTACTCAGGTCCCCGGTCAGGAAAGTCTAGTTCCCCAAGAGTACGATATTTTTATGGATGTCATGTTGGAATCTGAATCTGAGCTAGTACTGATTACCATCGAACTGGAACAGAAGCTTCAGAGCCTGCTCATGCCTTCACTCGCTGGTTGCGACGACAACGCACTGCGTGATAACTTGATCTTGAACGCTTTGGTAGATGCTGGGGCAGGAACCAACGGGACCTGCTTGCCTGAATCGGAGAGTCCGTGTTACCGCTATGTGATTCATCTCTACATCTACATCGATAGCATCATATCTTCAGCTGACTTTTTGGAAGAGATTATGGCAAAGTTCCGCGAAATACCGTTGGTAGAACGATTGGGATTATTATCACCCTTCAAGAGAATTACTATTGTTGAAATCATTTCCGAAGCAACTTCTACGGGTCCCTCTGGTAAGTACGAGTACCAGTTTGAGCAAAGCATACGATTTTCACTACAACTAACCACCTCCTCTTGCGCATCCATCGTCTGCCCCCTCAACTGAATCGTCATCAGTGAATCCCACGTGGGCGCCAGTCACATACCCCACTACTGACGACCCCACAAGATTGCCGTTGACAGTACCATCATTGAGTCCAACAAGAGCATCATTGACCTCGACGACAACTGAAGCTCCTACGACGAGGCCAACTCCTATTCCAATACCGCAACCTGTGGTTGGTCCAACATTGCAGCCCACGCCTGGCCCAACCGGCATAGTAACACAGGGTCCTACGACGAGGCCAACTCCAATTCCAACGCTACACCCTGTAGTTGGTCAAACATTCGTACCAACGCCATCACCAACGCCGCCGTCTACCGTAGCACCCTCCGACAATCCAACAACAAAGCCATCGGTGCCTCCTACCCTAGAGCCCAGTACATCACAGCCAAGTGTTTCGCCAACCGCTGAGCAATCATCCAAGCCCTCGGTGCCACCAACATTGCAGCCTTGTTTTGAAACCAACACTGAGCTCTCTGATGCAGTTAGTAACTGGTTTACGTCCTCTGAATTCAAGGCATCGGTCGAGGCCCAATATGGACTAATAGAGGACTGGTGTTTAGGCCCAGGTGTGACCAGCATGGAAGACCTCTTCAAAGATAAAAGCACGTTCAACGAGGACATTTCGAATTGGGACGTTTCTTCTGTCACGACGATGCAAGGAATGTTCAACAGCGCATCATCATTCAACCAAGATTTGTCGTCATGGGACGTCTCTTCTGTCACAAACATGATGGCTCTGTTCCGCGCTGCGCCATTGTTCGATGGAGCAATATCAACTTGGGATGTTTCTTTTGTTACAAACATGAGAAACATGTTCTGGGATGCATCATCCTTCAATCAAGACTTGTCATCATGGGATGTCTCTTCTGTTAGTATTATGGAAAGCATGTTCCGAGGTGCATCCTCATTAAATCAAGACTTGTCATCATGGGATGTATCTTCTGTCACTCTCATGGGTTCCGTGTTCCAAGAAGCATCTGCATTCAATCAGAATCTTTGAGCGTGGAGCTTGCAGGTTCCGATCAATGCTGAAGTTACCAATGCATTTAGCGCAACCAACTGCCCTTCAGTAACAGTACAGCCAAACCTCGCTTGGAATCTACCAGGTCCATTCTGTTACTCTTGCAGTCCATGTTTTCAAACCAACATTGAGCTCTCTGATGCAGTCAACAACTGGTTTACTTCCCCTGAGTTAAAGGCATCCGTCGAGGCCCAATATGGAGTGATAGGGGACTGGTGTTTCGGTGTAGGTGTGACAGACATGGAAGACCTCCTTAGCTATAGTCCCACCTTCAACGAGGACATCTCGAACTGGGACGTTTCTTCTGTCACCACGATGCGATCAATGTTCTGGGGTGCAGAACTATTCAACCAAGACTTGTCGTCATGGGATGTCTCTTCTGTCACCAGCATGAGATCAATGTTCAACAGCGCGAGCGCGTTCGATCAGGATTTGACATCATGGGATGTGTCGTCTGTCACCACGACGCGATCTATGTTTGCCGAGGCATCATCATTCAATGGCGACTTGTCATCTTGGGATGTCTCTTCGGTCACTGAAATGACATGGATGTTCTGGCTTGCAGAATCCTTCAATGGAGACTTGTCATCGTGGGATGTTTCTTCTGTGACTGACATGTCTGCGATATTTCACGAAGCAGCATCCTTCAACCAGAATCTTTGTGCATGGGGTTTGCGGATTCCCAATAACGCTGATGTTTCGATACCGTTCGTAGAAACCAATTGCCTATCGACAAGCCAGCCAAACCTCACTGGGACTCCTCCTGGGCCTTTTTGCCACGTCTGTTAAACTAAGAAAAGAATTGTATCATCTGCACACATTAGTAATACGACAGGTGGAACAAGAAGTATGACCAATGACAACGATGATCGGACGAATAATAAGGGAAAGATCGAAAAAATGACATCTCATTTTTCGACTGGTTCGATCACTTAATGTTTGAGAAAGGCTACGTCTGTACCTCCTCATCTCTGATTCTCATTCATTCATTCTTATCCCACTTGCTACTTCGTATTTACATTATGCTAGCTACTACCGGTACATTGCAGTGTATCGGAATTCTAAGGCTATACAGTTACAATCGCTCCCTTGAATGGAATGAATCAATCAAGCTACTACTATTCAAATATTGGATCGTCACTGGCATCATCAGCAACTTCCTCCGCTGTTTGAGGAAGTCTGCGTTCCTTACCAATGGGAGATTCAGCAGGTGCTTGGGGGGCACCAAGCGATGGTGCATTTGGAGATTGTGGCTTTGGTGGCACTGGTGACAATGGTGCCTCGGATGCAGAGTCACTTCTTTCAGTATCGCCTTCCATCACAGTAGGCAATCCTCCGTTGAGTTCTTCCTCGACGTATTCCTCTTCCATGGTTTCACTTTCTTCGACGACCTCTTCAATATATTCTTCCATTTGCTCTTCTTCAATGTATTCTTCTGTCTCTCCATCCTGAACAAAGACTACTTCCTCTTCGATGGTACCGCCAGTCTCGTCGACAAGCTCCTCTTCAACAGTAGCAGTAGCTGGTTCAGTAGTGGCACTAGAATCAGTGAAGGCGCCTGAGAGTGGATCCTCGTTGGAAACCTTCTCTTTCTTGCCGTCATCCTCATCGGTTGGAGGTGGTCCCAATGTGGATCCTTCATTGCTAGGAGTAGCCGAAGCTTCATCTTCAGCGTAGACGGATGTCACACTTGGTGTCGAAATATCATCACCTGATATAGAACCACCTTCAATGACTGTTGGCAAGGGTGCTTCAATATCCCCAGCCACATTCTTGGCATTGCTGGTGGGCGGTGTTGCATCTTGATCTTCACCGTCACTATAGGATGCACTGGTAGCGTCATCGTCGCCTTCGAGTGAGCTGGCAGCGCTCATCTCGTCCATGAATCCATCTGGTTGGGAATCGGAATGGACTCCAGTGGTACCATTGGAGCGTCCCGCAAATTCATCTCCAGGGTAATCGGACATGGTAAGGTACATGGCACCAGCCATGAAATAGCAGGCACACGATGCTCCCGAAAATCCAGCCGATCGGCCAAACGTACAGGTGTATTCCTCGCAAAACTCACTACTGAAAATCAGCAGTGTCAATCCTTGAAAGACTGTCAGGACAACCGACACCAAAAAGAATTGCAAATACCGAAGTCTTCGGGTCTGAGAGGAGCAGCAGAAGGTTGTGGAATAAAAAAATTGCAACCAGCCCCCGGCTGCACCAATCATGGCAAAGATGCGCGTCAAATTAAAGCCGTTTCCCAAAAAGTCCCAGTACTCCTTCAATTGCGTTTGGGAGGTTGCACCAGCATCGTCGTACCAATAACACCGGCCATCAAAGGCATCCTCAAAGGTCAAGTAGCCAAAAGTGTTGCTGGTTTTGGTAGGACCCAGAACAAATCTCAGGTCTTCGTCAATCTTGACAAAGGCACAATCACCGAGGGAAGCAATGGAAAAGAAACTTCCCAATATCAAAAAGCATTGAGCAGCGGCAACTTGGAGTCCTCCATTGAGGTATCCGAATCCTGTATTATTTTGGGTTGATTGGTGGAATCAATCATGAGGAGGATGAATGAGAACCATCGTCAAACATATAGAGTATCCACAGACAGGAGAAAGAGACCAATAGTATCAGCAACAACGACAAATATAGCTTACCACACATACATTCATCTCGGGTCTTGGGTTCCTTACTGCTGGTGCAGCATACAATGGGGGAACAAGAAGAAGATACCATCTTTATTGGTACTGGTCGTGTTGTCGTATTTTGAAATCAGAGTATTTTGTATTCTCCAAGCCAATGATTCGGGAACAATTGGCAATGATGGACTATTGCTGCTTTCTATTGTTCTCTTTTCGTCGGATACAGTAGCTCACCAAATATCAAACAGAAGAGTTCAATAAAAGGCATGAAGGTGCGAGTATTGATCGTTTTTCGTTTTTTGTCCATCACTTAGAAAATGTGGGAAGCAAGCGTGCCTATTTTTTGGTTGTGGGACTGCGCGAAGCGACTCATTCGATCTCTTGGACTAAAAGAAGCCTTTTTGAGTCCCGTCCTTCTGCGACCCGCCGCCATTGTTGAACCGCATGCGGTATTATATAACTAAACTGCACCAAAACAATCAACAACACATCGAAGGTTAACCATGGACGACCGATCCAAGAGAGAGTCATCCTCATCCAAGAGGGAGGATAAGGAAGATTCGGAGCGGGGGGATAACAAAGTTGCTGGTCGCAGAGACCGGAAAAGTGGAGACGAATCACGAGACAATAGTAAACGAGGAGACTCCTCCTCCAGTCATCGACGTCGTCGGAGCAGAGATGATAGTGGCAAACGAAGAGATCGCAAACGTCGTCGACGAGATGACGGTGATGGCAGTGATAGTGATGATGAGTCATCTGTTTCCTCATCGGACAGTAGATCATCAGAGAGCAGTGAAGGATATCGGCGGAGAAGACGACGCCGAAAGGAGAGAAAAGGGAGTAAGGATCATCGCAAGCGAAGTAGTCGGGACAGTAAGAAACGAAAGAAGTCCAAGAGGCATTCATCTTTGTCCTCAGATGATGATTCCAATTCAAGTAGCGACAGCGATAGACATCGACGAAAGCGAAAGAGCTCCAGAAAGAAACGAAAGGATTCTTCCAAGAAGACAGAGGACAAGGGTCCACGTCGGAGTGCCATTACCGGCAAAAAGCTCAAGCTGCATATTGAAAAAACAGAAGAAGATATTGCCAATGAAAAGGCTCGAGAGAAGCTATTGGAATATATGAATTCATCCTTCAAATGAAGAAACCAAAAAGAAGAATTGTCATATTCAAGAAGATTTGTCATATTCAACATGAGTGTACCTCTCAGTAGCTTTCCAATAAGTCTCAGATTGTATACTGGAGCAATGAAAGAGCCCTTCACATAGCCCTTTAGATTCAATGGGGATACTTCCATTTGCCTAACAATTGATACGAGTTGACTGATGTATAATAGATGACACACATAATGCCATAATATTGACAAAATTACTGTTTCTCAGAGTAAATTTGACGTCCTCCGAGAAATCAATTGGGTAGCCACATTAATGCACGTCTATTATTTGTATTACAACAACAATTAAAAGCTACTATCATTCAATGCCACACAGGTTACAGCACCTTGGTGGCCATGGTACTGTCGCACAATCTCCCCCGTCCGTAGACTCCATAATCGAGAAATGGAATCGCTGGATGCCGTCACAACATAACTCGAATCCGCACAAAAGGCAGCGTCCCATACCCATCTAGAATCCTGCAAGTCTTGCACCAGCTTCCATGTTTTAGTATCCCACAATCGAACCATACCATCGGAACCAGTAGTGCACAAATGCAAACAATCTGGTGATATCCGTGCATGCAAGCAATAGGATCCTGGTTGTGAGTGTGCCCGAAACGAGCTCTTTGGTTTGGGTGTATCAAAGTATACGCCTGATTTGGGACACCATGTATAGACCGTTCCGTGATTACTAACTGCCACCAAGGTGTTGGAGTCGGACGAAATGTCCACCGCTTGAATCGCAGTCTGAATCAAACAACCTCCCGTTCGTCGTCCTGCCGGTCGAGTCTCGGCAATGCAGCCATCTCGTTTGGTCGTAGGACTACCCGTGCTACTATTACTGGTACTACTGTTCCCACCACCACTACCATCCATTCCCAAATCCCATACCTTGACGTTACCATTGGCATCCCCCGATATGATTTCATCACGATCCACTCGCAAGCAAACCGATCGCACTTGAGCCTTGACGTCAAAACTTCGAGACGGCGTCGTGCTCCGTAAATCCCACAATTTAATGGTCCCATCTTCCGATCCACTAAAGAAAAAGCGACCATCTCGTTGAAAGCCCAAGGAAGTGACATTGCCAGTGTGCGCGTCCAGCGTCAAGATTGGATCGGAATGTTTGGAACTATCCACATCGTACAAACGAATGTGGGGATTTCCACCAGCGGCAAGAAAGGCTTTGTCGGGTGTGATTTCCAGCTAAATGAATGAAACAAGAAACGAAAGAATAAGTAAGAATAATTAGCATTTAAAAGCCAGAAACCTTCGCAAGCATGGAAACGAACAGTACTGGTACTCGCAACCAATCGACATCAACCGTTCTATAATGATCAAGTCCAAAACGTACCTTGTTCACTTGTGAGTCTGGAAATTTGAGCACCCGCGAGCAAACTCCAGAGGGTGCTTGCCAAAATCTTATTTTGTGATCATATCCAGCGGTAGCTAGAATGACACTCATGTCGATTGCTTCATGAACGAGATGGATACAGTTTGTGATACGATAAATAATGAAAAAGGAAAAATATTGCTTGCGAATTTTTGTTTCTTTTAGCAGATCAGACTAATCCGACCAATACCGGTCTGTACGTTCGCCAAACTATTTTGTAGTGAAATTTCTTGTTTCTACTATCATACTGGTAAACATTTTACGACTTGCCGCTTTGACACTGGAGCCTTGAAGAATGGATGACCACAGAGCGCGGGTATTTTTACATCCACAATGTAATGACAAGTACTGTCCTCCTTCACTGTCATCCCCAGCTGACTGCCACAAGAGTACTTGACCGTAGTGGCACGCTCAATGTGACCCTCTCCAAACTCACCTGCTTTAATGGCAGAGTCCGTCACATCTTCATGATCGCAAACCTCCCCATATGTGTATTCTTGAGCGTAATAGGCACCGTTGCCTTTTGATGAGGATCCAGAGGCAGCTGTGGAGGTGGCGGTTTCATTCACGACATGCTTCCATTCGTCGTCCTTGGAGACGAAATCATCCTCCGAATCATATTTGCCCAATATGTGCTCGGTTTCGACTTCAGTTCGCGGTACTCCCGTTATTCGATCCAACAAAGTAACCTCGTGAAACTGTCGCACATGGCGTCCTGGACAAAGTTCGTACAGCCACCATCCACCCGTTCCAGTTTGCATGCACTTGTCCCTTCCAAACAAGGACTTTAGAATTTCCACCACAGTCATTTCAGATACTGTTGCAGGATCCAGTGCCTTGTTGCTAGATCGTGTCTCGGTGACCGTGGCTGGTTTCAAATCTTCCTTGGGGACCTTCGTTGGTGGTTTCTCTTCGACATAGTCGTTGCAGAGCAATGGGGTACAGATGGTCACATTGTAAACGCAAGTGGAACCTTCTACAATTCCTTGCATGGCGAGCAGATTGGTATCCATGGGCTGTCCCTGGAACAAGACACTGCCTCGACTCCGAGCAATCACTTGTGGCGAACAGCATCGCAACACAGCTTGAGTCATGCGAGCCTTCTTCGTGGAAGGACACCAACCACCATGCAGATACATGTCCGTAATTTCGGCCATGGCGTTTGGATTTCTCGATGGTTGCTTGCCTTCAGAATCCTCCTTTTCTTCCTTTACATTCGCTGCGTCCTTTTTAATAAGCTCTGCTTTCCGTTCTGCATAAGTTCCCAGACTGGTAATGTCGGTGATTTGAATATTCTGGACAGAATTCTCCGCACTATCAATGTGGACATGAAATTGTCGCACTTTTCCCTCATAGCACCATTCATAGGACCACCATCCCTCGTGAAATTGCGCGCACATTCCTTTCAACTTGTTTAGTCTTGATTGCAGTAATGCGGCAATTTTTATCGGCGAGTCTAAATCTTCTTCCTCCTCCTCCGCATTGGCGTTTCCCAAATTGACGATGGCTCCAGATTCCCCACTTTTGGATTCGGATGGTGATGGCTTCTTCAATTCGTCCGGACTCTTCAAAATAGCAAGATCAAACATGGATTCGTCCAGACTAATCGCTTCCAATTCATCTTCATGGTATACCTTACACGCATATTCTTGGCCAGACGAATCCCTAGTGGTCATGTACACTGGTTCAAAGTCGGCGAGTTCTTGGGCAATGTTGGGGAGCATTAACGGCATGGACGCCAGTCGACTGGCAGTTGCTCGACTAAATCCTCCATAGGGTGATCCGTACGCAGTATTGGGATCCACTATAATATTAAACGCATAGAAGCAAATAGAAGATGATAGAGACACAAGATGAGAGTGAGTCAATCGCGGGACTTGGGAAGCAGCTTTACGAAGGATTTCGACTTACAAATTGTAAAATCATATTCCGTTTCTGGCAGAGCGTCTATATAGCTATTCGATGACACTCCTTCCAGCAGTGTGGAAGCGGCAATTAGGCTCACAAAGCGAGGCAAATCCATCATGGGTTTCATTCAGTGTTTTGTTTTTAGGTTTCGTTTCTGTGTTCAGTCACTTATGAGTCGGACTAGTCGACCGCGTTCCACTCGTACGTGTTTCCACATCATCTCCTCTGACATCAATCATCGCCCATGCATCCCGAAACTGTGGACAGCAGAAAACTCAACCCAAGGCTCGGTTATTGGTCCATATTCAACTAAATCATGGGTCGTTTTCCAGCTCTTTCTTCAATATACATATGTGGTATCCTGTACTTCTCGGGCAGTGATGCTTTTACACAACACAGTCTTCAGTCTTCTGGTGCAGTAGCTCAACGTCGTCTGAGCCCCTTGTTCTCAGAAAATTATTCCATTGAGTCCGACACTTCTGGACCGAATGGTGCCAAAGTCCACCGTTTGATCATCAACAAATTGCCCGGCCAAGATGAAGAAGACGCTCAGCCCGTTATCATTGAGACTGGCAAGATCGGTCGTCAGGCGGCTGGTGCCGTCACGGTGAACAAAGGAGACACTTCCCTTTATGCCACGGCGGCTCGAGATGCCGAACCACGCGCTGGATTGGATTTTTTGCCTTTGAGTGTGGACCATCAAGAACGATTCAGTTCTGCAGGTATCACTTCGGGATCTTACAACAAGCGGGATGGACGTCCTGCCGAACACGAAGTCTTGACTTGTCGTTTGATTGATCGACCCCTACGTCCTTTGATTTCCGATGGATGGAGGCATGAGACTCAATTGTTGAGTTGGGTTCTCAGTTACGATGGAGTTCGTAGCTGTGATCCTCTTGCCATTACTGCTTCGTCCACTGCTTTGTACATTAGTGACGTTCCATTGCACAAGCCTGTGGCTGCTGTTATGGTAGGATACAACAAAGAAGAAGACAAGCTCATGTTGAACCCCACTCACAAACAAATGGAAACGTCGCAACTCCAACTCATTGTGGCTGGAACCAAGGATGCTGTCCTCATGATTGAAGGTGCTGCTGATTTCTTGCCCGAAGAAACCATGGTCCGAGCTGTCGAATTCGGACACAAGGCCATCGCAGTCATTGCTACTGCCGTCGAAGAGTTTGGAGAGACCATTGGAATCACCAAGAAGATGGACACCCTCATCATCCCACCACCAGAGTTGCAGGAGAAGGTTGACACTATGATGACCGAAAAGGTCGATGCCATGTACGCTGCCGGAGGAACCAAGACCACACAAGGTCCTGTGACGAAGGCACTCAAGAAAGAACTTGTTGCTGCTTTGGAAGAGGGCGATGTCGAATACGAGAAAAATGATGTCAGTAATGCCTGGAAGGATCTCCTTTGCCGCAGAATGTACGAACGTGCTGCGACCACTGGAAAGCGTTGCGATGGCCGAGACTTGGAAGAGATTCGTCACTTGTCCATGGAAGCTGGCTTTTTGCCCCGAGTTCATGGTTCTGCCCTTTTTACTCGTGGAGAAACACAAGCTATTGCCACGACTACGCTGGGAGATGCCGGCATGAAACAGAAGATTGACAAGATTGACGGTACAGAGGCAAAGAGATTCTACTTGCAATACACTTTCCCTCCAAGTTGTGTCGGTGAGACTGGGCGAACTGGGGCACCTGGAAGACGCGAAATTGGACACGGAAACCTTGCCGAACGGTATGTACTAGACTAGATGGTTGCAGTTTGTGATGGACTTATTTTGTTGCTGATGTCGACTTGCGGATTGTAATGCTCACTGGTGTTTGCCATGTTCTTTCGCATTGTTTAGTGCCTTGGCCCCAACCCTGCCATCCGAGGAAGAATTCCCTTATACCATTCGTGTCGAATCACTCATCACTGAGTCACATGGATCTTCTTCCATGGCCAGTGTTTGCGGTGGTTGCTTGTCATTGATGGACGCTGGTGTTCCAATCAAGAGCCCCGTTGCTGGAATTGCCATGGGTATGTTGCTTGGTGACAAGGGGGGTGTATCAGATGACAATGCCGTTATTCTTTCCGATATTCTTGGAACTGAAGATGCTTTGGGTACCATGGATTTCAAGGTTGCTGGAGACAGAGAAGGAATCACCACGTTCCAGTTGGATATCAAGTGCGAAGGTTTGTCATTGGATACCATGAAGAAGGCTTTGGAACAGGCACGTACGGGTCGTCTCCACATCCTTGACGCTATGGAAGGAGTTCTTGGGTCAGCCAGAGAGACTCTTCCAGATACTGTTCCAAAGATGTATGGATTCTCGATTCCATTTGACTCTATCGGCAAGGTGATTGGACCCGGCGGAAAGCAAATCCGAGCTATCATTGAGGACTTTGAATTGGAAAATATGAATGTTAACGACCAAGGTCAAGTCCAAGTTTCAGGCTTCAAGCAAGAAAAGCTTAAAGAAGCAGAGGAGTTTGTCAAGGGATTGCTCGCTGCTGGAGGTGGTCGAGGAGGAGGAGGAAAGGGGGGTGGCAAGGACCGGCCCCAATATGCCGGACCCGATCCAGTAGAAGGACAAGTATACAGTGGAAAGATCACTGGAATCCACAATTTTGGAGTTTTTGTCGAAATCTTGCCAGGAGCCGAAGATGGGTCCACCCCAGGATTGGAAGGTCTCTGCCACGTTTCCGAGCTTGCCAGGGATCGTGTTCGAAACTGCGAAGGCTTCGTCAAGAGTTTGGGTGTCGAGGAGCTCGAAGTCATGTACATGGGTAAGCAGGATAACGGTAAAGTGTCACTGAGTCGAAAGAAGGCTCTCGACGCCAAGATGGGTGCTGGGACTCCTCCTCCTCCCAAGGAGGAACCAACAAAAATGTCAAACGAGGAGCTTGATGTGATTGCCTCGGCCATTGAGAGTTTATCAGAATAATCAATTGAGTATAATAGACGCTGAGCTAGTAAGCTTCTAATTTAAAAAAATGAATTCGTCGAATCCAGAGTCACACGCATCATTTCCATGGCACTATGTGTTTCGTCATTCCGGCAGCATCTTGAGAGTAGCAATCAATGGAATGATGAATGCGATGAACTCCATCGCTTCCTGTAAATTCCGCACTGCATCAAACTCCAAGTGTGTTCTCCGTATTATGGCATGTCTTGCAAACCTTATATCCCCGTCTTTCTATACGGCACACACATGAAAAAAATGTTGATGAGATTAACAGGAGTATTAATGGTCGAAATCCCAATCGATCGAATCTCTCTCAGACATGTCTAAGTATATTTTCGTACAACCACCAACTGACAAGAGATGCCAGTGTTCTTGCGATGCGTGTATAATCCTAGAGAGCGGCACAGTGTATGTGTGTCGAAGCGATTATTGTGTTGCGTTTGTCTTACAGTTGAGGGGGAAAGTGGTGCCATCATTCCTGGGCATGAAAGATTCCACGGAATAGTTCGTTTTATTTGAAAGCTTTTCTTTCAAGCTTGAGTCATCTCAAAGTCATCCTGAAATTTGAATATGTAGGACACCCCCAACGAAAATTGATCGTAGGATAGACCTGCACCCATGGTAGTGTTTGACTTTGTGTGGTCCCTACTGTATCTACCGGCTACCGGTATCGTGGTGACCAGTGACCAACCATCAAATCCAAGATGACGGCGGGTGGACGCCCAACTCGTGATTTAGAAAACATCCAGTCCTGTTATGATTCAAAAGTCAAAAATGTCGTTGGGACATGCCGGTAGGAGAGCCTACTCTCTCATATGAATTATCCAATTCATGTATTAATAAACACTCTTTTGTTTTCTAAAAGACATGCAACGCATCTCACATAGCACCATCATGAGGCAGCAACCAGACTACAAAGACGCATATTCTAGAAACGAGAAGGATGGAGGGCAACGAACAAAACTCCGCTGAGGAGCTCTTGGAGAAAGGACGATACTATTGTGGTCAAGGACAAACTATAAAGGCCAAGGAGATTTTCGAGAGAGTGTTGGAGATACAAACGAAAGAGTTAGGTGGAGACGATCCTTCTCTGGCCATCACACTCAACCACATTGGAGCTGCACTGCTGAATGAAGAGAATTACGACGAAGCCATGGGGACACTCGAAAGAGCTCTTGGCATGCAGTTGGGGAATTTGGGAGCAACAGATGCTGACATAGGAAGAACCTACGAATCCATTGGTAGAGTCTCTCTGGGTCAAGGCAACTACGAAAAAGCCGAAGTATTGTTCCGAATAGCTCTGAATATCAAACTCGAACTTCCGGCAACACACATGTCTGATTTGATGGATGTGTGTCACAATCTAGTGGTGTCATTGCAAATGCAAGGCAAGGTTTCAGACGCAGTCATGATGCAAAAGGGGGTACTTGCGAAACAACTAGAAATGCACGGGGAAGACCACCCCGAGGTTGTAAAATTGTACGTTGGGATTGCAGTATCGCTGAAAACACAAACTAAGTTGAACAAAGCTCTTCAGATGCTTGATAAAGGCATCGAAGTTTGTTCTCGACTACAACGGACAGGAGACTTCGATGCAGATATATTTGAAGTAGTGCTCCTTAGCAAAGCATTATGCCTGCAAAGACAAGAGAACTTTGAAGGTGCCACGGAGGTGTTCACCGAATTGCTAATGTTTCAAAAGGAAACGTTAGGTGAAATACGACTCTCAACAGCACAGACCTATGAAAGTCTTGCACTCTTATATGCCCGACAAGACATGACGGATGATGCCATCAAGGCGTACGCGAACGCCATCCATGTTTTCAAAACGGTGCTCGGTGATGATTATCCTAAAACAAAGGAGCTTGCGCCGACCCTTAAATTGTTAAAGCGCGAGAAAATTGCGAAAACACTGAGACTACAAGGACTGGAAATGAAGGCGCAAGGCGATTTGGCAAATTCGGTACTACTCTTCCAAGAGGCCCAGATTATTTACAAGGAAATCCATACTGCTCACCCCAGTCCGGAAGCAGTTTCCAAGAACATTTATGCTGCCAACATTGATATCGCAGCATCCTTGGAGTTGTTTTCGGCTTGGAAAGTTGATCAAGGTTTGTTGGAAGATGCAATCACTGTTAGTGCAGACGCCTTGAAGATTCGTCGAAGAACACTTGGAGACGATCATACTGACACGAAGGAGCGTATGGAAGTTCATAGATCTTTACTGAAACGTCTCTTGGAGAATCGGAGCTAACAACGCACGGTGGCTTCCTTGTGGCTGTGAGGAATTTCCTGGCAGAGGATTTATAGCATTCTCTTTAAAATCGAATATCTCAATACAAAATGCGTCTCAAGATTTGTCTATCTTGTTCTTTTAACAACAGGAAACGACATCGTCGTCTCATGCATATCGTACCGGTACCACTGCATGACCATCCTGCCTGACACTCGTCGTCATCATCTGCCATTCGATTCGTGATTCAATGACCAGTCCCACATCACAGGTCAAAAATCTGTGGCGATTGTCATTTTCATCGTCATTTCATTTTTGAACGACCCACGACAATAACCCTTCCAAAACCTTCACAAAGGCCTATGCATTGTAAGATCTATCATTAATCAGATCCCCCCCAAGCTTCGTGACTGAACAAACCTGCATCAAATGCCGGCCAAACCACCCATTCCATTGACTCGCCTGATCATCGGATTCCTGTTCGTATTTTGCATAATTCTCTTGATACAACAACAAATGCTCCTGAGTCAACAAGCTGAATATGACTGCTATCAGCATGATTCTGAATCATCATTTCACTCAGCGAATCCTCTGATGAGGCTGCGGGGTGGTCGTGATCCATTGCAGTCCGTCTTGGAAGGTATGTTGCATTCCATTCCCAATCGTTTCATAGCCAATGTCAAGCTCGACCTGGTGACGAATACGACCATATTGAAACCAACCATTGTCAAGAATTTGATACCGCGGCCAAATACAATGGAAACCAAGGAGGATGTAATCGTGGCAACCCACATTACCACCAACAAATTGCCTATCCTATTGACGCATCTGGACCATTGGGGTGGTCCGGCATCGGTGGCCGTGTACATTCAAAGTCAGCACCACATTCAAGAATTTTTCAGCTTTTATCGAGCCAGCATTCATTTGTTGCAAAATGTGAGTTTCCATTTTGTCTTGGAAAAGACGGATCTGGCATATCCACACAACATTCTGAGGAACGTAGCGATTGAAACGGTCGAATGCGATTACTTTTTGGCCATTGATGTGGATTTCATTCCCATGCCCAAGGGCAAGTGTCACTCCCATTTGCAAAACCTAATCAGGGATAAGTCTTCCGGCTTTACCAGTGATCGGCAACGCTTGTTTGTCTTGCCCGCCTTTTCCTTGCTCCAAAACAAAACGGAAACCTCGCTGCAAAGACCTGCTTCACCGAATCGGTTGCCCATGACGCGGAACCAGTTGGTGGAAAAGTTGGAAGAGCAAGAAATGATACCCTTTCGGTATAACTTTTGGTTTGGTGGTCATTTTGCGACCAACTATCCATGGTGGCTTAGAAACCTGAAGCGACGGAATACCAAACCATTTTATAATTTGGAAATGGACGAGAGTATTCGATATTACGAACCTTACGTGGTTGGCTATCGACCAGGGATTCCACGTTATTGGGAAGGTACGTCGATTATATTGCAGGAAAGAAGTTGCGCTTGGCAATGCTTTTGATTTTGGGGGTCGCATATGCTTTGTTTGCTACTACTGGAATGATCCGCTATTTCTCACTCTTCGTGTGTGTTTCATTCGACCTTTTTCTTTCTAAGACTTTCGTGGCTATGGACTCAACAAGATTAGTTTCCTGACAGAATGCGTCAAGGCAGGATACAGCTTTGCTGTCCTTAACAAGCTGTATGTGGTGCATTTGGACCATCCCACCTATTCGCTTGCAAAACAGGGTGTCATGAAGAATGCCAGCCGGTTGGTGTATACCAAATTCATGGAGTACAATGAAGAAAAGTATGGGGATATTTACAAAGAAATATTTTGTCCGGAATGTCTATTTATGGAAGAAGAAGAACAGAAACTTGCGGCTGCTGCGGCAAAGAAGAGAACAGCCCTGGAAGAATCATCGGATGAGGAAGGAGATGATGATTGATAGACTTTTGTGGATACACACGACGTCACCATAGTGTTGAGAGATCAGTTTGCTTGCAATTGGAGCGTTGGGAAACTTATTCTTTGTATATCCAAGTTGGAGGTGGAAGGCACTACCGGTAGGTTGTGTATAATTTCAACCTACTACCGGTAGATATACCGGTAAGCTCGCTAGCTCAGCTTGCTCTACCGGTATATCTACAGTAGTAGGTGGAAATTGATGGATTCGACCCGCTCGACTCAGCTCACGCCACCTCTTTTATTCATTTCAAGACCAGAGCGAAAAAAACGGCAACTATCAAAAACGAAAACCTCTTTCGTCTTTGTTTGCCTTTGTGTGCCTTTATCTTGACGCTGCCACAGTCATGCTCCTCAAGACAAGACTTTCCTTTTCCTTTCTGTTCATCCTTGCGTTGGTCAATCTTGGCCCGCAATGGAAGAAATTTACCAATTTGCAATTGTCCATCAATTCGGATGCAGACAAGTTCACGATAACATTGACAACGACACCATTCAACACAGGCGCTGTCAAGGCAATGGACTCATCGGCCGACATGCAAAGCTTGACTTCATTCCATAAAACTCAAATAAATGGTGGCGATTACGCACCGACTGCCACAGCTTCCAGGACACTGATGACACCCACCACAAAAATTAGCAATGCTGCCAATGCAACGACAGTCGAAGGCACCAGCCTTCCTGTTTCAGTGGAGGCTATCGATTCTTCTTCACCCTTGACAGTGTTTCCATTGCCATCGAATCCCCAAGTGTACTTTGTCCATGTCGGCAAAGCAGGAGGTCTTACCATGAACCTCATCTTGGATACAGAAGGCAAATGGAAAGCGATTGATTGTTTCATTGAGCAATCGGAACGACTGGGTGAAAGCTACACCACATTCCCGTCCACCTGTTATGTTCCAAGCGTCGGGTTTCCCTCCCAACTCTCCCAACACATGGTCAGTCATTTGCACCTCGCTGGCTTCCGATTCAACCGAACGCACCGCGAATGGATATTGAACCACACCGACACCTTTTTGTATACCGTGCGAGATCCCGTCCACCGCCTGGTATCGGCCTACAACTTTCATCGGTACAATTTTCGGAATACCACAAAGGCTAGTCGCAAATTGTTTTATGAGGAATGCTTTCCCAATGGAATGGAAGATTTGGCCCGTCAACTACTGTTGTCGGGCAAGAAGGATGACGCAACATGTCAGTCGATGGGAATTCTAGCCTTGCAAGGAGGTGGAAAGTCTAGAAAATCTGGTAGTGGGAACCATTTTGAATACAATTATGGATACTATGCCTCCAGGACGATTGCCAAGAAGCCCAACCATTCCGTCGCAGTCATTCGAACGGAATATATGTGGGACGACATTTATGCATTGGAAAAAGAGTTGGGAGGAACTGGATCCGACGCCTTTTCCACACAAGCTGGTACCAAGGTTTCACATGGGAGTGAGAAATGGGTTGTTGGCGAACAGTACAGTGCTTCGTCTCTGAGTCCGGAAAATCTCCATTTCCTGTGTTGCATCTTGTACAAAGAACTCGAAGTCTACCAACGATTGATTCTCTTGGCTGCCAATTTGAATCAAATACAGAAACGAGACACGATGGCATTCACTTTGACACGCTGTCAAATCGATTATGCCGGTGATCCTGTATCGCAACCCTTTCCGTGGTTCGACTATCACAAGACAACTTGTCGGCCAATCATTCAACAAGTTGTGCTGCCTGGCGTCAAAGTATGAAAAGGCAGCAGTTGTTGCTGGTGTATTGTAACAATATTGGGGGGACAAAATATACTCTTATTTCCCAACAACAAAATATACAGTAGCCATACAAATTGGTACAGTACTATGCTCTATCGTAATATGATTTGCAATCCTCGTAATGCAACAGCTCCAAGCATTACCGCAATTTCCATGGATTGCCTTCATCATCTTCATCTTGCAATTCAATTCCCCAGTCCATAGCAAACAATTTCTTTCGCAACTCCCGCTCTATTTTGCCCGTCCACCGCTTGTTGGGATTCTCATCTCGTTCCACCTCGTCGAGCTTTCCGACGGCATCGACAAAGAGCTCCATAATGGGGGAACACCGACTCCGACTTTGAGGAGGCCCCGTTTCGCAAATCCGTTTGAAAATCTTTTGGACTTGCTCTTTGGAATACCGATCGTCTCGCAACCTGCACAAGACTTGATCGACCGAGTGCAAGAGTTGAGTGTCGTCGTCGACTTGGTACTGAACTAGCAAATCGTCAATCCAACTGTCAATTTTGCTATTTTGGAGGGCTAGCTGATGGTCCTTTTGTTCCTGCAAGGCTTTGGCTTGGTTATTGGCTTCCTCGCGTAATTGCTGAGCCTGTTGCTTCAATAAAAGGGCTTGGCTCAAGGCAGTAGATGAGGACGAGGAGGGAGTAGTGTCGTCATCATCCTTTTCTTCTTTTTGGAGTGTAGCAGTAGTGCTAGTAGTAGTAGTAGTAGCATTGTTGTTGCCCATATCTTCGTTTTCACTTGATGTATAAAATAAATGACTGAAAGAAGACTGTGTTGATGACGGCTTTGTTGTAACACTAAAAGTAGCTGTAGCAGTAGCAGTATCAATATCAATATCAATGCCACATCGTCTCCGCTGTGAGAGAAACGCATTGCTACGGTCTATCATTTGCAACAAAAGGCATAGCAGTAGCGTTGCTTGCACTAGCATGGTTGCTTGAAATAAGAAAGGAATGTGTTGTTGACGTTTCTATGGATCCTCTTTCACCATTTGCCATTGACCGGAGAATGACTGCAATCGAATATTATGATGTTGACGAGACGAAGGATATTATTTTATTATTTTATGGAAACGGAATGAACAGAATTTTCAGAATTCCTTTCTTCAGGATAGTCGACTCGTCCGACTACTGATTAGATCCTCAACTCTTACTGTTATTGCTCGAACCATGGAAAAGGACGTATGATTATTACTTCTATGGCACAGTATGACGTGTATAATATATACACGTCAATACTATAACAAGATCATTATGCCTGTCCATCCAGAAGCCACGGGCATCGCCTCACCAGCAGCCAAACCATCTCTAGATGACCCTTTTGACATCATGCAAGAATGGACAAAGGTGTCGTTCTTGCAGGGGTCGGGGCATCTTATACAGCACCCCGATTCAAT